CCCCCCCCCCCCCCGGCGCCCCCCCCCCCCCCCCCCCCCCCCCCCCCCCCCCCCCCCCCCCCCCCCCCCCCTGGTTGATGACGATGACAGAGTTTTCGAGAGGGGTTGTGAAGACACCATTTAAATGATGTTCAGCCTCCTAGGTAAGTAAGCACTAGTGTTGGCACTCAGCAAGGGTTGGAGCCACAAATGGTTGGTTGGATTGCTTCGGGTATTGGAGAACGCCTGGTGATGACTTAAATGGACTTGCCAGTTACTGTGGCGTCAGTCAGCATCAGTTGTAAGGAGGATAAAGCCAAGAAAAAGCCAAACAGACCAACATTCCTGTCGTGCCAAATTGCTAATCAAATTTGCAGTTGCCATTCTTGAAAAGACAATAAATATACTGTACGACTCTCTCGTCCCAGTTGCCGCCCTGGATGGTTCCTTCCGCTTTGTCAGTCGTGCGAAAATACGTGTTAATGCTTGACTGGACCAGCCTGATCAAGTCGATCTCAGCTTTTCGAGAGAACACATTCAAATTATTCCAAGTCGAATACTTGCGTATTCCTGGTCGAATACTTGCGCAGTAGTAACGGATAAAAAGCGCAACACTAGAGCTAATAGCAACAAGGATATGTATAGAAGTAGCAAGAAACAGTTGTAAGGAAAACATAACCGTGGAGGACTGTACAGCATGATAGTGTTCAGTTCCTTCCTAAACTCCAGTTAGTCACAGGCTACTACCCACACAGATTTCCTGGTTGATGAGACCGGCTATTGTAATTACGTTTTGCGTTGAATTTATGCACTTTCAGAGCAATCAATGCTTATCCCGTAATTATGTTTCTCGACTTGTTCCGTTGACAAATTCGCCATCGTACTTGCACTGTTTGAGTAACTCACTGTCAAACGATGATATTGGCAGGGACACGACCTGGCGTAATGAATCATGTGAAGGACAACTTCACAGGCTGACAGAATCAGATCATCTTATGCCAGGTTGTGTGCCAAACAGCCCGGTTCCGACACCAGGCGAACGCATTGCCCCATTTGAAAAATAATCGGCCTATTTCTCCAAAGAGAAGGCGCCAAGCAAGCCCCGGATGCAATGAACTTTTTGAACCTCTTCGCTTAGACAAATACTACCCAAGCGATCCAGACCCCAGTCCCTGGGATGCCACTAGACCTAAAGTTGCCGATACTCCGGGAGGGGTGCCACCCATGAACGCCCGGAATCCGATGGCCGGATTGAACGAACGGATCAGATAAGACAGGCAGGGCGGATCAGATAAGTTGACTTGGCACCAGCTGAAAACTAGCGTCGTGCCTATCTAGACAGCAGACCGTTTGGTGGCGTCCCCGCTACCAAAAGACTTGCACTGGGGGATGTCTAGCTCGCTTGTAAGTCGATGGTGTAGAGTAACAGAGACACCCTGTGTTCGTTTTCTCGGTTGTTAGATCCGGTGCAGCAAGACCCTAGGTACTGGTAAGTCTGTTGGTTGCGGAGCCTTCAGGCCATGGCGGAGATAGCAACAGTAAGACGCAGATTTGGAGGGAGGCCGCAGACTTACCAGGCAAAAGTTTCCACAATGTGACCGGGGCACAAACGTTCCAGTCAGTTGGGAAGGCAACATCGACTCATAATGCTCACAAGGAGGGCATGATACTGCGGCCAATCCATCGGTCTCACAGGGCAGGACGTGGTGAAGCGGGGTGGAACACGAGGTTGTGGATTAAAAAGCTTCGCTTGCTAGAAATGCGGATCTGATAACTTTAAACGAGCCTAAATCAGGGTCGGAACGGCGCCGACGAACCGAATTTTGGCGGAAATGTTCACCACTTGAAGCCTGCAACATGAACCAACATTTCGTGCTGAAGTCTTGTATGCCACGAATACGTATTAGCCCCGGCCGTGTTTCCGTCTAGACCAGCAGGAGACCCCGAAAAGGAGGTTCGACGGGCTTGGACGCTTCGATCAGTCCGTCCGGATTGCAATGGTGGGACTGTCAAATATTATTCAGCTTTAGGAAGTAGCGAAACACGTCAGTATATATGGAATAACATTCTCATTCGTACTCTCTGTCTCTCTTGATTCAGTGATCATTTTCATAACATCTTTCCAGTCAAGCTCCCATCTCGTCTTCATCCATCTATTCACAGCTTGCTCGAGCATCCGTCACTATGGGGTACGCTATCTTGCCTGCGTTGATCACCGACATCGAGAAGATCTACGATGTCTACTTCAACGCTTTTGGGAAGGACACTATGGGCCAAATCATGCTCGACATTCTCTTTCCTGGGGGAACGGACTCTGAAGCTTTCCGCAAAGCGCACACTGCCGGGACTTTGGCCTGGTGGCAGCACTGCAACTACCAGTACACGTACAAGTGCATCGACACCGAGACGGGGGAGATTGTCGGCATGGCTCTCGGCGACATCTATCTGAAAGAGCGCAGCGATGAGGAACGCAAGAATCACGGCGCTACATGGCTCGAAGGCAAGCAGAGGGAGCGAGCCGAGGCTATTCTGAACCCCTTGCACGACGTCCGAGAGAGCCTGTTCGGTGGCCGTCGCTACATCTGTAAGTCGCATCAACCTAACCGCAGATCTTTCTTGGCAGCGAACGCTGACTTCCGCCTTCCCAGACAGCCACGTTATCGCCGTCGACCCCAAGCATCAGGGCAGGAAGGCCGGTGCGCTGTGGTGCAAGTGGGGAATGGAGCTCAGTGACAGCCTGGGAATCCCCTTGTACTTCGAGTCATCCCCTTCAACTTACAAGCTGTACGAGAAGATGGGTTACGAGACGCTGGATGAGAAGGTCGTTCACAAGCCCGAGATCACTGGAGCGTCTGAGGACCACGAGGTGCCCCTCATGGTGAAGATGCCTGCCTGCGCTGGTGGCATGACTTTCAAGGAGTGGCGTGCGGCCGGATATCCCTCTTTCAGCGAGGTGAAAAGAGTGCCAGCCACACCAGTTCAGGATGCCGTGACGGAAGACAAAAAGACTGGCAGCGGGCCCGTGGCCATTGAGGTCCAGGTCCAGGAGGTGCGGGTTTAGGATCCACGTGTTAGTGATGGCGTTTTGGTTTTTTTAGTATTGATTCGGACCTCGGATGATTCCCCTAGCAATTTTACCATCAGGTTGCAAAAGTTCCTCTTCCAACCATCTATCTCCTTGTTCAGGCTCCCAGTACGAAGTACTGAGTACCTCAAGATACTGAGTAGAAGAGCCACAAGAGGGGCGCCAAAGTGGAGGGAGCGTCGCTAAGATCCATGACTCGTTTGCAGGACAGCCCAGTTGAGCCCACCACAGGACGATTAAGGTAGGCTGAAGGGCCCAGAACAAGGAAGGGGCTTGTGCTCTGCCAAGTCTCTCGGTTGGCGGAACTCTCGGTAACCGTTGGTTCCAACTGTCGCCCCATCGCTGACTGCATTTGCTTGGCCCTTTTGGCAAGTTGAAAGAGATGGCGGTGCCCTATGCCTCTTAGGGAAGTTGTGTAATCAGAGGACAGAAAAGCTGAAGACACGGTGCGTAATTAAATTTGAAAATCTGCTAGCCCTTAACCCGTGTCTCGGCGCGAAGTTCCCATTGTAGTTCAGCTGCTCACTTGGAATTCGCTTTTGACTTCGTTGGCCCAGGTCGTCCTAATTCTCCCTCAAGGGTATGTGGAAAAGTCCCCCGAGAAATTGGACGAAATTTTCCACCTCTTCGGGTTGGATGGATCAACAAGGTAACTTTCACCTCCATATAGATGAGTCAGAAGTTAAGGAGAATTGGGTCTTGTTGCTGTTTTCCCGCCTACGGTCAATCCGGGCTCAACGCCGGAAAGTATAGCGGACAACAGGGGTCTTTTCGGCCGAAGCGACATCGGTCTTTTCAGCGCCGAATTTGACATCGGAGCGCACCAAACTAGCGTCTGTTCTCTTAGATCTAATCAGATGCATGTCGCTGATGTCCATCTGATAAGCTACAGTCATGTCCTTCTCTCTTCCCTTTTCTCATGTTCACTTTGCCTGCCGCGAACTCCCTTACTCATCTGGTCTTCTGTCCACGGAAGCTCTTTACAGTTAGACCTGTATCTTCCATTTTATTTCCTTGTGTATGAATGACATCGGCGACCGTCGGTCCGACCAACACTCATCATGCTCAAAAAGGTGAAGAAGGTGATCCTCTTTGTGAGGCTCATTGGCTACTCGATGCGAATCTTTGCAGATATGTTTGCGCGGGCCTATACAACAAGGAAGATTACAGCCAATGCTTCATCTCAGATCGAAGGCACCGAGACGATCAACATCGTAATCATCGGCGCATCGTTCGCCGGGTATCATGCAGCGCAATTGATCGCAACAGCGCTCCCGGCAGATGGCCCCTACCGCTTGATTATCATCGAGCCAAACAGCCATTGGCAGTTCACATGGACTTTGCCCCGTTTCTGCGTCGTTGAGGGACATGAGGCCAAGACCTTCATTCCTTACGGCCACTACCTTCCCGCCGACTCGGGCCCCATCGTACGGTGGATCCATGATCGCGTCTCGACTATCAGTGAGAAGACGGTGACTATTCAAGGAACCGGCGAGGAAATTCCCTACTCTCACATGGTCATTGCGACCGGATCAGGAGTCGGCATGTCTTTGCCTTCAAGAGTTGGTTCGACGAAGAAGTTCGAGGGGGTTCAGCTTCTGCAACAGTTTCAGCAGCAAATCAAGTCCGCCAAGAACCTCGTGGTGGTCGGTGGCGGCGCTGCTGGCGTTGAACTCGCTACTGATGCCAAAGACCAATACCCTGAGAAGAATGTGACGCTGGTTCATTCCAGAGATGTCGTCATGAACCGGTTCGGTCCTGAGCTTCAGGCTGGAGCCCTGAGAGGCCTCGAGGATCTCGGGGTCGAAGTGATCTTGAGCGAACGGACCACCACTGACGCTCCGGTTGATGGATTCGTCACTCTTCGTTCAGGCCGCAAGGTTAAGTGCGACTTCCTTGTAAGTTTCCCTACCTCAAGTTCAATTCCCAGCGGCCGCCTCATATGTAATAGGTCAATGCAATCGGCCAGCAGCCTTGCTCCCAACTGGTGAGCGAGCTAGCACCCGAGGCCATTGCCAAGTCAGGGCGCATCAAGGTCAAACCGACAATGCAGATTGACGTCGATTCTCTTCCTAATATCTATGTCTGCGGTGATGTTGCCGAAGCTGGGGTTGTGAATCCCAACGCCCGTGCTGCCATGAAGCAAGCCATGTTCGCTGCGGATAATCTTGTGCTCTCTCTACAAGGCAGGAAGCCATCATATATATATCAACCGCTCTGGGCTGATGGGGTCATCAAGTTAACTCTTGGCCTTGTAAGTCTTGAAGCCCCATTACCACAACCAAGGACCACCTTTCAAGAGAGGATAGGAGAAACTAACGTTCCTTAGCACAAGTCTATCACGGCTTTTGGGAGTGGAGATACGGAATTCCTTATCAACGGGAAAGAGAAGGAAGTTACCCTCATGATCAAAAGGACTTGGCAACACATGGGCGTCACCCCATATGAGGACGTGGAAGATACACCTAACGTTCAGGAAGAAGCGATAGATAAGGTCCGGGAGCTTACGAATGATGTGGTCTGAGTAGCGAATAAAAGGATTCGTTTATGCAAGCAGAGCGCTTTCCGTAGTAACATCAAAATCAATAGATAGCGGAAGGAGCTTGGCTTGAGTTTATAGACGAACAATTGCCTGCAATGAACTTAGAAGCTGTGTATGCCTTCCTTCAGCTGTCTCTTGGAAGTTGAAGCAATTGTGAGATGGCAGGCACGAGCTTAGTCGTGGTTACCAAGCCGGCGCATCCATATATCTCATAAATCGACCAGTTCCGACCCACCTGTCAACGTCTGTCGTTCCGACGTTGTACGGATAGCGTCTCCCACATTCCCGATGTGGCAGCTTTGGCTAGACCCTTGTCATGACCAGCGTTGTAGTGACCCATCTCGACAGATTTCGGAGGCGCCATAACACAAAGTGGGGTGATTGAGCTTGAACAAAGCTTGATTGAACGTCATGAAAACTTCCTTTAGATTTTGAAACCTTGAAATCTGTGCCGTCGCTTGTGATGTGACTTCGAAAGGTATCCCTCTTCAGCTGACCATAAACTCTGATTATGTTGAGTGCTGACTTACATCGCATTATATGTGGAAAGTTATTCCTTAAGGTGTTGCATGACATGACCGTCTCTTAGTTGTGTGTGACAGCACACCTTTTCTTCAGCCAAGTATCAACAAGGGTCGAATCACTCTGCTACTTCCGTATGTTGCTTTGGCTCTGATGTGCCCTGTGGTCAGCCACACTTGACACATACCCGGCGGGATCCTTTTGGGCGCGCGTAGTGGCGGGCGGACTGACAATATCTAGCAGGGTGAAGCTCAACGACTTCAACAGCCGTTTCGTCTGCTTGTCCGCAAGGGTATCAAAACTCTGCACACATTAGCTACACAGCCGCCACCAAACTCATCTCGTCATTCGGATAAGTACTCATTCATTATTTGATACAGGACTACGCGGCAACACTCAGGACTGATCGTATGGGAGTTGAAGTATGACATATCCTTAATTCTGGGCTATTATGTGACATTCTGGTGTTTGGACGAGTCAATATCTAGACCTGTGTGGATGAAGACACTGAATGAGACTCACTCCATAAAGATTCGTCTACAAAGCGTACTGTCGGGCTGAAAGAAGGCCTTTTCCAGAAGCTAGTTGACCTGGTCAGTAAGAGGAACTGAATCGAGTCTTGATGGACTTTAAAGATGGGTGTTGTTAGAGCTTGTTTGATTCTTCAACTGCTTGATCCACATCAAAGAGCTCTTTCTTTGGTGTTCACCTCAATTTGTATGTACAAAAAGATTAGATGAAAATTTGGGAAAGACTTTGGTTGGCACATGACTTTGATAAGAATTTATATTTATGAAGTGACCCTTTAAATGGAAGTCAACCTATGTCTCCAGCCACTTACATAAAGAACTTGCATTTGGAGCTCCGTCTCGGGTTTCGGAAACTTTGCATCAGCAAGGTTGGACTTTGACATGCTTTGGTCCAAGCCTTAGTTTCGTTATCATAATTCGGAATGAGCTTATGCCTTTTAGAGTCAGGAAAATTGATGGAAAGTCTTTGAACGAACAAAACGTTGATTAAAAGTGGGCCGAGAATGAACTCAATCAGGCAGCAACCGGATGTGTACTTGCAAGGGCGTCAGACCACGGAAGATTCTAGTCGGTTCCCTGTGCTGTGTGGTAGGCAGTATTTAGAGCACTGCGAGTTGTCCTACACGCTTGATATGCTTCAATCCAAGAGTATTTGATTCTGCGTCTGCATCCTCGCCATTTGTATTATTCTGCTTCATCTTCTGACATTCTTCATGTTGGTTCGTGTATTCATGTTTCCTAGTTTCGTCCTATGACATTTACCCCAGCTATTTGTTTTACACGAACAGTCCCATTCATCTTAGTTCATTTCTAATGAGAAAACCACTGGGCAGCTCAGAACCTTGACGACAATGTCAGCAAACTGCTAGCTCTGACTTTCGGTGCAAACGCATACGGCAGTGGAGGCTTGACGCCATAAATACAACATTAGCGAACGACAGCATCTCACCACGGAGACTCCACGAAACATGGGGAAGATAGCAACATCACCGCCAACCGGGGCACACAAACAGAGAAGACAGCAGAAGAGTTACCTCACCAGGAACATCTTCGACATCTTGGGTCTAGAGAATGACGACAGCCAGATATGCAAGTTCCAAATGCTACCGCTGGACATTCACTGCACCATAGCTTCCTACCTGGACTATGCGGATGCATTCAACGTTTCTTTGGCGAACAAATACTTCCGCGAGAACTTGAATCCCACGATCGTCCTTCCCAGATGGCGTTGGGTGCCTTTCTTTGCCAGTGCGGATCTGAATCGCCACTGGTATAACTACAAAAGAGAGCGAAAAGAAACGAAACGATGGGCTTGCTTTGGATGTTGCCGATTCCTCCCCAAAGAATCGTTCGGGGACAGGATGCGGAAGAACAAATGGGGCAAGAGAGGGCAGCAGCAGAGTCGGCTGGGCCACAGACGATGCTGGGACTGCGCAATCGCGGAGAGGCTCTACGAACATCTGCAGCCCGTGCTCAAAGATGGAGAGAAGTTCTATCTGTGCCATACGTGTGGTCGAATGCAGCCCGAGTGGCAGAAGTGCGAGGAGTCGGCTTGCTACGAAGAAACCGCCGCCGCCCCGTCATCGCACCTCGCGGAACTCCCTTCGGAAATGCTCGAGAATATCGTTTCCGGTATCGGACTGCTCGACGCGATACACCTTCGGCAGGTCAACCGACATCTGCGGGACACGGTCCGGACGAGATGGGTCCCTCTTCACGAGCGCTTCGGGTTCGTGAAGCAGTGGGAGCCCGAGATACAATGGGCCTTCGGCCTGCCTCACCCCAGAATCCGAGACATACCGAAGTTTCCCTGCTACTCGTGCTTCGAGGTGAAGCCCTTCAAGAAGTTCCCGATTCGGCAGCATCGGTACCTCGCCACTTACCCAGATACCTTCTGGAAGCGGCGATGTGGCGCTTGCGTGAACGTCTTATACAACAGTTCGACGAAGGGATGGTGCGAGGAGGGCCTAGAAAATTTTAAGAGCCAAACTTTATGCGATGACTGCGGCTATCTGAGGCGCAAAGAAGAGACGTGCCACAACTGCTTGAGAAACTGCGCTGGGATTTCCGACCATGCCGTATTTAACTCAGGCGCTGATACTGAGACGGCTGAATAAGGACTGTTGTTTTAAGGGACGAGAAGAATACTCATGCAGGATACAAATGGCGGTTAAAAAGGCAGGAAAGCTTGTCGGTTTTTGAGGCTTCGCGAAGTTTGAAAGTTTGGGCTTCTACATTTGAAGTCAGTTGAACGTGAAGGGTCTTAATTAACTTCAATCAATTGCTAAAGCCCCAAGAGAAACCTCGACCCTCACGGTGCGGGTGAACTTTCCAACATATAGGCTGTCATTTAAGTTCTTCTCTCCCGAAAATTCGTATGCGGTGTCTCTCAATGTCAATGACGAATACGACCTGCACCGCCAACACCGATCCATCAATGGACACACACGTCTCATTTTAAATTCTCCAGATCTCCGTCAGAGAAAACGGAAGACTTGCCTCATCTCACACATTCATTGAAACCAATCGTTTTCACCCAGCCAAAAAACCTTGTCCGTCTCAATGAACCACCTCCCCGTTGAGCTCACCTCGCTGATAATGGAGCACGTTGACGACCTCTCCACCCTCGACACACTTGTCCGTGCAAACGACGTAGCCAAAAGCTTCTACTCGCAGTCGCCCAAAAAGTATTTCTACTCCGTCTTGGCCAACAAGATAGGGGAACGACACATGGGTGTCATCTTCGCCCACGAACGACTACAACTACAGCGCGGAGGCTTTGACGGAGAGAAAGAGTCAGACGACGGGTACCACGCGCGGTTGTGGGACTGCATCGACCGCCACGTTAACCAAAGCACAATGGAGTCGAAGGTTTCCTGGCGGCGCGAGTATCTTCAGTCCAGCGTAGACGACGCCCGCGAAACCAAGGGGAGGGTCGAGTTGTGCGAGAGCATTATTTCAGGTGTACAGGCTCAGTTGGAGAGTTTGTCCAGGCCGCGACTCTCCGCGGAAGCCAGACAAGACATGCTCGTTGTGCTCCTCGAAATTCTTCTGCTTACGAGGGTTCTTGATTCCTCCCTGGGGTCTGCCAAACAGTTCACGTGCGGTTCTTTCGGGCCGTACTCGGGACTTTTCCACAGGAAAGAGGTTGAGGATATCGGCGAGGCGTACGGCTGGGGTTACGGCGGTGCTTTAGACCTCCTTTTCCGCAAGTTTGGCATATCGTCTCTGTATGTTTATTTTGATCTCCCACTTGACACATTTTGTGTTTGTTACGAAACCAGCAAGATGTTGTGGGTGATCAGATGAACTGAGGCTGTTCTGGATGGGAAACACGCAGTGTTAGGGCCCTATGTAGCTACGCTGGTTGGCACACAGAGTGGAGGAAATTCGACAATGGCTGGGTAAGAATGCAGGAGATATAACCATACTTCCGACACATGTAGTGACAGCACTGCGGCGGCTCATGAGCCGAGCTGGGTCCCGGGTTTTGGTCTCCACTTCACGGCGCCGGATGCCGGGTGGGGCCGGTGGACTACCTCCGCGTCGTAGGTAGTGGTGGTACTGTTTGGTCGCCAGAGCGTCCTTGTATGGGCCAAAGAGCGTCTATGTCGAGCTGCCTGAGTATGTTACATATCCGTCTTATTACCTCGTCTTCTTCCATGCCTCTAACTAGTGATATGTACTTTTCACCCCCTGGTGAGAAGCAACCGCACTTCGTTTCACACGCTTTAATGGTTCTTTTTTCTTTCGCCCAATGCGAAAGACCTTTGGGTTGACAGCGATGACATCTGTATTAGCAAGAATTTCAATAATACCTCTCAAAACAAGCCTCTTATAACAAGTGTGTATCAACAGTACGAAGCCCTTGTACCTCGGTTCCCCGACTTGCGGGGTCGCGACCGAAAAAGAGACCTTCCCAAAAACCACATTTCCCCAAATTGTCCAAGCAGAGCATACCTCCTTCCTTTTTCTACCGGTACTGCCAATGAAAAATCTCGTGCAATTTATCCTTCGCAAGGCCAAGCACTAGCTTCAACTACCGACTGCCGTTGCCGATATTCAGGGGGGACGGGTTCATCCCGCCGGCAAATCGCAACGTTGACCTTAAGCGGCGCAAAGACTTTGGCGATGTTATCTAATACGCGCTCTCGCTTGTTGAAAGCCATGTTAGACGAAGTTGAGGCGCACTGAGACCTTCCTTTGGTGTCATTCGACTTGAGCCGAGGCCTGTGACTTTTTGGCTATTTCGGCCGTGATCCTCCATCGGGCAACTTGGCAAAGGCCATGATGAGCCTCGACGGGTATAAAACCCCGCTAAGATACTCAGTTTCTATCATCCAAGCTCCAAAACCATCCTCATCCAAGCCATATCTCAAGTAGTGTCAGCTACGAGCTCCACCTCCACCATGCTCTACACAATCATCGTCGCCGCCCTCATGGGCCAAGCCAACGCAGCCCTCCAGCGCGTCACAGACTTCGGCTCCAACCCGACCGGCCTGACGATGGAGATCTCAGTTCCGGCGAACCTATCCCCCTCTCCAGCCATCGTCCTCGCCCTACACGGCTGCGGCGGCTCAGGCCAAGCCTACTCCCGCCAGGCCCAGTACATTCCCCTCTCCGACCAGAAGGGCACCTTCGTCGTCATCTACCCGTCCTCGACCAAGGACTTCAACTGCTGGGACGTCGCCTCGACGCGCAGCCTCACCCGCGAGGGCGGCGGCGACTCCACGGGCCTCGCCAACATGATCCGCTACACCGTCGACCGGTACGGCGCCGACCCGGCGCGCGTGTTCGTCACGGGGAGCTCTTCGGGGTGCATGATGACCAACGTACTCTCCGCGACGTACCCCGATCTCTTCGCAGCTGCCTCGTGCTACTCCGGGGTCGCGGCGGGATGTCTTGCCGGATCACCCGGATCGAGCCCCATCAGCGCCGACCCGAAGTGCGCCAATGGACAAGTCATCAAGACGGGCGCTGAATGGGCTGCGCAAGTGCGCGCCATGTATCCTGGGTACAACGGTAGCTACCCGCGAATGCAGACTTTCCACGGCACGGCGGATACCTTGGTGACGTATCCCAATCTGGGTGAGCAGCTGAAGGAATGGTCGACGATTCACGGCGTCAGCTTCACGAAGAACAACACCAACACACCTCTAAGCGGATATACGCAGATTGTCTATGGCGATGGCACCAAGCTGGTGGGAATCTCTGCACAGGGAGTCGGGCATACCGTGCCGGTCCTTCCAGACCAGGATCTCAAGTGGTTCGGGCTGTAAATATGAATTCCAGCTTTTGATGAATGATGATACGCATTTGCCTATGATGTTTGCGCTATGCACAGAGTATATACGGGGAAATGCTGTATGAACGCAAGAAATCTGCCCACGAAGGGCAGCCGCTATCATTACATGAAGAAAACGACGAAAATGTAACTAGAACATCTCTCTAAAGTGGTAGAAGACATTGTCGACATACGGGTTAGGCATACTGGTGGTTGCCGGGGCCAGATCTGCGCTGGATGACCCTACGAAACCATCTTCGCCTGTTGAGTAGCCGTTCATGCCTACATAATCTTCGAAAATGCGGCTCATTTCCGTCTGGATGCGTGCTCCATTGTTCGGCGACGGAATACCATCAATACCGGCGATGGGTTGTTGTTGAGGCATCGCCTGTGAAGAAGATGGCATCGACGATCGCCCAAACGGCGCCATGGCAGCTGGGTTTGTCGACAGACGGCCAGTTGCAAGCCCTGCCATCGCGAGCGCCGCCGAGTTATGCGGATCCTCGTCGGGTTGGTTGCGGAGACCAATGCTAGGTGCGACCTCCTTGAGCGACGAAATGGTACGCCAGAGACGCTGTGACACCCAACTCTTTGCGGAAAGATCTTTGACAAGCTCCAAAGCCATGTAAAACTCTTCACGGCATATGGGGCTGAATTTGACCGGAGCGTGAACGGAAGCGAGGAAGAGAACGGAAATGGCCGAGGTGAGGAACTGGTGATAGAACACCTGAATTTTCCGGTAAAGGTTCGTAGTGTTGTTCAGATGGTTGAGATACCGGATCGTATCCTTCGCAAGGTCCACGACGCGTTGGGCCTGTGCCATGTGGCTCATGATACTCGTGGCGCTGTGCAGAATCGGAGTATAAAGCCAAGTACGAATCTGAGAAGCGGTCAGTTCTCATCGCCTCGGTATCAACCATTGAGATCTTAAACTTACCTGGTTGAATCGGAGATATGTCCAGACACGAAGCCTTAGTAGATTGTATGACGGGGTCGACGTGACTTTCTTCTCTTTGTCCCAGTTTCGAAGCTTGACTTCCTCCGGTACGGTCTCGTACCACTGCAGGATTTCTTGATCCAAACGCTCCATGTCCTCATGCCTAAGTTCGCGAGCTAGAACAGGTCCGAAATGAGCGACCTGACGCCAAACCTTGGCACCCAGCCTTGAGTAAGTGACCATTGCAGCGAGATATGGAGCGTCGTCCTAGCATAGTTAGTCATAGCGCCACAGTAATGCGGGAAAACAACTCACGGGCAGCGGCAGGTCTGGGTCGATCTCTTCGTCTGGGACAACAAACGGCAAGCCTGTAGCAAAAGCCCATCGTCTATCCAGAACGTACGCTGACCAGAAGCTGTTCAACGCAGTCTTCCGCTCCTCCTCGTTTTCAATGGCCATCAGACCAGTTTGACGATGAATACCCATTTCCAAGCATAACCTGGTTACTTGGCCCATGATACGCCATGCCGCAATTTCTTCGTTGGCCAGGAACTTATAGCCAGCGAGAAGACACAGGGCTGGAAGACTCGTGAAGTCAACCGGGTCCACCATCAGCTTACGGTTGGCAACGGCATCCATACTGTCGATCAGCTTAATGGCCTTCTCGCTATGGCCATGTTCCTCGACAACAAGAGCACAAGACATGACAATCTTGAGCTGGAGAGTCATGTCATCATTGATCATCGGCCTGATTCCTTGTTTCCTGGCCGACTCCATGTAAGGAAACAGGTTGCGAATATGCTCGATGACGGCCTGAATCTTGATGACGGGATACATGATGCCAACCTCCTCGTCATGTAAGCGGCTTAGACGTATCATCTCCTCCTTGGTAAAGTCCCATAAAGGTTCAGTCGGGTTCTCTTGGGGTCCTATGCGGAAGGGGCTGTCATCGAGCATCAGTGAGGGAGTACTCTGGTCCTCGCCATCACCGATGCCCTTGTAACCCATGTTGTGGATGGTGTTGTTTGCAACGTCCATATTGAAGGCCATGCTGGTGGGGCCACGGAAAGGTGCCTGCTTTGGTTGGGTCAACTCGGGCCGCTGGAGGGAAGACAGCGAGCTCGCCGGAGAGGCCTGGACGGTGCTCGAAGGGAAAGGTAATACTTTGTCTTGGATGGGAGCAAGACGCAGAGTTTCGGAACGAAGGGCATTCATGCTTTGGTAGAGGTTGTCGACCTGCTCCTGTAGCCGGGTCATCTGCGCCGTCATGGTCTTGTACTCGTCCGAGTCCTTGAAGTTGTTGGAACAGCAGTTAGGGGCGTAGAGGCACGCCAGGTTGAGGTTGCCACATCTTTGGCAGGGAGTCTCGCCATTGCACTTGATTTTGCGCCTCTTGCATTCGTTACTATGAGGGAGACGGCCGTGTTAGTGAGACCGGATGCCGGATTGGAAAGCTGACTGTATGGGTGACGACCCAGTAAGTCGGGCCATGGAATCGATCGAGTGCGCCAGGATGGTCGAGAAGTACGGAGGGAATGGAAGGAAACCTTACCAGGCGATCGATATGTACTGTCACAATCACAGTCAGCTTCCCGAAGTTCCACAAAGTTTAAAGACGGTGGACATTGCACAAGAGAGAGGAGGACAGAAAGAAGATATGACAGGGCAGAACGAGACGTGGACGGACGTGGTGGAGGCACGGGGGTAAACTGCCACGGCATAGAATGGGTTATGGGCAGTGAGAGGACGGAACGGAAGATAACGAGGACGACGACCAGAGAACTACGCACCCTATTCCGCTTGCTTCTCTGCTGCTTGGCGGCAGCGCCTTCATCCTCAGACTTCCTCTTAGAGCCAGACACCGAAGAAGCGGCAGCAGATGCGCCGCGTGCTCCCCCTGCCGTGTTCGCGGAATTGTCTCCGGGGGTCGCGGAAAGGGGAGAATGAGCTTGTTGATTGTGTGGAGAATAAGCAGCAGCAGCGCGGTCAGGCGGCAAAGGGACTGCTGTTTGGGTCAAGTAGTGCAGGTCGCTGACCTGCGACTCAATCTGATCCATTGCATTGCGATGCCCCCGCGGCTGGTCTCTCTTGCTGGGCTTTGTTTTTCCTTGAGGACGACGACAATCGCGAGATGGAGACGAGCGAGTAAGGTAATGGGTGATTTTTCCCTCCCCTTGCCAATTGCCTTACTAAGGTCAGCCAGACAAGGCACTTCCTCTGCTTCCGCGGTCCCAGGTCACCACGTGACCGGGCCGGATCCGCTATCTCCGCTGATATCTTGGCAGAGGCCCGCTATAAATGGATATTATCGATGTCTGATTGGTCGCAATCTAAAGTGCGCAGACACGATGTCGTCATCTCATGTTTGCACTGTGACATCGCGCACTTTTGGGTGCTCAACCTACTGTGCTGAAGACATTTCCAAACAGTACGAGGTAAATATCACGGCTTCATTCGCATCGCACGAGTTCAGCAATGCAGGCCGCGACTTGTCTGTGAAAGGCCTTATCGACATTGCCGATTTAGCTCATCGGATAACTCGTCCTCGGCACCCAGATCGCTTACTTATGCCACACCACCGTGGATAATCCTCTTGCAACCCGGAACCTACTTCGACTAAGTCATACCTGATCTAGGCCAACATGCTTCTAGTTTTGATACAGGCAACTCAGTTTCGGCAACGGTACTTTAGGTCTTTATCTGCGCAACGGCAATGTCGCAAAAATGAATGAATACGATTTGTCGCCTCAGCGAGTAGCTGTACATAGGACTCCCTCAGTCCCGCTGGGCTTGGTTGTTCACATTCCATGGCAACCATTGCGCGATGGCGCATGTCTACGCAGACCATCAGTTTCTCTTGTATCAACGCCCATCTCTCAACTTCCTAAAGATGTCAAGGTATGCAGAATATTACCTAGTTCAAGAAGACTGCAGGACACGATTTTATTTCCCGCCTTGGTCGTCGTCTAGGTCGTGTGCGGTGTTTTCGGTTATGTCTTCGATACCGTCTTCAGCGACATAACAATTCAATGATATATTAGAGAACTTCCCTGATTTAGAAACTTGTCGCAACACTCTTGTTACTGAGACAAATTCTCATGTGCAACTGTAAAGACCGCATCCAATGAAAGCTCAGGATGATGTTCCGCATGTGCCTTATGTAATCCCGAGAAATGGTGGGGTCCCCAATTCTGCCGCGCTTTACCGTCAAAAAGTTTCTTGAAGCCCAGAAATTTCGCCCAGTGGATTCCGCCGCCAATCGCCATACAACTTGCGACAGAAAACACAATGTCGGCCCGTCGCAGAAATTCCGACTGGGAAGACCAGGCGCCGAAGGGTATGCATCCAATGTAACTTTCTATATGAAGACTTGGACTCACACGACCTCACAGATCTCGATCCCGAGGCCGAGCACGTCGACCAGAGCGAGAACGAAGACGGCAGTGAAGAGAGCGAAGACGAGAATGCGGGCACGGAACACTACGTTACGGTCGGGTACGGAGACCACCCCTCAACAAGCATGCAAAGGCTCAAGGAATAGAGACTGACGGCCAGGACAGCAAGAGCAAGCTCCGCGAGAAGGAGGGCGTTTCCCTCGGCCCCCAATACCGCGGCGCGCGCGTCAGCCGAGATGCCCTGAACAACGAGAGCGACGGCGACAGCGACGTTTTCGAGGACGCGCAAGAAGAGTTCGACTCTAACGACGAAGAATTCGACGACCCCGAGACCGCTGATCTGGCCGCGGACGAGGCCAACGCCGGCGACGAAGACTTTGAGATCGAGAGCGACAACGCGCTCGGCGACAGCGATGACGAGAAGCTTGGGGAGTTCGTCTTCCGCGGCAGCTCGCAGCCAAAAGACAAGAAGAAGGGCGGTCGCAGCAAGAGACCCACTGCGGCTGATTTCATCTCTGACGAGGAGGAAGAGGAGGAGGATGACGACGAAGGCGAAGAGAACAATGATAGCGAGGACGATGACGATGACGAGGGCGGCATTGACCTCGACGAGGACGAAGACGATGAGGATGGCGAGGAGGTGTCAGAAGGCAGCGACGAAGATCTGATGGAAGGTCTCGAAGGCTCCGAAGACGAAGAAGAGGGCTCAGACGACGAATCCGCCGAGGACTCGGAGGAGGACTCCGACGAAGACTCCGATTCCGATTCCAAGCCCCGCCGCAAGTCCAACAAGGCCGACGCCAGAGCCGAACAGCGCAAGCTCATGAGCGAAGGCCAAAAGGCCCTCTCAGCAACCCTCTCCGCCGCCGCGCAACAAGACGCCCAAAAGGGCGTCGCCGTCCGCGAGCAGCGCAAGACCTTCGACGGCCTCCTCAACATCCGCATCCGTCTCCAAAAAGCCATCGTCGCCACGAACTCCTTCTCCGCCGTCGACACGGACGACTTCGAGCAGAGCTCGGAACCCTACGAGGCCGCCGAGGAGGCCGCCCTCAAGCTGCTCAACACCCTCGACAGTTTCCGCGCCAGCCTGCTGCCCGCGGAACTGGCCCAGGCCGGAGGCAAGCGCAAGCGCGCCGAGGTGGACGCCTCGACCTCGGACGAGGCCATCTGGGAGGGCATCCAGGAGGCCGAGGAGCGCGCGCTCAAGTACCGCAAGAAGGTCCTCGAGACGTGGTCCGGCAAGACGCGCAGCGCGACCGTCGAGGTCAAGGCGCGCAACCTCATCTCGACGCAGCAGTCCATCGTCGCCAGCCTGGAGGAGCAGCTCCTCAACGCGGACCGCCTGGTCAAGCGCACGCGCACCCCGCGCTCGTGCGCCCCGGCGCAGGTCGTCAAGAAGATCAACGAGGACCCGGAGGTCTACGACGACGCCGACTTCTACCAGCTCATGCTCAAGGAGCTCGTCGAGCAGCGCACCAACGACAACGGGTCCGCCGGCGCGGCCGCGCAGCCGACGGTGCGGTGGGCCGCCATGAAGGAGGCCAAGACGAAGAAGCACGTCGACCGCAGGGCGAGCAAGGGCCGCAAGATGCGCTTCAACGTCCACGAGAAGCTGCAGAACTTCATGGCGCCCGAGGACCGGAGGGCGTGGGAGCAGGAGGCCATCGACAGGTTGTTCGGCACCCTGTTCGGACAGCAGATGGAGCTCGGCGAGGCGGCTTCTGACGAGGAGATGGAGGACGACACTAATGCCGAGGAGGAGGGTCTGAGGTTATTCAGGAACTGAGGGGATTTGTAAAAGTTTGTGTGTATAAATGAAGATATCCCAATAGAAAGGGGCGCATCTGACTTTCTGTAATTCGACCTGCGTCTATGCACGAAGCATCTATGTCTAAATCCCGCCTCGATACCAGCATCCTATCCTACGAGAGCAACACCGATAAACAGCAAAAACAGCATGACATGCACGCCAAGATGGACAGCTGGGCCCCCAAGCGTTCTCGCCTGCTTGCTACCGTTGCCGTCTACCGCCGGACGCGCCAGGCGCACATAGGCGCGGTAACAAGGCCAGACATGCCAGAACGACAGCGATGCAGCTACCAGTCTACTCGTCTCATCGAAACCGGGTCGCCAGATAAAGACGAGGCATATCAAGTTCGTGCTCAGGAGCAAGCCGCCCAGAGACTGCAGCACCAAGCGGGCGGCGACGGACGGGCCGGGCAGCTGGTTCTCTGGTTTGAAAATGAAGGAAGACGCGGCGGCCGACTCGATGATGACGTGGAGCAGAAAAGGGAGCTTGGAGAGATGCATTGGGGATGTAGACTTCGGAGCTGGAGTTTCGGCGATCCTCCTGGCTTAGGTGGTAGTGCGGCGACGTGCATGCAGTAGCAGTATGGGGGAAAACGGCCGATCACCGAAAGGGCCGAGAGTCCGGAGACGCTGACGATCTGCCGGGGCGGCGAAATTGGAGGTCGGCGTGGAGCAATTCAATTGCCCGAGCGGGGAGACTGCCGGTGAAGACCTCCGAAGCTCGACGTTGAAGTGTTTCCGTGCTTGTCGGAGGGGTTTTTGATTCCAGTGGCCGGCGGTAGATCCGGGAAGCTTAAGTCAAGGTGACGTGAGACATACTTGGATGTGGCTGGTTTCCGACATTCTCAAGAGCTCTTCGTAGGATTCAACGCCCGGTCTGAAGGACCCTGTCTCCCGTCGTTTTGGGAGCCTAAGGTCAGCGTGTTTTGGGAGTATTTGACTGGCGGATGAGGTAGCAAATCAGGATTTATGCATAAAACAATTACACCGATACTATTATGACTGATTTATGCTGTATGGGCACTCGCAATCCCATGTCAACGACGATCTGGAAATAGGTCGCGAGAAAACAAAATAGCCGAGGCAGCAGGAGACGTCAAACGTCAAACTATCATCATTGAGCTTCAACATGCAGGGGAGCTCCCGCAGTGACCAGCCACCCGCCTTAATGCACACGCGAGCTAGGAGCTAATCCATGGATCATGACGCGTGCCGCGCACAAGGAGGCGCGCACCTTTTCAGAATACCGAGGACCTTCATCGGTGCTCTAGCACAGCGGGCTGTAGTCGTGTGTCCTCGAGCATTGTATGAGAAAAGAACAAAAGAGACTGGCAAATGGCAGAGAAATTGAGTTCGGACGGGAATGATTGTGTATCAGACGAGAGCTGTGTTGAAGTCATATGAGACGATTTTACCGTCTGTGTCAGTGTCTATCAACCCAACCAACCACTTCCTATGATGAGTTTAGAATTCACTTATTCTTCCACCTCAGCTTGTCTCAATGGAAATTGAAACCCCGGGTTTATTATTATCTATCCTATTCTTGCCAATGCATACCGACACCATCAACCTGCTAAGATGGCTGCAAGCCGCAACCCGTACTATGCAGCAGAGCTCTGAGCTTCTCGACTAGCAGGGGTAAAGCTGAGGTAAACCGCGATAAGGGCTCACCAGGCCCAGGTTCTTCTGACAGAGAGGTCTCCACTCGCGTAAATCGGCTCTCAAGATTGGATTCAGAGATGTTTCAGTGCCGGGGTCTCCTTCTTGCACCCCGTCACCTCTTCTGCTGGTTGGAACCACAAGTTCCTGATTCCACGGCGCAGAACAGCCACCCGTCCAAGGCAATCCGGCCGCTCAATGCCAGGATGAGGCAGAAGCTCCGAGCCGGGGGTCGTCGGCACGGGGCCTACCGCAATTAGCATGTAGCGGTCATGTCTGCGCTGCGAGAGAAGTGATTACGGCGGGGGAACCTTGCGAAACGAAACGGTGCAACAACACCTCCGTCCCTTCTTCTTTTTTCCTTTTTGTCGCCACGAGGAAACACGCGTTGCATGGAGCCCAGCCCCCCGGGCAAACGACACCTCCCTCCCGTCCTTCAATGACCTTGTGTCTTTGGCTCGCGGCAGCTCCCAACCCGTCTCGGCTGGGCGTTTTTGTTGAGAGGGGCAGAGGTCCCAGAGGCAGCCCGAAATCAGGAGCACAGCGCTTGTTTCGTTTGGCTTACATATGTATGCGGCCAACCCACCTCAGCTGTGCCGCCGTCACTATTATGTTTCTCCCACGCGTGGGGTCTGTCTGTCTGTCTTGCTTTCACATTGACTGACCGACTTTTCGTCTTCTCTGAAGCTGTCCGAGTCTGTGTGATCTGATTATCCGTCTCTCTGCCGTTGGCAACAGCGCACACAAAACCGTTGAGCCAGTCGTGCTGCACTGCTCGGTTAATTGGTGTAGCATCGTCCGGTGATATCATCACTCCGAATCAGCCACTGCGCATTGCAACCGGTCTCGCCCCCTTGCCGAAGTAGACCTGAACATACTTTCTGGCATCTTCAAGCACCAATCCTTCATCGTCTTGCCGTTCATCAACGTAGTGGCAGACGCCAATTGAGAAGACCGCCCACGCCTAGGAGCTACCCCTCCCCCGCACCTTAACTTGCGCCATGACAGCTCCCGATAGCTTCAGAGACCTTGGTCTCGACATCATTGGCGTTGGCACGCAGTACCCGCCATATGCTCTGGAGGCCAATTCCATAGACTACCTCAGCGAGAGGTATTATCCAGAGTCGTCTGCGTGAGTTCGATCAGCCCGGCGCATGGTGTGAAGATGCTAATACTGTTCAGGATGAAGAAGATCCTCTCCATTAACCGCTTCACCGGCATCGAGTATCGTTCGTCGATCGGCACACCCGAACACCCAATTGTCAACAAGAAAGATCCCCCATCGATAGCAGACCTGCATGAGGTTTTCATGAGCGACGGAGTCCCATTGGCGGTCAGCGCATCCCGAAAAGCCATTGAAGAAGCTCAGATCGACCTGACTGAGATCACCCACGTCGTTGCGACCACGTGTACCGACAGCGCCAACCCCGGGTTCGACCATTACGTGGTTAAGGGACTCGGACTGACACAGCAGGTTGAGAAGATTCTTTTGCACGGAGTGGGCTGCAGCGGAGGTTTGGCGACACTGAGAACGGCGGCAAACTTGGCGCTGGGCCATAAGTTCCGACGAAAGCCTGCGAGAATCCTGTGTGTCGCGCTCGAGGTCAGCACGACTTTGGTGCGAAGCGAGCTCGATAGCATCAACGAGACGCAGGAGACGAGAATCGGGGTTGCGCTGTTTTCGGATTGTGCCAGCGCAGTGGTGCTCAGCAATGGCATCGGGGACCCGACGACGCCTGTGTACTCTTTGCTGGGCTGGGAGCACAAGATTATTCCGGATACCGAAGGCGACTTGGGTTTTGATGTTGATCCCGTTGGTAAGTTGAGGAACCGAATCTTGTCCAAGGAGGGTATCTGACGTGAGCGATAGGATGGAAGGTCGTGCTCTCGCCACGAGTCCCGAAACTCGCCTCCGGAGCAGTGCCGTCAACTTTTTCAGAATTACTCGCCTCGGTCCCTTCCTTAGGGCCGAAATACCAGAACGCTGAGGACTTCGACTGGGCGATGCACCCCGGAGGAGCGACTATCCTAACCGAGGCCGAGAAGTCGATGAAGATTTCGTCGTACCATATGCGGGCAAGCTATGACACATATATGAAGCACGGTAACTCGAGTTCGGCGACGATATTCAGCGTCATGGACAGGCTCCGGTCAAAAGACATGGACGCGCTGGCGCCGGAGGGCAGAGCACGCGACTACGTGGTGGGGTGTGCATTCGGACCCGGCATCTCGGTGGAGATGTGCATGCTGAAGCGGAATCTGGGGGCTCGGGGCATCACGGGTCTAGAGACGCCGCCAGAAACAGAAAGCGAAGGTAGCAGGAGCGAAGCTGGGGACGATAGTGGAGCGCAGCTAGAGGGGCAGACGTCTTCGGGACGGGACGGGGACCAGACCTTCGTGGCGGAGGCACTGGAGAATCTGGAGCTGGACTAAGGGATGTTGGCATGGCGGGGGAATGGGGCCGGGCGAGGACAGGCGAAGGTATATACGATGGGAGGCGGCGATGTAAGGATGCATACCCCTGACGCGATGGCGTTGTTACGAGAATACAGCACACTGAGATTTGTTAGTCTGATTCGGCCCAGCCACGGCAGTGAAAGGTGATGATTGATATTGGAGTAGATGCACTACTTACTTGACGAAATGGGACGGGTTTCGAGAAGCTACCACGATTGGCCAAACGTTATCGAGATGTTGCAGAGCCATGACATGGCATATGCAGGCTCGTGGTTTGAGACCGAGATGGAGGTCGTGTTAGAGGCGGGAAGGCGAGCTCTTGGAAGTGGAGGTCACGATATCAAAGACACGAGATGAACCGAGAATCCTGGAATTTCTCCGGCAATGAAGGAAGGCATCGCGGAATGGCAAAGGGTTGACCGAGGAAGAGGACCCGGCCAGCTTCCCGTTGTGGATGTTGATTCTTCGGTTTTCGGCGGACAGAGGGTCGAGGATGGTCACGATCCCGCATCTTCCCGGGCTTCGGCAATGTTGTAGGCGTTAAGGCTGGGGTGGACAAGCGCCGATGGAAGGATGAGTTCATGTCCGGGGGATGGCATCGTCATGGAGCGGCGCGATTGGTTGCGCTTTTCCGGGGCTCGGCTGCATGAGGTAAAGGAATTGGCGAGAAGAGATCCGATGGTGCATTGGAGCCGGGATGAGGGTCGTCGAATCCGGGTCTGGGTGCGGCGGAGATTTGTTGATGCGGTGGGTGTTGGTTCTCTCGTCCCCTTCACGATGCACATTAGTATGAATCCAATGAAGAACGGTCGATTATTACACACCTTGAAATACACCGAAGAGCTCGGTGAAACCCCCTGGCTTGGACTTGTCTGTTTTTAGAAACCGAGTCATTGATATCCACGGGCTGGACAATAAATATCTCAACAAGCAGAATAAGGCCGAGATGTCTGGAGAGGGAAAAGTCAAATGCCATGACAGTCAGCAGTCTGGGCAGCGGTCTCGGTGGTCGACAGAGAGAGCCTGGCCCGTGCATGTGCTGCTCAACCTGGAAAAGCACAGGGCAGCAAGTGGTTTAATCCCTGTAGCGGGTGGGGCTCCAGCAATTTTTTGACGTCAATTGGACGATGAGTGGGGGGAGGGGTTATTCGCGTTTGACGTGGACGTGGTAAGAGGGGCTCTGTGATTTGGTAAGACACAGTGTATCCTTAGTGTAAGAACCTGAGGGAATGTGAAGGGAGGTAGGTACTTTCTGCCATGTATCTTTTCCTTCCGACGCTGCCCCTCAACAAGTCGTCCGGGTTGAGACATGAAAAAAGACGTTGGCTATTGTTGGCGCTCTTCGGTGAGGGATACAGCAGAGACGGTTTCTGGTTATTGCAATAGAGCCACTATTTTCAAAGTCAATTGGCACCAATAGCTCTGGTAATGCGATTCAAGGGAGACCATATCGCAGAAGATGGACTGCCCCTCGGTACATGTCTGTCGCAAAACCAAATGTACCTATTGCTGCCAAAAGTGACTTGAGAAGAGCAAAGAGTGACAGGGAAGAGGAGCTCCTCATGTACCTCCCCTCCTGCCTCCATCTTTCGTGTCCCCCCCAGCTCACTCACCTCATGCAACCGCGACCCAGCAAAAGGCATCCGCCCTGTCCACCTGCTGCCCGGACGGAGTCGTAACTGGAGCAATGAACCAGGTCCCGGTCTACCTACCTGCTCAGGTCAGCCCGAGTAAAATCCCGCTTGAGGAGCCAAACATAGTTAACCCGTCCACGTCCACCGATTCTGAACTTTCTTCCTGAATCTCTCCTCCTCCAGTTTTCACCTACATCACAACGTTTTGTCCCTTCGTTCCACGGACAGTCGCAACAGACATAACTCCTATCCGCATCACCGATACCAGATTAGATACCCCCGCCATCCACCATGGGTCTGATGCAAGAGCTTAACCTGAAGCCCGGAGTCATCTACGGCGATGACGTCCTGAAGCTGTTCAACTACGCCAAGGAGAAGGGCTTCGCCATTCCCGCCTGCAACGTCGTATGTCTTCCCCGTCAGCCCGGTCTTGATGGTTCTTCTTGCGTGTTGGCTGGCGATGCCCGCTGCCCGTGAAGAAACCAGACGGGCCGGGAAAAGAGGGGTGGTGATAATCGGCTAACAACCCCGCCTCCCAGACCTCCTCTTCCACCGCCGTCGCTGCCCTCGAGGCTGCCCGCGAGGCCAAGTCTCCCATCGTTATCCAGACGTAGGTTGACGCTCGATTGTAATACTTGGATTCGGTCCCTTTCTGACGTCTACCAGCTCCCAGGGTGGTGCCGCCTACTTCGCCGGCAAGGCCATTCCCAACTCCGCTGAGGGCCAGGAGGCTTCCATCGCCGGTTCCATTGCCGCCGCCCACTACGTCCGCTCTATTGCTCCCGTCTACGGCGTCCCCGTCGTCCTCCACTCCGACCACTGCGCGTGAGTCCCTCGCACTTCCATCAGTTGCGTTGTGCGCACAGAAACTGATTCCTTCGCAGCAAGAAGCTCCTGCCTTGGCTCGATGGCATGATCGCCGCCGATGAGGAGGAGTTCAAGCGCTCCGGCACTCCCCTCTTCTCCTCCCACATGATCGATCTCTCCGAGGGTTCGTGACCTCCGAAATGTCCTCGCCCTGAATCGAAACTGACAAGCAACAGAGTCGGTCGCCTACAACATCGAGACTACCGCCAAGTACCTCAAGCGCTCTGCTCCCATGAAGCTGTGGCTCGAGATGGAGATCGGAAGTAAGCTGCGACGCTCTGATCTGTGCTTTACACTCGCAACTGACAACGCTTTTAGTTACCGGTGGTGAGGAGGACGGTGTCAACAACGAGGATGTCGACAACAACTCCCTGTACACTCAGCCCGAGGACATCTACGCCATCTACCAGGCTCTGTCCCCCATCTCCCCCTACTTCTCCATCGCCGCCGGTTTCGGTAACGTCCACGGCGTCTACAAGCCTGGCAACGTCAAGCTCCACCCCGAGCTGCTCGGCAAGCACCAGGAGTTCGTCTCCCAGAAGCTTGGTAACGGCGACAAGAAGCCCGTCTTCTTCGTCTTCCACGGCGGCTCTGGCTCCTCCGTTGAGGAGTTCCAGAAGGCCATCTCCTTCGGTGTCGTCAAGGTCAACATTGACACCGACCTCCAGTGGGCTTACCTGGTCGGTATCCGGGACTACGTCACCAAGAACATTGACTACTTGAAGTATGTCTCCTCCCTTGTGAACGGCCGCAAATAGTCGCTAACTCCCAGCAGGACCCAGGTTGGTAACCCCGAGGGTGCCGACAAGCCCAACAAGAAGAAGTACGACCCTAGAGTCTGGGTTCGTGAGGGTGAGAAGGTCATGAAGGACCGTGTTAAGCAGGCCCTGTTCGACTTCAAGGCCGACAACGTTTTGTAAGGGATGAATTAATGGGTGATACCTCTGCAGGGACTGGACCGGGATGTAAGGTCAAGCTCTGCTCCGTGGGATGAAGTTGTCCGAAGACGCACCAACCTACGTAGCTTTTTCAATGAAGTAAAACAGTAAAAAAACAACAATGTCTGAGATATCCCACGTGGAAATTCTGCCGCGCGCTAAAGGACAACAAATGCGACGCCACGGTCTCTCGCCTAGAACTAGGGAGGTACCTGCTAGATGCCTTGGGATGCTGGAGTCTGCTCAACCGCCGCAACTCTAACCAAAAGCGCATTTTATAAGTATTAGGTATTCCACACCCTTGCCCAGAGGTGTTCGGCTGCAATCTACCCCGGTCGCCCGTGCTGGCTTCACGTCAGCACAGTTGTATCACTGCAGTCACCACCCCGCCTCTCCTTCTTCATTGCTCACACTCACAATCCACTCATACTCACGCCTCTACGTCTAGTGAGTTCTCATTCATCTCAAGATCATTCTGGGTCTCAATATTCACGACGGTAGCACCTCGCAATGGCTTCAGCTTGGGGCCTCTTGCGCCGCAATTACGTCACGCTTAATCCGCCGGTCGCCCCCCGACAGGATGGAGCTCTCCGTTTCGGTATTCTCGGCGCCGCCAACATCGCTCCTTTGGGGATAATCATCCCGGCCAAATCCCACCCGGAAGTCGTAGTCCAGGCCGTCGCGGCCCGAGACCAGAAGAAAGCCGCTGCCTTCGCGACGAAGCACGGCATCCCTGACGTCAAACCAGACTACCAATCCATCATCGACGACCCCAATATCGACTGCGTCTACATTCCCCTCCCCAACGGATTACATTACGAGTGGACGGTCAAGGCCCTCAAGGCTGGAAAACACGTCCTCCTGGAAAAGCCGTCCGTCGCCAATGCCGCCGAGGCCGAATCGCTGTTCAGGCTACCGCTGTTGAAGGAGCCCGGTGCCCCGGTGCTCCTCGAGGCGTTCCACTACCGGTTCCAGCCCAGCTGGCAGTACTACTTGACCCTGGTGGACGCGCCCAACGTTGAGCATGTCAAGGCGAGTGCGTTCCTCCCGTGGTTTGTCATCGCAAGCGATGATGATATCCGGTTCAAGTACGACCTCGCAGGCGGCGCCTTGATGGATCTGGGGACGTACACCATCAGCGCCATCAGGCAGACGTTCAAGGGCGAGCCGGAGGAGTGTCTGGACGCCAAGTTCCAGACCATGGCCGCCCCGGAGGAAAACGCGGACCATTCTTGGAAGATCACCTGGCGCATGAAGAGCGGCGGGACGGCGGAGGCGGAGGGCACGCTGCGGGGTAAGATCATGCAGTTCGGACCGCCGAGGCTGAGCGTCACGCACAGGGAGACGGTCGTCGAGGACGCCAAGTTGCCGATCGGGCAGGAGAAGACGCGGAAGCGGAAGATCGAGTTTGCCAACTTCATGCTGGGGTGGATCTGGCACCAGATCGACGTGGTGGACGAGTTCGTCATCAAGAACAAGAGCAACGGGTCGGTGGTGAAGAGCTGGACGGAGAAGCAGACGAAGAAGGCGTACACCTTCCGCGAGGCTGGTATGGAGGGTGTCGGAGAGGAGCATTGGTTTACGTACCGGCACCAGCTGGAGCAGTTCGTCAACCGCGTCAAGGGGCGGGAGACGAGCACTTGGGTTGACGGGGAGGACAGCATTGCCCAGATGAGGATGATTGATATGGCATATGCAAAGGCGGGTTTGCCGTTGCGCAAGTCGCCTGGGGTTACGATTGCATGATTCACGGCCGAGGCTGCTCATGTTTTGGGAAAGTCGTAATTTTTGCTGCTTTAGTGTAGTTGGATCCAAAGTATCAATGGGTATGAACTCTTGAGGGACGAACCCCTCGTATAATGGAAAATACAACACCTCTCCTCCTCCCCTCGCATCTCCCCCTCGTAAGCCTACCTACGTGATTCAACCCCGACTGAAACCGCCCTTGGCAACCTCGATAAACTCCTCCTTGCTCACCCAGCCCTTGCCGGAGATGTCGGCCATGTCAATCATGCGGCGCATGTCGGCGTCGCTCAGGGTGCTGTTGACCTCGGCGCACACGGCGCGCAGCGAGTCGAGGGTGATGCGCCCCGTGCCCCTGGGGTCGAACATCTTCCAGGCGTCCTCGGCCTCCTCCTGGGGGTCGCGGCGCATGAGCATCCAGGCGGCGATGGCGGAGAAGTGCTCCTGCGGCATGCGCAGGCGCGACGGGCTGCAGGGCCCGCGGGTCGGGTCGTGGTCGTGGGGCGGCACGCCGTGGGCGAGCAGGAGGGCGTAGGTTTCCGTGCGGGCCAGGTCGAAGCCGATTGCGCGCAGGGCGAAGGGCCATTCGCGGGCGTTGAGGGAGCCGAGGCCTTGTTGGTCGACTACTTCCCACTGGTAGACTGTTAGGTGACTTGCGAAAACAAGTAGAGGGGAATGCGGCTTACAGCTTCTCTGATGTTGTTTTGCCAGTCTGTCGGGAGGGCGGCCAGGTCGCGGCGGCCTTGGCCCATGTCGAATAGTGAGGCTGTCGTCATTGCGGCGGGTTGTGTGTGTGGTGGGTGGAATGTGATGTTCCGGGTATCTTTTGAAGTTGAATCGCGCCGGTCGTCGGGCCCGAGACTCTCGGAAGGCAAGTCGGGGGCAGCGGCGACTGAGAGTGAGACTCAGCTCCGGTGGCTGGGTGTGTGAGAGAGCTCTCTTGGAGCACCGGAATGCGACAAGGTTCGGGGTGGGGCAAGCTTTCGAGAAGTTCGTCAAACGGGTTTTCTCTTTCCTTTTCGTGAGATCCCGCGGCTTTTCGTGTGGAAATCGCCTCGGGGGTGGTTGTTTGGCTGAGAGAAGCTCAGCGAGGTTCACGGTTCGGTCATCTCATTGCGAAGTCGAGCGCGGTGAGAAGAAGGTGAAGCGGTATCCAATGGGAAAGCTCAATTGACGGGCGATGCGGGGCCGTGTGGCTGGGAAACCATGTCACGTGGTCGTCAATCGATCGGGAACAATGGGTGAGCTCGACGTTTTTGCTTTGTTTCATTTTCGTTCGAATACGAAGGCCTGTTGAGGCTTGGGATTCAAACTCGGCATGTCTGAATTCGTTGTCGAATTTGTCCATATAAGTTCTGCGAAGTCATTGTAAAAAGCTGTTCCCTGCATGCCTGCCGAGGATGTACCGACTGAAGACTTGGTCCAGGGTGTAACCAATCACTCGCATCTTTGACCAGACATCAATCGCCCTTGCTCCGAGGCATCGAAGACATCGAATCTCCCTCACCATTTCGAGATTTTGTGAATATCAGGGCGCGAGTGTATCGTAAGCGAAAACTGGTGCGATGAAGCCAACATCATTTCGCCCGTTCCAGTCCACTCTCCGAGTGCTGGGCCATGAGAACCCCCTAGTAGGTAGTATCTCTCTTTTGAAAATCACCAACACCACATTGACATACCACTTAGGGTCTGCCAAAGTCTGGCACGCCGCCACACTGGCCAAGAAAGCCGGTGCAACGGAAGATTCAGGGTGTCAGTAAGGTCATTGCCGTATCATCCGCAAAAGGAGGCGTTGGCAAGAGCACGGTCGCAGGTGAGAGAAAAAAAAACCACATGTCGCAATGAGGAGGTTTTAATGTATTCTTCAGCGAACTTATCACTGGCGTTTGCGCGGCTTGGCTACCGCGCAGGTATCCTCGACACGGATATCTTTGGCCCGTCAATCCCGACACTTTTCAATCTGTCTGGGGAGCCCAGATTGTCACAGAGTGAGCCCGATAGAGCAACTTCCGAGACGAGACTCCTACTGACATCCTTTTCAGACAACCAGCTGGTGCCAATGACGAATCATGGAGTGAAGACCATGTCCATGGGATACCTTGTGCCGGAGAACGACGCAGTGGTATGGCGAGGGCCGATGGTCATGAAGGCTATTCAGCAACTGCTACACGACGTTGAGTGGGGCAGCTTGGATGTTCTGGTCCTGGACCTGCCTCCTGGCACAGGAGATACACAATTGACCATCACACAGCAGATCATTCTCGACGGTAAGCTTGATCCCGTGAGGCAATTCATTATACTCATCGATAATAGGTGCCGTCATCGTCACCACACCTCACACGCTTGCTGTCAAGGACGCGGTCAAGGGCGTCAATATGTTCAAAAAAGTCAACACCAACATCCTAGGACTGGTACAAAACATGTCACTCTTCAAATGTCCGCATTGTCACGGCGATACGCATGTGTTCGGATCCAACGACAGAGTCGAGCGCCTGTGTAGAGAACACAAGATAGACTTTCTGGGTGACATTCCACTGCATCCGTCAATCGGCGACGACGCGGATCTCGGCAAGCCGACTGTGGTGTCCGAGCCGACGAGTGAGAGAGCGGAAGCGTTCCTCAAGATCGCCCAGAGCATCGCGCCCAAGATCGATCTTCGCTCGCCCTGATCCATTTGCTGCGCACCGGGAGAGCAGCCGGCGTGAGTGTAGGATACCCTGTGCAATCAAATGTTTAGTCAAGAGGACTCGAGATCTGGGGAGTTGTGGGCATCTCATGTATTTGTATCAACAGTCCCTCTGCGCTATCGGCAGCACCCAGACGGGGGATAACTCCCTTTTTTGCATCTGGAGGGAATAAACTCGTGTACAAACTGTTAGCCTATGTAAAGCGATAATAAGATACGTTACCAGGAAGGGAACGAGACTGCCAAACCACCCTTGAACGCCTCCCAAGCCTCGGACCTCCTTTCGTCGAAAATCCGTCCCATGCGAAAACCAGAATGATGGTAGGTGCTCAGTCGAGTTCTTCGTTCTGCTGATATACGTGTCGGCTGCGTGTGGGATCCTTGCGCATGGCCTGGCCAGAGCCCGTGAAGCCAACTATGATCGGGTCAGTGTGGAAGGAGTACGAGTCTGGAGACTGACGTACCTCGGCCGTGGACACCCTCGGGTGTGCGGAACATGCTGTCTTTCTTCTGATTCTTGCCGAACTTGGACTTGGCATTGAACTCCTGCCATTTACTCTTGCCCTTCTCCAGCTCCTTGGTAGCCTTGATCTTCTTAGCCTTGGGCGGCTTTGCGGCACCGTCACCCTTCTTCTCCGCGTCAAGCTTGGCTTGCTGCTCTGGGTACAGACTGGCGGCCGCGGAAGTGACAACGCCATTTGAAGGGCCACTGTGAGCTAGTGGTGTAGGTTGGGCGGGCTGTTGTGCGGTGCTGGATCCGGAGGCTGGTGTTCCGTCAGCTTTGCGCTTGTTGTTCATGGGACGGATGTCTTTGGCCCGCAGGGTATCGGTCTCATCGTAGCTCTTGAACTTGACGACGTAGATGGGTGCTGTTGACGAGCCGGTGATAGAGGTGATGCGGGCAGGATAGAACCCTCTGTCGCCCGAGACCCATTTCGCCATGACCGTATCGTTCACTCGGTAGGTTACGGGGCCGTCGTCCTTCTCTTCAACAGGGGGAGCAGCCTTCTTGAAGGCAGGGTGATTCTCCTTGGACCACTTCTCGGGGGGCGGGCTTGGGGCTTTCAGAGGTGCGGGCTTGGGTGCCTGCTTCGGCAGCAGCTCAGCAAGAGACTCGTCGAGAAGGGAGATCATGTCATTCAACTCCGCCTGCAAATTCTTGAGTTCGGCATTTCCAGGATCATCTTTGAGACCGGCGAGAACGACATCGAGCTGTCGAGATTACATTAGCAATCAGCGGCAACGGGGGGTTTTGTAGGGCCGAGAGCGCATACCTGCTCCTGGTACTGTTTGCGGTCCTCCTGCAGGGCCGTGATGTCGCTCGACATTGTGAATGTTGGTGGTAGTGAAAGTTCGCTTTATGAGCTTGATTCCCAAAGATAGGAATATATGTGGATGCGAGAATTTTCGCAGGGGTTGTGTTTGCGCAAAGATGAGCAGGAGTCGGCTGCTTGGAAGTGGTTGCAGTTGATGGCGCGTTGTGGTTTGGACGGCTGTGACGAACCTGTAGCGGATGCCGGACCGTACGGTAGGCGCAACTGCAAGCTTATTCAAGGATCACGTGTGAGTTGCGCAGAATCCCTGCCCGGTTGGAAGATGACATAATCCGGGGGAGCGAGCCAATCACGGTCTGACTGATTCATGATTCAGGTCCCCCAGATGCGCTGTGGTCCGGGGGGCTCTTTTACCTTAGGAACCGGGCTGGAAGGGGTGACTGAATAACACCCACTCCAAGTCACGTCAATACCCCAGGCAGCTACCTACCTAGGTATGCTGATGTTATCAACGTCCTCTGTGTCGTGGTCAACCGTTGTCATCATCGTGGCATTTAGCTATATAATTATGGCGCGGGGCGCTGACTTTCCTGGGGATAGGTGGGATTCATCCCGACGTCTTTAGGAATCTGGAAGACAGGGGTCGGGTCGGGTCTAGGCGACTTTAGTGAATGAGGCTCCCGCCAGCGCTCACTGAAGCTGCCCGTTCCGCTGTACACCTCAGGGTGCGGTTGCGGTCGTGCGGGCGCGAATTCGGTCTCGGGTACCTTGACAAGCTCGAAGTTCCTCCCCTTCTTTTTTCATTTATTTTCGCAAGCAATCTGCTTTCTTCCTCCCGAGTCTACTCCGTAATCCCATCTTGATCTTTCCCATCAAGAGCTGCATCTATGCTCAACTGACGCCCAATTGGCCCCGCCCCCGTCCACGTCTCACGCCCTGCGGTGGCCCTGTTCAGTTATCCAGGCATTGCTACATTGAAACCGTCGGCGGCCACCACCGCATCCATCGGTTCTCCGGACGCCCAGCAGAGGCAACGCTGCGCATCAGGACACTCTGACACGCCGACACGCCTGGTCACCATCCTGACACCCCAATTGCCGTATACGTACAGTACAGAACATCCAGGGGGCAAATAAGCAATCATGGTTCGAGACAGAGACACCGACGAATCCTCGTCGGCCAGCCAATCAAAGCGCCCTCCCCTCAATCATCAAGAGAGCGACTCTACGAACAGCGACCACGCCGCCAGGGAGCATCATCATCAGCACCGATCGAAGCCTCAGAAGCACGTCGTCGGCGCCGGTCGCTTGCATGCACGCGTCCCTTCTTCCAAAGCATTACACAAACACCACGGATCCAACGCTGCGAAACTGAACCACCGACGGATAGCTTCTCCCTCACCAGAGCGAAAGCCGACCTTCGCAGCCAGCCATCGCCGCGTTCAATCCGACGCCAAACTATCCCGCGACAGCTCATCCACGAACCTGAGCAAGAACAATTCCTCCACGAGTCTCCGGCGCAACAAGTCCCACGGCGAAGTAAACAAGAAGTCAAAGAGCTCGGACAAGCTCAAGCGGACCAACTCAAACCCGGCCGTCAACAAAGTCAAGTCGCAAAAGTCACAAGTACACTTTGACTTGGGCAACGACGGACAAGACGACGAATGGGTTGACGCCAGCGCATCCGCGTCACCATACCTATCGAGACGAGGATCGCTTGCCAGCGCTCAATCCTCTGCGAAGCCCGACGACAGCAGCGCAAATAACTCACGAACCGAAACCCCCGTAGTGCAACCGTCCCCGCCTCCTGCAAGAGTCCCCGACCGCGAAACCGTACAGCACAGAGAATACCTCACTTCGAGATTACTCCAGCGCACACCTTCTCACGGCGCGCCGCCCAAGATGACCGCAGACACAGTCTCGGTGTCGCGTCGGGGCCAGTCCCAGTCTCCGGACTCCATCAGCCGCGTCTCCACGCTCGCAGACTCGCACAATGTCACCGCATTAGCCGGCACAAGCTCTGGCGACGAGCTCATTTCAAGATTTGTTGGCGCTGGCAGCTCCGGCGCGGCACGTGAAGGGTCATTCTATCAACTCTCTAGACGGCCCGACAGTCGGAGGTCAGAAGACATCTCTCAGCAAAGACCACAGTCATCAGCGAGCTCCGGACGACCGACGAGACGAGATGCCGAGTTGTCGGAAGACGAGGACGGTACCGCGCTGGCGCCGCGATCGGCCAGACGATCTGCACCGCCGGCCGAGAAGTCGCGAACTCAACAGAAGCTTAACTTGCAACGCGCAAGCTCCGTGATCGAGCCCGGACAGGCAGTCACCGGTGGCGTCGGCGCGATCGGGGCAAGCCCACTCGTGGGGATCGGGGGGCCTGGCTATGACGGCGGCGCAAGCCGAGATCCGCGCGTCGCCAAACAGCTGGAACGGACAGGGATGGAGTATCTCAGCGTTCGCAGATTCCAGAATCCAGTGGTTCGCTCTTTGGATCGTCTCGAACAGATCAATCGCATGAGCAAGAATCAGCGGATACCGCGCAATGGCACTGCCAGCATCAACGGAAAAGCGGCGTCGATGCGCAGTGGTGTCGTGCCAGGTCAACACACGCGCAACTTGAGCGTCAACGAGAGTAGCGCAGCAGCTGCAAGGAGGCCCACCACACCACGCACGCAGTCGATCCGGACAAACGGCGCTGGGTCAAGCTACGAGGACGATCGCCAGAGTAGTCGAGCACTGCAAGAGGGATCCGGAGCCCAGGGGTTGAGTGGATCGAGTCTTGTTGGTGGAGAGGAAGATGAGGGTGTGACAGCCATCCTGCGCAATCTATGGGAGAAGAACCTGGATCTCAGTGCCAGCCAGGACTAGGAGACTTCGTTTAGCGATGAGGAACGGGATCTCATGCCCAAAGATTAGAGGTTTGGTAGGCTGCGCTTGATCATGTGAGGATTCATCACCTTTCTGCTGCCCAAGGAGTCACAAATTTTGCTGCATTTTCTTGCAGTGTGGGTGCGCGGTTATGATTTGGAAAGCGCATGTTTCAACAATGACGGTGTACTATGAATGGAAAGGGCGGGTTCATGGCGGGTTTCTTGAGAACACTGGCTCTTTTTCACCTTCATCAGGTGTACTAGACGAACGGGCCAAAAGCTTCAGATAGACATAGGTAATAGCGAGGAATACAAAAAGTAATCAATGACGATACTTGCGGATGAATTCAATTGCTAGAATTAGTTGGCCACACTTCCCAGCAGGATTTTCCATTGCCAACTCGAGGGATCGCATTGAATCCTCAACAGAGAGATCGAAACCTGCGGGTCTGCCTCTCAATGTTTCCACACTCCAAAAGACCTAAACTGCTCCCGTCGAGTTACTTTTAAAGAAAAACTAAGAAATCGATACACTCTCCGCGGTTATTCACCCCCTTCTGACAGAAGTATGTCTCGCTGCGCTTTTGATAAAGGTCAATGGATGACATGCTCGCTGCTCAATGACTCTTCCAAAGCGCCTTCTTGGAAGGGCTAGAGCGATGGTCATAGATTCACGCTATGGAAGTCAAAATAAAAAATCAGATGGTTTTTCTCTTCTCTTGCAAAATCTCCTGGCAGTGGCGTTCTTGGTTCCTCGCTGGAACAGGTGCATTCTGGCAATGACCCAAAATGTTGCAGTCTTATCTATACATCTTGGTCAGCCATCTCGTAAGGTAGGTAGATACTTGACGATGAGGGAAGTGTTATTTCCACCACCTCGCCTGTATGATTCGATGATCCCAAGGTTCATCTGAATGAATTGCAGAACGCAACTCACCGAGTCTTGGACACTGGTCCGCGGCTCGGTGATGCTCCTAGATCGGTCTCACCTAAGGTAAGGCGTGGTTTCGGAAATATTCCGGGTCTAGAAGGTAGGTCTAAGGTTCTGCAAGAGCCTCCCCCACACTCATGCTCCCTGCTCTGTCCTCCAGTCGGGTGCTAGTAGGGATACGCAAGTGGCTTAGCTTGTGAGGCGCGACATCTTGCCTTTGCTCTGCATCTTGCTGAGCTGCGCGAAGCTGCGGGGGTCGCGATCCTCATTTCCGGCGGCTTTTTGGTGTTCTTATTTGGCCTTCAGAAGCGCCCGGCTGCGACCCGGTTGCCGGCGCTTTCTTGGAATTCTCCTCCCTTTCAAAAACTATGGTCATTTTGGTGAGGAAGCGCAGACCAAAATGGATCCAGACTGGGACGAAGTAAGTTGCATTCAGGCCCCTCCTCGACTGTCGCGATACCGCAGTCCAGCCGCCCCGCGATCTTTCGTGTTGCCTCTCGACCGCCCCTTTTGCCCGTGCTGCAGTCTACTCGCTATACTTGTAAGCTTTGCTAACAACCTTCCTAATCGCAGGTCGCCCGCATCACCTTCCCGCCTCCGGGCGTCCACGCCATGGCCACGCCCGTGACGGCCATGACCTTCGATACGGCGCAGGAGCTATTGTGGACGGGAAACGACTATGTACGATACCAATGAGCTGGGGTGCCGAACGACGTCTAACAGATAGTAGGGCCGCGTCACTTCATTCTACGGCAGCGAGCTGCAGCGATACACCTCCTTCAAAGCACACACCACTCCCGATGGCCCGGTCCGACAGATACTGGTAAACGACAAGGGCGTCGTGGTGTTGGGTTCGAAAGATATACACATGGCCTCGCGGAAGGGCCCTCCTATTTGGCATGTTAGGTGTGAAGCCCCGGGCGCTGCTGTCGATTGGATTGTTTGGCCGACTGACGTCAACCCAGACACGACGACATGAAAGATTTACGATGCATGAGCTTTACATCCAAGGGGACCTCCGAGATCCTTGCCGCCGGTTTCCAGGACACCATGTTTGTGATCGACCTCGCTAGGGGCGAAGTAGTCAAACAGGTATGTCGTCTGCCCTGAGTGGCCCTCGAGTCTTGTTGACAACTTTAGGTTCCAACGGCGCACTCCTATAAAGTTATGAAGAGAAGCAGGTATATCTGTGCTGCAACTAAGGACGGCATAGTCAACCTGATTGACCCCGTCAACTTCTCGGTCGTCAAGAGCTGGAATGCCCATTCTGCTCTCATCAGCGACATGGACGCCCAGCATGACTTCATCGTCACCTGCGGTTATTCGCTGCGTCAGGGGCAGAACTACATGCTGGATCCGTTCCTGAATGTTTTCGATATCAAGAAGATGTCGTCGATGTCGCCAATCCCGTTCCCAGCCGGTGCAGCTTTCGTCAGAATGCACCCTAGAATGTCGACCACCAGTATCGTGATGTCTCAGAGCGGGCAGATGCATGTTGTTGACCTGATGAACCCCAATACTAGCAAGATGAGGCAAGCCAACACGATGTCATACCTGACCATGTTCGAAATCGCGCCTTCTGGCGAGGCCCTCGCCCTTGCGGATGCCGAGTATAACATACACATATGGGGCTCCCCATCCAAGGTCCATTTTGTTGATTTCGCATCGCAAACCGAGTTTGCAACCCCTGAAGGGCCATTGCCGACCATCGAGTGGACTGCCGAAACGTAAGAAAGGCCACTCTGAATGTGCAAACTGTTTTAGTCTTACTGACTTGCCTACAGGCCTTTGAACTCAATCGGCACCCCTCACTACCGAGAGACACTGCTGTCTGCATGGCCAGAACTCATCTCTGATGTCGGAGCTCCTCCGACCAAACCCGATCCACAGTTTTTAGCTACTCTTAAGGCAACAGAGTTCGGCATGTACGGGCGTAATACGAGGGGACTTCGAAGAAACCAAGTCGAAGACACCCGCAATTTGGACAAAGCCAGCGCGTCAGGCATCTTGGCTCCAAAGTTCCTCAGCGAAAAGGCTCGAGAGTTTGCCAAAACCCCGATCTTCGGCGATGAGGACAAGGCCGATGCCGCAACGTTGCTGCAGATGGAAATCGATCCCTCAAAGGCGGAGTGCCCACCCATGTATCGGAACGTTGAAATCAAGTACAGCAAGTTCGGTGTTGATGACTTTGACTTTGGGTATGTTAATCTCTGTCCTTTGCAGACGCAACGCTGACCTACCTCGAACAGATTCTACAATAGAACTCAGTACTCCGGGCTTGAGATTCACATTGCCAACTCTTATGCCAACTCCTTGCTTCAGATTATGCACTTCACGCCTATGATACGGAATATTGCACTCCAACACGCTGCGACCGCTTGTGTTGAGGAAACCTGTCTGTTGTGCGAGCTGGGATTCTTGTTCGATATGCTGCAGAAAGCCGACGGCTCCATTTGCCAGGCCACCAACATGCTGAAGACGCTTAGCCACCACCCTCAAGGTTTGACGAATTCCCGAGCTGTTTGGGTCGTTGTACAGAAAACTGACGTCTCCAAGCTGGGCCTCTCGGTCTTCTTGAAGAAGAACCTAACGGTTCTCCTTTGACTGTGATGCTGCAAGGCCTGACGCGGTTCCTCCTGGACAAAATTGTACAAGACTACAAATCCATTCAACCGGGCTCGACCCGGATGGAACAGGTTCGTGGTATTCTCCAGTGCCGTATTTGCATATGGCAGCTAATCACTATCTCCAGATGCTAGCAACTTCCGCGACAAGCTCCGTGAGGTGTATGAATTGTCGGAGCGAGTACACCCGTCCGGCTTCCGGCTTTCACAATGATTTGATGTATCCTCAACCTATTGTGAGTCTTCCCCACTCGCTGGTCAGAAATCTCTTTTGTACCACTGATGGAGTTTGCAAACGCACCATACTTTCTGGCCCGCTGCCCACTGCTCTCGTATTGCATCAAACACTAATGGTGTACAGAAGAGTACGGGACGGAATCAGAAGGCTCCTAAGGTGACCTTCTCGCAAATTCTGAAGTCCAGCGTCGAACGCGAGACAACATCTAAGGGTTGGTGCAGCCGGTGCCAGCGCTACCAGAACATCGCAGCCAGGAAAACCATTCACAGTATTCCGCATGTCTTCATCATCAACACTCTCATCTCGAGTCCGGAGCACAGACGCTTCTGGTCCACACCAGGATTCCTCCCAGAAGAGATTGGCGTCATAGTAGACCAGGGCCAATTCTTCTGCTACGAGGGAGAAGACCTGAAGCTTCATCTCCAGCGCGGTATCCACAACATTTCGGTGTACTCCCTCGTCGGCATAGCCCTTAACATCGATCCTGGCGCAGGGCAAAAGCCTCATCTGGTCGCTATGGCCAATGGTATGCTACCTTTCTTACTGTCGTGAATATTTTATCTGATCATCTCCTAGTTGCCCACTCTCAGCCTCAGACGCCGCAAGCAAGCCAATGGCACCTTTTCAATGACTTCCTGGTACGCCCCGTCAGCACCGAGGAGGCTCTTTCGTTTCATGCTGCCTGGAAGATGCCCTCGGTCGTTGTTTTCCAGCTGAAGGACGCAAACAACAAGATCGATACGGACTGGAAGAAGAACATCGACACCTCGCTCCTGTACGAGGACAACAAGTATGGCACCCTTCCCACGCATATCTTAGACGGCCCCTAACCCCGAGCAGCCCCCATGTGGATAGTAAGACATATCGTGCACTCGACGCGGCGACCGAACAGCCCGGGCCGGAAACCGTTATCGCCCTGGACACCGAGTTCGTCGCCGTTCGTCAGCCGGAAATCGAGATGAACTCGGACGGTGAAAGAGAAACCATCCGACCAATCGTGTATGCTCTTGCGAGAACTTCCGTCGTCCGGTGTCAAGGAGAAGACGAGGGTCTCCCGTTCATCGATGACTATATCAACATCCGGGAGAGCATCGTGGACTACCTGACGTCGTATTCAGGCATAACTAAGAACGACCTCGATCCTAAGCTATCCAAGCACAACCTCGTCTCCCTGAAGGTCGCATACAAGAAACTCTGGATCCTCCTGAACCTAGGTTGCAAGTTCCTAGGCCATGGCCTGAAGCAGGATTTCCGAGTGATCAACATCCATATTCCCAAGTCCCAGGTCATCGACACTATTGATCTCTTCTTCCTGAAGGAGCGCCTCCGCAAGCTGTCGTTGGCCTTCCTGGCGTGGTATCTTCTGAAGGAGGACATCCAGCTGGAGACCCACGACTCGATCGAGGATGCTCGGACGGCGCTGAAGCTGTATCGCAAGTATCTCGAGTTCGATGACGCGGGCGTGCTGGAGCCGATGCTACAGGACATCTACCGGGCAGGTAGGGAGAACGGTTTCAAGCCGCCAAAGCGAGAACAGAACATCCAAAGGCTAGATACACCACCTCCGGTTTCTAGTGAGGCCGCGGCCGCCCCTACGACGCCATTGAGGGCTGGCCAGGCACCGCCGGGCAATGGGTTCGGGGCAGGATCGACATGGACTCCAGGCAAGGGCTCCCCCCTTCCATAATGGGGAAAGAAAGTTGCGATCAAGCTACCTTAACTGCTCGCCCGCAAGTGTATCAGCGTGAAGTTAAACATCAGGCCGCTGGTTCGCTGGATCCCATACAACTCCTTTTTCCCGCTATTTCTACTTTCAGGCGTCGCAAACCGCGTGACTTTGGTTTAAGAGACGCTTCTACCCTGATTTCGACGTCTCCCGAGAACGTATGGCCTCCCTTTGGCGCGGCGACGCGCGGATATTCCGAATCCGACACACTACTCTACTCGACGCCTGCCATGCTTTGATTCATGGATCGCATTAACTCCGACAACATGCGTTCCTCATCTCACCTCGCAGCCCCCCACAGCTTCGACGTCGTCTCGTCTCCCCACCCCGTTTTCCGCCATCAGAACGCAGGTTTGATCGTCTCTCACGCGGCAAAATGGGCATAGATCACATAGACACCACGAATACAATGATCCATTTACTTTATCTCCATCTCCATTCGCGCATGTACGATCGTCACATATCGTTGGACTCGCTTGAGGATGGGCATCCGGGCTGGAAATTTTCTTGTTCAGCTCGACATCTGGGTTGGCAATGCTTGACTGACCAATGCAATCACAAGATGAGAGTAGAATGATTATGTGCAATTCTCAGAAACTATATACATTTTCCCGTCCCCACCCCTTTTCCCTCATTTTCTCCTTGTCCATTTCCTTGTTCCTTTCCTTAGATTATTCCTGCTGTTTGCTTATGGCTTGCCGCGCTGTTTGCCTCAACGAAAGGGCACCCGAGCTGAGGAGCAAGTGATATCGACGACTGTACACGAAATCTTGTCAGGCTTTCCCAGAGGAACGGCAAGCTAAGGTCTGTTGCGTTCATAGCTTAGCGCACAGTAACAACACGGACGAGGAAGACGGGAACAAGGAATGAAAGCAGACATAGCACGCAAGAATCCCTCCCTGAGTTTCAACTGCACTGCGTCAAGGCAAAGTGATGAAGTTCGGTTGCGAATGGCCAACAACCTCGAGCATCAAGCCTGTCACGATTCAGTCGGCGATAGAATTAGAGCCCGGGCTGGTAGTCCCCAGCTGATAATGGCTTGACTGCTCCAACAGCTATGCATAATCGCCGTCTACTCGCCGGAGAAGCGAGGAAATGCGCGGAATTGTTTTCCATTCCCCCTGGAAATGCCCGGCTGGTATGAAGGAATTCCAATAAGTGACCGACCCGCAAGGATGAGCGATGCTCGCCCGGTCGTGGAAAACGCCGCGGTAAGCGCCGGGGTCCTCGTTGTAAGATGAAGCCGGAACATGAGGCATCTCGGCTCAAGTTCCCAAAGGTTGCGGGAGCATCCGGGTTGGGAGTGGGTCAGTGAATGACGACGTCCAAATAGGGTATCGCCATTGGACTCCTTGGATCCCCCTTGGTCCCCTTGGTGCCCGATATGGGAGTCATCTCACGGGCTCTTGGCGGGAGTCTTCGCAAGCTGTGATAACCGAGCTGTTTAGAAAGTCCTGCGGCCGGCTTCTCGGGCGCGAGTAGCCGGAAAACGGGTGATGTTTGGGTGTTGAGTTCGGCGACGAGCCGCACCACGTCGACACCCTCGATCTAGACTCCAAGGGTCCGAGACAGGGGGGTGCGCAGAGACGCAGCTCGACCGCTAGGGTGAAGGGACCGTGGACGTTTCTATGTCCAATCCCAGAGCTTCCATATCTTGGGACGGACAAGCGTCATCCCGCGGGATGGGGCACAGGCGGCGGGTTCGCGCTAGGTTCCTGACTTATTGACAGGGCCTCTGACACAGGAGAATGGAAGGGAGGAAAAGACCGAGATGCATATTCGAAGTTCGAGTTGAGGCTTTGCATATTTCCGAAGTGGACTGGTCGCGAGGCCGGATTCGTCAAGTGTCGGTTTCCGGCAAGTGGATGGGATTTTCCACCAGTTGTGATGAACCGAACCGAGCTGCCGGGAATAACATACGGCGGCGACCTGGCTGGGATGCAAGGTTAACGATATGACGCACGATGATGGTTGAGGCTATGATCTCGCGTCTTCGCCATTACGGCGAAATGGTGAAGACGCCGACATGGGATTGCGGGCCCAGAAGGTTGCGATGTTTTTTTTGTGGTTTTGGACCCTTGCTGCGTCTGGTTCTATTCCCAGACCCAGAGACAATGTCTTGGGCCGCGAGTTTCCGCTGGGGGTATCGGACGAATCAGGGCGGGAGAGGAGGCCTCAATTGTTGATTCTTCTTAGCCGAAGATTATCGTTGATGGACGGGGTCGACGGGATAGAGTTTGGGCGTCTGCGAGGAGATGGAAACCAGTGGTCCCGGAGCGGTCGCGACCGCCGCGACGGGGCGTCGAGTGCCGTGGTTGAGGGCCGAGAAGGAGATTGGCTCACCGACTGGATTTCGCTTCGTTGGGGCCGCGAGGAGCGGCAGGGCTGGCCGGGTAGCTCAACAGGTTCACATGTTGCGTTCCAGTGACGAGAGGCGTTGAAGATATTGTGTGATGGTCCGGGGATAGGCCGGGTGGTGCGTATCAGAGAGACAACAAGATGGCGGTCTCTCAATAATTCCAACGGGTGCCCGTTCGGTGAGACACGGACGGGTTGGTGAGGTGTGCTCAACGGGCGGGTCTTCGGTGTCTTGGAAGTTTCACCTCGCTGGGGTTCTCGGTGAGATGAGGTAAGCCCAGGTGAACTGAGGTGAACTGAAGTGTAACTACCTTACGGATATGAAGCGGTAAACTGCCCGAGAAAGTTGAATGGCTAGGCCCCTGGCTGAGCTGTACGGAACACTTGGCGGCAGCAACACCCACTGGAGTCTGACCCTTGTCTGGTCAGAGCTGGGTACGTCATGGTGTCCGGATGCCGAAACCTGTTTGATACCGTTTCGAACTGGTTGAAATATTGAATGAACCAAGACCGTTAGACGGTCGGAATTAATACAGCTTTTCTTGAAAGTGCTTCAGTTGTCAGGTCTGGAAAGGGACAGAACAAAGACAACCTGCAGCGTTATCGCGTTATCCGTTATCGATAATAGCTGCCGAGTGGATTCTTAGGTAAGGTACCTACCTTACGTAAGTCGGAAGGTGGACCTCGATCGATGGCCCGTGTGATTTACCCCGCATTCTTGCAGCAGGTGGCAGGCAGACGGTTCCCAGGCCATTCCCAGTCCAGTACAGCGTTCTTCCAGCGCAGAAGGCGCAGATCCAATCACAAACCGTCCAATGTCAACCAACCTGAAGGTCAGATGTTCCGATTTTACCTCTTCCACCGTACCATCACTACTTACTGAGCTGTTATTCATGCTTCTCCCGACACTCCTGCGACTTTACCCCAACTTCTGATGTACCTACCCGATCATCTCCTCCTACGGCTTGGTCGGCATCATCGGGGCTTTCTCGTCTGGTCTCGGGAGGACGAAGGGCATGGCAAAGCAGGAAGATTCACAAGCTGATGTTCGAATACTCCGCACACAGCGACACAGCGACAAGAAGACGGCGCATGGCAAGCCGTTCCCGTGTCTCTCCACAAGGCGGTTAAGGTAAGGCGAACGGGGCAATCGTTTGGCACTAATCAATGCAGGCAATTCGACCCGTCTTTTGCAATTATCAACGACGAGAGAACGAAACACCCGCCGTCTTTTCGTCCGCGGACAAGACATAGGCCGTGTCGATTATTCGAGGCGGAGCAACCCATTTCGCCCAGCGCCTATTGTTCGCCCAAACCATGTCAGCCAACGATCGACATCCGTTTCACTGCTGTTGCTTTTGTGCCGTCATCCAAGTCCTTGGACGAGGGGGACGTTAGCCCCGTCTCCCATACGAATACACCTAGCAAAGCAGCTCTATCAAGGGAGCCCGCTTCAGCCGTCGCAGGGGTTGTTTTCAGGCGGTCCAAGCATGGCGGAGGTTGCTGTCGCCGTCGTTCGTTAATCTGTTCCTTTGCTCAGGTTGTCAGGAGATTCCCTCTCCTGATGACCCTGGTGACGTTTTCCAGCCCGGCTATCAGGTACCATCACATCTCCAGCCCTCCATCAATACTCCCTCGTATGCAGTTGCAGAAACGGGTCAAGTTCGTCGTCGTTGTCGTCGATGACAAGCTATTCCCCGAGATTCGAGCGATTCCCCCAGGTATCCATCCATTCGACCCTGCAACCCTTCCCGCCATCCTTCCATCCATCCAGCCAGCTTCCAGCTTCCAGCATCCCCCTCTTCACTGTCCGTCACGTTGATGAATGAGGTGTGTCGAAACTCATACCCCGCATCCGGACGGCACCAAAGCGACGCGACACACAATGCGCCTGCCCTCGCATCCACGTCCTCCCGCTTCAAATCCCAACGACCTCATTGGCGCGCCATCTAAGCCCAGGGACAGCGGCGCCTGAATGGGAGGGTGGGAAGCTTTTCCCGTACCCTTCGTCCTCGGGGTTGGGTGGCTTGGAGGCTTGCCCACGCTGGCCAGCTCGGCTTCTCTGCATCTCTAACTGTATGAACTGGCAACCATATGACATCGGATACCGAGACCAGGTACTTGTCTGGCTCCTCAACACCAAGCGTTGTCTCCAAGTACACTTACACTCGGAGAAATGGCAAGGTCAAGGTACCAGTATGTGGCACAACAAGGCATGTGTCTCTCTCCCTCATAAATATCAGTACCACTGCCTCGACTCCGCACGCGCTGTCCATCTCTTGCACACCCATCTTCCCCGTGACGAATACTATTCAGTCCTCATCAGCCTTTGTATTGTCCGTTGTCTGTCCCAGACGGTGTCTACTTTGAACGAGTCGAGCCTCGGTCCTCCTCCTCCTCCATCTTGCCCCAAAACACAAGCAAGGCTACTGCTTGATGATCAACGGCTTCCGCCCGCCTTCTGTGACTAGACTTATCTTGGATTGCTACTGCCGAACCTTGATCGACCCGAGAGCACCTGACATCTTGATCTAAGCTACCGACCGTTCCCGAAGGAACGCCCACGAGGAAAAGCAACTGCTTGGTTTCGACATCCGGCGTTTTCGTCTTCACAAGCTCGCCTTCCCTCTTCTTACCGCAACTTCCATTGCTTATTTGTATGCTTGGTCGGCCTGTGGCTTAAAGGATCTGGACTTGGATTTCGATTCCCCCTCACTCAAGCTATCAGCTCTCACACTCAGCTCCGAATATCACACATACCCCGCCCTCCTCTCTCCCCAACAGCACGCGACCTTGGTCAACGCTTGACAGCTCAGTATTGCAACACCTAGTCTTACTCTCATCGACTGTATCGTCTCTGGAACGGAATTTTCACCTTCAAGACACCGCTTTCTACACCTGTAAGTTGAATGATTCTGTCGTTTCTCTCAATGTCTTGAACTTTTATTGGGGAAGCGAGGCGTTCAACAAGGGCGTCAAGCTAATCCCAATTCCTTTCCGTCTGCCCACTAAGAGGTGCTCACTCTCATCTTCCCCCAACCCCACCCCCGCTGCGGCTTGTCTCCTTCCAGCCCGGCCGGCAGTCTGCTGTACGAAGCTCACATTCCCCATCACCTATCCCAGTCACCGTCACAGCTCTTCCATTCTTGTCCAAATTCAGCCCCAGTCAACCATCTTACACTGCAAATCCTCCTCGTTCGCTTGTTCTTATCGCCGGTTGATGTGGAGCCCGCCATGTTGAACCTCGCCGAGGACTTACATGGGATGGTTCACCTTAACCATGGCCCTTACACACCACATCCCTATTGTTCCCGATGACATACCCCCGCCCCCACCACCTCATCAACGTCCAGACCGACGCGACCCGGACCGTCTCCTCGGTCGCGGCATCGCGCTCGGCCTTGACCAAGCCTGCATCCGCGGAATCTACACCCTACAGCGTACCTTGACAATTCTGCGCCCGTTCGTGCATGTGGAGACCTGCCACTGTCAAGATATGCCGTCTGATGGCTTTTGTTGGACCCCCACCACTTCTGGCATGCCGGGGGTGTCTAACACAAAGTACCGCCAGGCACGGAGGGAGGATGGGAGCTCATGTTCTATAAAGCTGCCTTTGATACCTTCTCTGGTCCGGACTTCAGCTGACTAGTTGCCTCTTCTCTTCTCTTCCACAGTATCCCCGTCGTCCTGACTATCCAATCCTTGTCTGCTCCGACGTAGCAGCTTATACCGACAACCTTCCTTCAACCCATCCGAGTCGATCACTGCAAGCCCTCGTGCTGCAGTATCACCTATCACAACAGACATGAGCTCCAGCACCTTCAAGCAGGCAGCTGAGGCAGCTAGGACCCGCACCTCCGAAGTCATGAAGTCCGACTCTGTTGCCGTCGCCAACGACTTCCTCCACACCCCGGTCATGAGGGCGGCTCTGCCCTTCATCAACGGTGGTATCAGTGGCATGGTCGCTACCAGTGTTATCCAGCCCGTCGACATGATCAAGGTCCGCATCCAGCTCGCTGGCGAGGGTGTTGCCGGAGGCCCGAAGCCCACCCCTCTGTCCGTAACGAGAGAGATTCTCGCAAGCGGCAAGGCCCTCGATCTCTACACCGGACTATCAGCTGGTCTCCTCCGTCAAGCCGTCTACACCACCGCCCGTCTGGGTTTCTTCGACACCTTCATGGGCAAGCTCGGCGCGCGCGCCAAGGAGCAGGGCAAGGCCGTTGGCTTCAGTGAACGGGCCACCGCCGGCCTGGCCGCGGGAGGTTTGGCCGCCATGATCGGCAACCCTGCCGACTTGGCGCTCATCCGCATGCAGAGCGACGGCCTCAAGCCCCTGGCTGAGCGCAAGAACTACAAGAGTGTCATTGACGCCCTCAGCAGCATCGCAAAGTCGGAGGGTGTTGCTGCCCTCTGGGCCGGTGCTGCCCCCACGGTCGTCCGTGCCATGGCTCTCAACTTCGGTCAGCTCGCCTTCTTCAGCGAGGCCAAGTCGCAGCTTAAGCAGAACACCGAGTGGTCGGCCCAGACCCAGACCCTGACCGCCTCGGCCATCGCCGGTTTCTTCGCCAGTTTCTTCTCCCTCCCGTTCGACTTCGTCAAGACACGTCTGCAGAAGCAGTCCAAGGGCCCCGACGGCAAGCTTCCTTACAAGTCCATGGCAGACTGCTTCACAAAGGTGGCTAAGCAGGAGGGCGTGATGCGCTTCTACCGCGGTTTCGGCACATACTACGTCCGCATTGCTCCTCATGCGTAAGTGGACTTTGTCAACTCCGTAAGCTCAATGAGAGTGCCTGTGCTAACAGTAGTGCGTTCCACAGCATGGTGACACTGATTGTCGCCGACTACCTTGGTTTCATCACCAAATAGACGAATGATGCTTGGTTCGAATTTCGTTTTCGACGATCCTTCTTCCTAGGTTCTGTCGTTATTGATTCTGGGTCTTTCTTTCTTTTGGAGAGCAGCGACAGAAGCAAGCCATCCTGATTATTCATTCATGGGCGCTCTGCATTCGTTTAATCGGCCTCTCTCTTTTCTTCACACGGCGCTCTGGGTGTAATGTTGGCATTTTCAATGGGAGGCAAAGAGTATCTTGGGTTTATACCACCTGGACAAGACGTACATAGCTCGTCAAACAAGAGGCATGGAGGTGTAGACCCCCACGCGCGAAATGGAACAAATAAATGTTAAACCGACGGTGCGCTCATTTCGTGGCGGTGACTGTGCGTTGCTCAACAATGTCTGTGGGTGCTGCGCGTCGGCTTTTGCTGAGGTGAAATTCCTCGGCGCAACACTGAAACGGCGCGTAAGAAGGGAATCTTATCCGTAAGCGCGGCCGCGGATTCAACCTTTTTGGTGATGATCTTGTCCACTCCATTACTTTCACCGAAGCCCTGACCGATATTGAACGAATGCTTCAAAACGTTATCATGACCTAGAGATTCGTGCATTCCATTCTCAACATCACTCCAAAGAAGATAAACGGCGAACTTGAGAAAATTCGAATGATTAGGTCTTGAGTCTATTTCGGAATTCTAGTGTACTCATGAGCGTATCTTCTCAAGTTCGTGAACCCCATTACTCTAGGCCATCCAAGTCGTGGGGAAGTTTCCGAGTCTACCACCGTCAACAGTGATGACCGATCCGTTGCAGTACGCGCCGGCCCTCGAGGCAAGATACAGCATCACCCCGGCCATGTCCTGGGTATCCCCCATCCTCTGCATGGGCACCATCTCCTTGGGCACGCTGCCGTCGCTGCTGTAGAGCTTCGCGATGGGAGCCGACATCTCACTTGGGAACACTGGGAAATACGTCAGTTGAGTGCTCTCAAAGTTTCTTCAGCTTTTTGAGAAATAGGAATTGAGATTCGCTTACATCCGGGAGCGATGCAGTTGGCCCTGATGTTCCACCTCGGCAGATTCGCCGACAGATGCTTGACGAGGAGCGTCGCGGCCGCCTTGGACTGCCCGTACGCCCAGCCGCCCGGCGCGTTCTTGTTGAAGGCCCCGATGGAGCTCGTCGACACCACCTGCGAGCTCTGGAACAGGTTCCCCTTCTGGTTCCCGAGGTCCAGGAGCTTGACGAACGCCATGGTCGTGTACCACACCGACGTGACGTTGACGTCGAAGACGCGCGTGTAGTCGGCCGCGTCGTGTGCCAGGTGCTGCTCGGCCCACTCCGCGGCGGTCATCTCGGCCGGGGGCGCCTTCACCTGGGGCCCGCCGACGCCGGCGTTGCAGACGAGGAGGTTGAGGAAGCCGGACTCCTTCTCTATCGCGGCGGCGGCCGAGAGGAGGGAGGGCTTGGAGGTCACGTCGCACACGAGGGGCACGGCGCTGGGGCCGATGGAGGCCGCGGCTGATTGCAGGACTTCCTCGCGCCGGCCGAGGATGTAGACCTTTGAGGCGCCGTTGGCGGCGAGGGCTTTTGCCATCATGAGACCGATACCTAGTCATATTTGTCAGCTCTCATGATGAGGCACCCAGTGAGGTGAGGGATAGACTTACCCGAGCCTCCGCCGGTGATGGCGGCGACCATGCCATTGACGGCGAAGAGGTTGCCGGCGCCGAGAGCTGCGAGCTCATCTTTCGTATCGCCCGAGTTTGCCATTTTTTTCAATTGATTGTGAGATGTCCGATCTAAAGATGACTTACACGAGCAGTCAAGAGCGCGGGGTGCTCCAACAGATGCCCCTCCAAGAACGTCATCCATGCCGCGGATCCGATTTAGGCCAATCACGTACCCGTACCTGCTGGAGATTGAGTATTGGCCAATGGCACTGCACCGAGCTGTGACACCCATGCAGAGCACGGCCCTCGGAACCGTTCCGCGCCTTATCATTGGATTTTATCGCCGCTGAACCACATTTTTTTTGCTCTTCATCGCAGCTTTCAGCTTCATCGTACATCCTCACCCGCCAAACGACGCAGACTACAGCGACCGCCCGACCGCTGATATGGTCAAACGAAAGAGATCACGCGAGAGCGACCTGGAGCAGAAGCTCACGGAGGCGAGGAAGGAGATCTTCCGTGCCTTGAAAGGCGCCAAGGGTCTCGAGCGTCAGAGGTATAGCAAGCGCCAGCGCGACGACAAGTCTTCGCCCGACAAGATCAAGAGGATAGAGCGCGAGATCCTGGTGTTGAAGGTACGATTTTAATGTCATTCGTGCTCTTTTCTGAGCAGCTTACTAACCGACTTTTGTTGCAGTCCCTCGATCTCCAGCAAACCGCCGACGCACACCTCAACGCCTCCATCCTCAAGGTCAAGCAGCTCGCCGAGAACCCCGGGCTGCCCGAAAGCATCAAGCAGGGCGTCCCGAAGCCGGAGCTGTCGGAAGAGGAGAAGGCCGCGCTGCACAATGTCACGAGCGGGCTGTTCAACCGCGTACACGTCCGGGAGGCTGTCGACAAGGCCATCCGGGCAGTCTGCTTAGTCCTCAACGTGCCTATACCCGACAAGAAGAGGAAGGGCAAGAAGGGGGCTGAAGTCGAGGCGGAGGTCAAGACGGAGAAGGAAGACGAGCCCAGAGAGGCCAAGAAGGCTAAGACGGATGATGCGAGGGACATTTCCACCAAGAAGACGCCAAAGGTCGAAGAGGAGGAGAACCCATTCGACGAGATGGATGACGAGATTCCTACGGATAGCGACGGCGAGAACGACGCAGAGGACGCTGTCGAAGAGCATGATTCGGATGAAGAGGTTGAGGAGAAGGCTCTTGAAAAGATGGAGGCCATGCTGGGCGGTTCGGATGAGGAGGAGAGCGGCGACGAGGACATGAAGGCCAAGTACAAAGCCCTTTTAGGAGAGGTCGGGGATGGCGACAGTGCCGACGACGAGAGCAATAGCGACGAGGAAGAAGAGGACGACGATGAAGACAAGGACGTGGAAGACGAAGACGAAGCTATGGACTCGGACCGCGAGAGGAGGATCAACGCAGCCAACGTATCCCTCTCCCCGTCGCCCCCACCATCGCGCAAGAAGAAGGAGGCACGCGCGAAGAAACCGACCGGAAAGTCCGGCCAGACGACATTCCTGCCGTCGCTTATGGGAGGTTATCTCTCGAATTCTGAGTCCGAGGCGTCTGACCTTGACATGGCGCCTCCGAAGAAGCGCTTAGGCCAGAAGCAGCGCCAGGCTATCTGGGAGAAGAAGTTCGGCCAGAAGGCGAACCACGTCAAGAAGCAGCAGCAGCAGCAGAAGGCCCGTGACAATGGCTGGGATATGAGGAAGGGCGCCATCGATTCCGCGGACGGCAAGGCTGGGAATAAACCGTGGAAGAAGGGGGTATCGGATCCTCTTGGCAGACAGGATCGCGGCAACCAAGGGCCGCAGGCTACGCGCGAGACAAAGCCGCCTCTCAAGAGGGATGACGAGGGACCATTGCACCCCACTTGGGAGGCGAAGAAGAAGGCCAAAGAGGCACAGGCTACGGCCACCTTCGCAGGCACCAAAATCACTTTCTAGCATGGCGCGCATGGGCTTTCTACTAATCAAAAATCAATTGCTAACTATCCACCTGGCTATGAAGTGCGCTGATCTCAGTATATACGCCCTGAATAACCATCCAATGATTCCGGCGTTTGTTCTCAATGAAAACCAGAATACTCCAGAGATATCGCCGGTGCCAGATGAAAGAACTGCGTAAAAAGCCAAGTTGATGTTGAATAATCGAGGCCCAAGTCGGGTCCTCTGCGCCTGTGCAAATCATTGTAAGAAATTGTAAAAAGAGGCAGACCTGTTGGTCTAGTGCTTCCGAGGCTTCTTGAACGGATTGTCGTCCTCGTCCGCACTCGACATGCGGCTCTGTCGAGACAAGCTGGGGGCGGAATGCAAGAAGTAGCTGACGTTGTTGGGAAGATTGCGAGAAGAACCAAGCTGAGAAGACATGTGCGAAAAGACGGGAGATGCTCTCATATTCGATCCATAGGTTCCGACGTTCGACACACGGTCCTGCTCATATGTCCTCTTTCCGGCTCTCTCGTTGGTTGCGGATGATCCTGTAAGTGCAGCCAGCCTGGGCAAAGCCTGAGCAGGCGCTTCTGGTGAAACTGTGGGAACGTACAGGCCGTTCGTGCCCAGATCCTCGGTCAACTCTCGGCCGAGAGATGGCGTGGGAGAAGGGACACGACTGGTTGTCGACCACGCGCGCATGGTAGGTTGTAGATGCTTCCTACTATGACTGTCGTAGGAATTCTGACGAACGAAGAGTCCACTGCTCGCAGTTGACTGCTCTCTCTCCCGCCTGAAGTCGTCAACTACGCTTCTGGGTCTCGGAATGTTGGGACGGTAATCCTCGATGTCGATCGGATTGCTATGGTGCGACCCGGCCATGGACACATCGTCTTCACTGCAGTCCTTGCTGCCGTTATTGCAAATCCCACCGATAGATTCCGCTGTGACTGACCGAGCATTAGCAGTGGAGGCTCGGGGCGTAGACTCGGTATCGGTCATGGTACCGTCAGAGCAAGCCTCTTCAGCCTTTAGAGCCTTCTTTCGAGCAGCAGGCTTGCGTCCAGGAATGATGGAGCTGACATCTGGCATCTCGACGTCCTCCTGTATTGTCTGCAGACCGTACGGTGACTGGACTGGGGGATGCTGAATGTGGTGCCGAATATGTCCGTCCGTGTCGAAGGCGGAGCTCGACTTGTAGAGTCGTTCAATCACTTCCCAGTGGTTGTCCTGGACGTCTAAGCCCCTCGTGACGGGTTTCAGGTTCTTGAACTTCGCCGCTTCAGCTTTGTCTGCGGCCTTTGGGAACGTAGTGACGTTTGTCACGTCTTGACCAAACGTCCAATCGCGAATGTGATGACGACCGCCGAGTTTCAGATGCTTCTCAAAGTCAAGGAAGCGAATCAGTGCCATTCCGCGAAGCTGATGGATGTAGTCTAGACCCTGTAGAGTCCGAAGAGATCGAGTGAGGCGAAAGTTTGGCTGTCCAGCCGTTTGAGCCGCCATGTAATCTTTGATTCGTGCGGGCTCGTACTTGCGTCTCACCACCTCTCTACCAGTCTCGTTGATATGGACCGTAAGACTCTTGAGACGCGGCATCTCGCACAGCAGTGAGCAGTCCCAGGTTCTCCTTGAGGTGTATTTGGGCTGGCTTGATCTTTCTCCGAATTCGAACGGGAAGGTGCGGAATTGATTACCGATCCACAGCAGCTCAACATGCTGGACTCTTTCTCTGCGAGCCTGACCGATTCCACGGAAAAAGCCAGCGAACTCTCCGATGCTTGAAAACGCAAACGTGTTCAGACCGTAGAAAGCATGGACTCCCATGAAGTACCACTCCTTGCAGACCGTGAAGAGCGCGAGATGCTCGTTGGGTTTAGTTGCGTATGAGATATTGCAGGAAGTACCCGAAATGTGAAATCGATGCGGAAGCCCGCTTTGCTTGGCGTTGGTTCGAACAGGCTCGTCCGGTGGCATGTAAGGATCCAGACGAGAGATGCAGTGAATGACCTTGTGCTCTTGAAGGAATACCCACTTAAGAATGTTGGCCTGGATGTTGAAAGGCAAATCCTTGAACCGGAAGTTCCGCAGGCCCGGGTTCCTTGAGAGACATCCAATGCGATCGTTTCCAAGAACGAATAGCTCTGCCGAGGCGTTGGAAGGGCTTCCAGCACGCAGGCTCGCCATGTCAAGTGACTCGTCATCGGCTTGGTCGGCCGCGACATCGTCTTCAGGTGTATTGAGCAACCTTCGAGAGATGTCACCCTCAATCTCACTAGATCGGGGACCTCGAAGGCGAAGGTTTGGGTGAACGAGCTCCTTTTTGCAGCTGATATTCTCCTCTCTGCAACAAAGCTTGTAAATCTCCTTGTACGATATCCTGTCTGCGTGGCCACCTAGATGACGCTGCAGGTGGAACGGCCATGTCTGATCAGATTATTGTCAGTTAATGATCCTGAGTACGACATTGAGAGTGATTACAGACCTTCTTGGTATTGCGCTGGCGGGGACGCCGAGCTTGAGTCTGGGCCAAAGCCTGGGCTTGTTGAGCTTGGGCACCTTGAAGCTGCTGAGCTTGCTCAACCAGTCTCACTTCATTTTCTCGGTCTGCAACAGTCAGCCGTCGGACTGTGTCTTGGAGCTCTCGAATCTGCTTGTTGTAATCGAGGTTCGTTTTGCGGAGGTCGGTGTATTTCTCTTGGAGGTCCTCGAAGGCCTGCTGAATCTCCTGTCGGCATTCGTCGGAGCAGCCCACATGTTCCCAGTCGATCGTGTGTCGATCATCCTCTTCATCCTCTTCGTCATCTTCGTCTTCTTCCTCGGGCTCATCTTCCTCGGGCTCATCTTCAACGGGATCATCTTCATCTTCATCTTCGACCTTGTCTTCGGCCGCTCCTTCAGCGTCGTCGTTTTCAGCATCGCCGTCATCTTCTGAATCGGACTCATCTCCGGGCAAAATCTTCTCAGGAGAGAGAGAGGCCGGCTTCTTCCGTGCTGACTTTGCCTGTGTTTTCCGCGGAGAATTGTCTGAGGAAGTGGCAAGCAATATGGGAACTTCGTCCGGAATTTCGTCTCCATCCTGAGAATCGACTTCGTCCTTGTCTGGATCGTAGGACGGACGACTGTCGTTGTCGGAGGGTACCAAACTCAGCCGTCCGAAGCCCTTTCCAAGCGGAGAGATTGATGGGTCAGATGAGGTGACGACCTGAGGAGGTGAGCTACCAAGCGCAAGTTCGTTGTCGCTGGGTGAAGGCAGGGGCGAGCGCGCCTGGCCGTCGTCCGATGAAGACATCCTGTCAAATTGTTGTGCTAGATTAGTGAAGGTTCATTATGCATGTATGTGTGAGGGTAGGTACAAGTAAGGAAGTGTGGTATGAGCTAGGTGAGGAAGTGGTCTTGTATGGGAGTAAGGTGATGACTGAGAGTGGTTCGATGTAAGTGAAGAAGTTGAGTTGATGCGGAGTGGTAAGAATAAATACCTGTGTGGAGAGGAAGGAGGTTGGTTGTAGGGTGGAGGGAAGGTAGGTATTAGCAAGGGAGTGTGGTAAGTTCTAGATGAGAAAGTGGTCTTGTAAGGAGTGAGGTGTTGGCCGAGAGTGGCTGAATGTGAGTGGAGAAGTTGAGTCGAGGTGAGAGTGGTGAGAATAAATAGGTGAAGAGGATGGAAGGCGGAGGGTGAAGGACAGAGGGTCGAGGGTCGAGGGCGGCCGTCGCGATGCTTTGGGAAGGAAGGCGTGGTTTGTACGGAAGGAGAAGGGACTCTACTTACTTTGATGGAAAGCTGTTTCCTAGAGAAGTTGGAGATAAGAAAAGTTGATGAACTCTTCAGGAGTTTGCTCCCTAGTTGGTGTTATCAGGGAGATCCATAGATGTAGGTGGTTGCGCTGAGACGACAATGTTCCCCATCAAAAGATTGTGTAGTGAGAAGAGCGCAGTGCATCCGGAGTTGCAGGTGATATAAGGAATGGTGCCAGCAAGAATATGGGAGACGCAAAGATAACAAAGTCCAGTACCTAAGTATGGCGATGTGAGGTGCGATGATAGGCAATGAGACCTGCGTGAGAACGTGTAAAAAGACGGTTCGTAGTAAGATTATCTGGGCAGGAAGTTGAAAGTAGCAGACGCAGTGCAGACTTAGTGTCAGTTTGAGGATATCGTTAGGTGCCCTTTGAATAGAGTTGTCGATGGGCTATTCGGTATGGAAACGAAGCAACCCTGAGCGAATGGCCTTGACCGAGAAGGGAGAAAGAAGGAAGATGGCACGAGGCACAAGAATTGCCAGCCAGGGGGGGGTTTTGTGAAAGAGTTTTAAAGGACCGGGTAGTTGGGGGGGCAATGTGGGAGCAATGTGGGAGCAAGAACGATCGATGAATTAACAAAAAAGGTTCAGATGAATGAATAGCTGCTAAAATTGAGAGGTTGAAAAAGCAGCGAGAAAGAGCCTCCAAAGTATCACCTTCCTGGCTAAGATCCTCTGGGACAGAGATCTCAATGAAGAAAAGTGATGTGCGCATATTAAGAAAGATGTATAAATGGTTGAGCAACGGAAAGGATTTGAGAGGCGGCCGGGGTAGAGATTGACCAGAAGTGGGATTAGCAAGAATAACCTGGTGGTCGGACGTTTGCTGGAATAAATAGCAGACCAAAACATCCACGAGGAGAAGATGAAAAGGGGCTTGATGTGTTCCTACCAAGTGACAACTACGAATTGTCTTGTCACATTAAGAAGGGCTGATAGGTAATGATATTCGCATTGCTGAGCGCCAGAAATCCAAGACCCCGGTTTTGGTATCTGCCTGTATAAGATGTACAATCCAGGACCCTCCTTCTTTTTAATCTTTATAGTCTTCGTCTCTGCAAGTCTGTTTAAGCGTTTGCCTTCATGGTGCGGAAGAAGTCCATGACACCAGTGAAAACGACAAGCAAGATACCACCTCCAGGGCCCAATCGGAGGACCTTGGGGAGGAAGCCCTTGTACAGGGCGGCGAAACCCTCCTCCTTGGCGACGGTACCAACAGCGGGCCAGGCCCAGTTGTACTTGGCGGTCTGGCCAGCAACCTTGGGGCTGTTCTGGATTCTCGACTTGACGACGTCCATGGGAGTGTTGAGGATGGTACCGACAGTACCGCCGACAGCACCAGAGATCAAGTCGTTTGTGACCTGGGCAGTCTTTGTCTCAGCCTTGGGGAGAAGCTGACGGACCTGGAAGATGCAGCCAAAGTAACCAGCGTTCCAGAGAACGTGACGCCACATGGTGGATTCGAGACCGTTGTACATGGCCAGGATACCCTCGGCCTGGATGGTCTTGCGAACAACGTCGAGCATGCCGTTGTACTTTCCAGCGGAGGCCTTGTCCTGAAGACGAATCTTGACGAGCTCGAAGGGGACGACCACGAAGGACTCGGTGGCACCGGCGGTGGCTCCGGTCAAGACGGACAGGGACTGGTTCATCTTCTCGGCACCGAACAACTTGCGGTAGAACTTGCCCCACTCGTCGTTGGCGGCAAACTTGGTGGCACGCTTGGGTGCTTCCATCAGAATGGGGGCGGAGATTCCGCGGTATAGCCTCGAGGCGCTGTGTTCTTGTAAGCTCTGGAGCTCTCTGCCGATGCTAGAGTGGATTCGTCGGGTACCCCTCGTTCTTGATGATCTTGCGGAAGCAGTCAAGCATGCCATTGTAGGAGTCGGCGCCGCCCGTTCCGGTTTGAAGTTGCCTGGTTACATCAGTCGGGTTGTCATTGAAGAGCTGGCAGTCGGGCGGAGCTCACACTCTCGTCTTCACGACGTCCAAGGGGTACCTGTGAGGGGTCAGCGGTTGGGCACGTGAGGTTGTCGCGAAGGTGTTTGACTCACATAACCAGAATCTAGACATGATGAAGAGTAAGCAATCCCATCATTGTACATCTAAGAATGGTCCCGATGGTGTACTGACCTCCGAGACACCGGCAACGGCGCCTAGATGCGGTGGTTAGTGGTCGGGGTCCGATATCGCGATAGTGGGGATTGCGCGAACGAACCTGCGGCGAACTGGTATGCGAAAGGAAGAGGCTTAGGGTCGGAGGCCATTTTGACGGGTGAGGGAGCTGGGGAAAGAGCAAGTCAGTCAATGCGATGTAACTGGTGGTGCAATTGAAGCTTACCGAGAAACCAACAGAAAGAGGACGAACGGGCGGGCTGGGTGCGTAGGTGGGAGGTTTTGGAGAGACGAAAATCGAACGACGAGACCTTGGAATAATTAGCGGGAATTGGAGACTAATCGCAAGGGCCGGACGTCCCTTATCCTTATCGGCCTTGCATCAAGTTACCGAGCCGCGCCGGACTCCACCACACTGTGTAGGGCGGGCATTTGGTCATCGTCCCTGACAGACGAGGGGGTTCTAATTGGTCGATTCTCGGTGTGTAGCGGTTCATCAAGGTGAAAGGGCTAACGGGATTACGTATTGGCAATGAGAGACACCTTGGATTTGCGACTCTAGGGGACCTGGGCACCTGCCCGGGCTGGGGTAAAGATAGATCCCCAGGGACCTCGAAAGCCCGGGCCATGTTGCATCTGTCTCTCACCTCTCCCTCACCTGCATCTCTGTTACCGAGATTCGGGCGACAAATTCCGAAGCAAATGCGACTGCGCAACTGCAGGTCCGCTCCAATAAGACGTTGGGATTCACTGAATTATCTTCCATGTTCAGTCAGTCGTTAAGTTAGTTAAGCTTCATAGCTGTCGTTATCTCTCAACTGTGATGAACACGGCCTCTCAGAAGAAACCAGACCAGTTTCTGCTCCGAGGCAGGTTCAGTCGAATGGAACCGACGATTCAAGCAGGCCTTCGCGACGCCCAAGATTCTCTCATACAATTAGGTAAAGTACGGAATCACTTGACGACTGCTGGTCTCTTGACGAGAGAAAGTCAGCCCGAGTTGCCGAGTTCTTAGAGCCCATGGCATGGTCGTCTCATTCTAAACCAGCAGCAGCACCTTACACGCCTATTCAATTCAATAAATGAGACCAAAAGGAACTTGGCAATGCAGGCAAATGAGAGGTGCGCATGTGGCAGGCCGAATGTGATCCAAAAGAGAAGCTGCAGGCGGGGTACAGTAGGCGGGGGAAACGTAAGGGAGCTCCCCACACTGAAGAACATCCGGGTTCGTTCTTAACTTGCTCTTTTAAGGTAGGAATGCCAACCTGGCAGGTATCCGCGAATTGTTTCAATCATTTCCAGTTTAATTCCAAAGAGATGCTGGTTATTTACGATCCACCCATGCCTCAACACAACATGCGACAACGGTCCGAGGCAATGGACTAAGCGTCTTTCATCTCTTCAACACAAAGGCTGTGGCTTGAAGCACCGCGTGTTCTTCAATCGACAGTTGATTCGGACGATGGAAATGTACAGAGACTCCACTGCATCCGGTCCCGAGGTACCTTCATCTCCACCTTGGCCCGGGATGTGTCAAGCTGGTTCAGCACCTTCAGCGCTGCGAGATGTAGCTGTACAGCACGCTAACCTCCTGAAGCGAAGCTTGTCTGGCCTGCAACCAGAGCACAAGCTCGAAAACGGGGGTCCGATTGGCTGCGCGACAACGGACGAAAGCACCCCCTGGAGCCGGGAATTCGCGGCGCAGCGGGACATGGTGCAGCTGCTATTGTGGACGGTCTGACGCGCACACCGGACCAGTAGTCAGAATGCCAATACCCTCATTTCTCGTCGCCAACCCCACCTCCGACAAGCGTACCTGTCTATCCTCCAACTCTTCGACATCATCCCCTTCCTGCCGACCGAACCGAACTTTTCAACCATCCATCTCGAAGCCCTTACTCTCGCGACACCGAATCTCGCATCGAAATCAACACACACCCCGTCGCTACCGTTCCAATCTATCGAGAAGCCGTATCTTCGACAGCCAGGTGGCAACATTGATACACCCCTCTCCTTAGGGTTTCTTAACCTCACAACTCACCTTGCGCGTCCCACGAGCGGCCCCGACCATCCCATTATTGAAGTTCAACATTTCGCTCTTCTCGCGCTCGGAACAGCACCTTTAAACAAGCCGTGATCCAAGAGACTCACAGCGAGGTGCCATCCAAGTGCTTGAAGGGTCCCTTGCTTACCCCCGCCCATGAGTCACCTACTTTGGAAATATTACTGGGAAAACGATGTCGACAGGTTTCGGCGTCTACTGGCTCCGGCCGGCCACTCGACACAAGCCGTCACCAGAAGCCCCGGTATAGGTCCTGGGCCTTCAGGGGGGAGTCCCGGAGGATACGGGACGTCTCCCCGGAATGTCAAACCCCGGAAGTCTTCCGCCGTCGGCATCAACCCCGGCGCATCCAAGAACTCGAACACGACACTCGGGAAGCCTGAAATCAACAGTCGCGATCATGCCGGCCTGACCGTTCTCCTCCGCGCGGCTTCATCGACCAACCTCGACGCCATCTTCTTCGTCCAAGCCCTTCTCGAACACCCCTCGATCGATCTGTATGTGCAAGACCCGGAAAGTGGATGGAATGCTTTGCACAGAGCTTTATACGCCGGAAATGTTGCTATCGCGCGTCTGCTCCTCGAAAGAGAGCGCAAGATCTTGACCGAACAGACCCTGGGGACGTCCGTCTCCAAGGTTGGCCAGCTCATCAAGACAAAGGACCGTGAGGGAAACAGTCCTTTCGACCTCTACAACTCGACCATTGCCGTGCGAACCATCGGCGACTCGGATGATTCGGACGACTCGGACCTCGACTCAGATGTCGACGGCAGCTCGGATGGAGGCCAGGCGCTGATGAGATCCGTTGCTGCGCTCGACGGCGTCCAAGACGGAGAGGAACTGTTCATGTTTGGAAGTAACCGGAATCTTTCTTTGGGTGTGGGCGATGAAGACGATCGCCAATTCCCAGAAAGGATCACTCTGAAGCGTCCGGAACAGCTTGTGCGGAGGTTCTATCAGGAGTATCTCGAGAAGACCCAAGGCGAACATGGTTTAAATGCTACCGCCGTTGACGAAATGGACATGGAAGATATCCCGGCACTGATCAGAAACCGCCCTCTACGGATTCACGATGCGGTTCTCTCCAAGCTTCACACGGCAATCCTGACTACGGACCCTGTTTCAAACTTGTACATCTGTGGCGTTGGACGCGGTGGACGCCTCGGCCTAGGCGATGAAAACACCCAGTTTCGCTTTGTGCCTGTGCAAGGGGGCCTCGCCGACAAAAAAGTAGTCCAAGTGGCACTCGGTCAGAACCACAGCATGGCTGTCACTGATGCAGGCGAGCTATGGACGTGGGGTTCCAATAACAACTCTCAGCTAGGATACAACCTGCCGCCGCCGGCCAGGCAAGACGAAGAGCCGATGAGCACCACTCCACGACAAGTGTTCGGGACACTCAAGAAAGAAGTCATCATCGGTGTGGCCGCATCGACGTTTCACTCGGTGGCACACACATCCACGTCCTTGTTCTGCTGGGGTAAGAACCTTGGTCAGCTAGCTCTCATGGATGCCGACGCGAGATCATTGGAAGTCCAACAAACGCCCCGAAAAGTGGCTGCATCTCTCTTCTCGTCACCCATCGTTGCAGTATCGGCCATTGATAAGGCAACGACGTGCTTGCTTGCCGACAGCAATGTCTGCGTCTTCACCAGCTACGGCTACAACTTTGTCAAATTTCCCTCACCGGACGTGTTCGTAAACCACCAATTCACCACCTCCATGTCAAGCCGGTACAGTTCCGCAAGGAACCAGGTCAGCCGCATCACCTCGGGAGGTGAGACCATTGCCGCCGTCACTAGTAGGGGCGATCTCTTTACTACGACATTGATTCATAAGACCGATTCGGCCCCTGCAGCGACATCGACTACAAATCCCTCAAAGATCAAAGGTGCCGTCACAACACCTCAATGCGTCTGGAACGCCCGCAAGGATGGAGTGAAGTCCGTCAGCATCGGCGAACATGGAGCTGTCATTATTTGCACAGAATCCGGCGCGGTCTGGAGACGTATCAAACGTACGACGGCTAAGGACGCCTCAACCCCGGGTTCAACCGAGAGGAAGCGCAAGGACTTTAAGTTCCAGCGAGTACCAAGTGTCACGAACGCTATCGCAGTCAGAAGCTCTGCATTCGGAGCGTTCGCAGCAATACGCAAGGACTGCGATGTGATGAAAGAGCAGGTCAACATCAAAGAGCAGTCGTTGTGGGAAGACATGGCATCGCTACTTGTCCTCAGAGACTTCGAGGCTTCGACTCCAAGTAGCAAAGAGAAGGACACACTGGGTTTTTGGAAAGCAGAGGATCTGAAGTACCGGATCGGACCGTTGCCCTACGAGATCCTGAAGTCGGCGAATCTGGAGCATGACCTCGAGCAGTATCTGTTGATGGCTGCGGAATCCGACTTCGACATGGCGCTGCGCACTGCATCGGCTCCTAGCGTGAAGATACCGGTACATGCTTGGCTCCTCACAGCGCGAAGCTCTGTTCTTCGCAAAGTCCTCAGTGACTATCGCAGCAGCGGTGAGGGTCAGGTTGCGCAGACTCTCAAAGTCGAAGAAGAAGATGGGAAGACTCTGGTCACCTTCGAATCCATCGACCTGCTGTCGTTGCTCAACCTAGTGGTTTACTGTTACGACGACACTGTCATCCCAGCGTGGAACCATACTCGTCAAGCGCCATCCCTCGCACACAAGTACCGCCAAGTTCGCAACGAACTGATGAAGCTTGCGACAAAGCTCGACATGATGAAGCTCGAAGCGGCGGCTCGTCTTCAGACTACTGCTGAGAAGTCTCTAGACAAGGATTTTGCCAAGGCCATCCGAGACCCGAGATACTTTGAGGACGCTGATGCGTTGGTTGAGCTGGACGGCGAGGAAGTGCCGATTCACAGTCAGCTTATGCGTCAGCGATGCGAGTTCTTCGAAGGCCTCTTCCATGGACGAGCTCGAGGTATGTGGCTGGCAGGTCGCCGCGATGAGTTGACCGACGAGGAGCTTGTGCGTGTCGACCTCGGCCACTGTGACCCAGAAGCTTTCCAATACGTTCTGCGGTACTTGTATTCCGATGTGGGCTCTGAGCTCTTCAACAACACATCCGCAGCCAACATTGACGAGTTTTCCGAGCTCGTCATGGCTGTCATGAGCACCGCGAACGAGCTCATGCTCGACAGGCTATCGCAGATTTGCCAGTACACCATCGCCCGTTTTGTTACAACCCGCAACATCGCTCTTCTTCTCAACGAAATTAGCCCCTGCACTGTTACGGAATTCAAGGATGCTGGTCTGGAGTACATTTGCTTACAGATGGAGTCCATGCTTGAAAACCACCTGCTGGACGACCTTGAAGAAGATCTGCTTGAGGAGTTGGACAGCATCGTTCGCGAAAACCAACTCGCGCGTTACCCCTTCGCAAGAAGTGGTCGAGCAGAACTGCTCTTGTTCGAGAAGGATCCAGATCTGGCCCTCGACATTGACGAGGAACGTCGACGAAGAGTAAGAGAGATGGCATTCAAATCAACACATAGGGACGATGAGAGGAAAATGTCGTCCTCCTTCAAGACGAAATTTGGAAGCTTGGATGACGGCATGGGGTTCACCTCCCCAAGCCTGGATAAGAGCCGACGCAAGTCCAAGGCTGGCCGCAACGAGCCCTTCAGCCCCAGCTTGAGACCGAAGGAGTCTCACGCAGACCTCATCTTTGATATGGATGAAGAGAACCCGTCCATAACGAGTCCTCCAATGTCACCTTCACAGAGGGCTGCTGAGAAGAAGGCCGGCTCCGAGCTTGAAAGACTCCCGGCTTTACCTGGCCCTTGGAAAGACGTGAAGGGCCAGTTTGTTGAAGGATCCCCGAGGTTTCAAGTTGCAAGCCCGCCAGCAGACAAACCAGCACAGTCAGGTATCAGCCCGTCGCGGTCACCGCAAGACATGAGCGGACTCAGCGCTCCGAAGGTCGGCAACCCATGGGGCGCGGCAGGCTTCCCGACCGAGAAGATGGACTTGCGACAGGTTCTGACAGAGGCACCCGCCAAGTCTGCCCTGTCCGCCGGTATTGCCGCTCAAAAGAACAAGGAGGCGTCTCCCAAGCCAGCACAACCCAAGATGTCGCAAAAGGAACGCAAGAAGCAGCAACAAGCTCAAGCCGCAGCCCAGGCAGCATTGGAAGCCGAGCCTCAGCAGCCCAAGGCGGCATGGGACAAGGAGTCGGCCGCAAACAAAGCAGCGCCATGGAAGGCCGTCCCCAGCGGTCCCAAGACGTCTCTCAAGGACACCATGGCAAAGGACGCGCCGAAGCCTATATCGCCAGCCAAGTCAGCGCTCCTCGGCGTGGAATCCCCGGGCAAGGCAAGCCCCAGACGGGCAGCGTCGCCCGACACGCGTTTCCCGGGCCAGTCTCGCAACAACAGCTCGCCCGCGACCCCGACCCCCGCCGCCGCCGCGGCCTCGTCCAGCCAAGCACCCGCGAAGCCGCTCGTCCCGCACTCGAAATCCTACATCACCCCGGCATCCAAGGCCGAGCCCATTCTGGGGCTAAGCATGGCGGACATCATCGGACAGCAGAAGCGTGAGCAGGAAATCGTGCGCGAGGCCGTCGCGAAGAGGTCGATGCAGGAGATCCAGCAGGAGCAGGAATTCCAGGAGTGGTGGGACCAGGAGACCAGACGTGTGCAGGAAGAGGGCGCGAGGAGGGAGGCCAAGGAGAAGGCCAAGGGTGAGCGGAACTCCAAGGATGCCAAGCGGGGAAGACGCGGCAGGGGCGGAGGAGGCAAGGGGAAGGGAGCCGGCCCGCCGCCGCCAGCGGACGGCGGCCCCGGCAACGTTGAGGCGGGTGCTACGCCGAAGGCCCCGAGCGGACCGTCGAGTAACGCTCGAGGACGGAGCCACCGAGGCCGGGGAAGGGGAGGCAAAGCATCGGCACCGGCAACGGCACCGGCATCATGATTTAAGTGCTCTATAGGCGTTTTAGGGTGACCAGAACACATGGTCGGGTATGGCTTTACACGGTACACACAAGAATGGGTTGTTCTACACGGAATTGTCCCACCAGGTTAATAGAAGATTCTGAGAGAATAGAAAGACCTCACTCAAACGATGGGACCTGCCACCACACTTGTGCCGCGTCGCTGTCAGACTTGCTTATCGCAGGCACTGGTGCTGGTCCCTGGCGCGGTTTGCCGCCTTGGATGAGCGACTCAGCATGCTGCGCTAGCATCAGCGTCGAACATCATGCTGAAGGGTCTTTCGAGGTTAGGCAGGCGGCTGGTCGCGCCATGTGATAAGAAGTACCGCCAAGAAAGGTTACTCCAAATCGCAAGCTCGTCGGCGATTATTCTTAGCATGCCGAAATCATGGGGGGTGGCCAGGCAGGTGCTCCGCAGACCGTGTGGACGCGGTGGCACCGGGACTTTGTTGGACTGGGTCCGATCTGCGGAGGCGGGCAGCACCAAGTCACCTCACCTCACCTGGTCCCCTCTCGCCGAGTGGATTGGTTGGTTGGTTAAGGTACCTAGCCGTTGAAGCGGCGGATGGGGCCCGCCCGATAACGATGACCCCATCGGCCGAGTGATGATAAGAAGTCAGAGGAAGATGATGTGCTGGTGTTGGTTTCACCGGGGATGGCTGGGTCGGAATGTGATTGCGCTTGGCTGCTCGATTGGGACTGCCGCAGATGCCGCGAAAGCCATATCGAGTAGGTGATGGTGTGGGCAGCAGCTAATTACGAAGAGAGGTAGGTGGCAGCGATGGTGCTTCCTTTTGGTGTCGTTTGTCGTCGTATCGTGGGCGTAGTGGCATGGCGTTGTTTGGGGTACATGTGAGAAAGAAGCTGGAGGGAGAGAGATAAGGGATATTGGGGTAGGTACTTTGGCCCTGAGGATTCGAGGAGCAGGGCGGCGCTTAGAAGACCGATTCCCGGGATCAACCGAGGGCCGGGTGCGGCTTTGCGGTGTGTCGGTGTTTGTGAGTCTACCGGGCATCTAGTAAAGGACCCTGCGTTCTGTTGTTGTATTCTTTGACGTTTTTTTGCGACTGACGGACGACCTTGTTGGCCTTGGGTGACACAAGGGTCGAGCAGCCGCAGGCAGATGGGGCTCTTCCATAGGCTGTGTTGAAGTGGAAAAAGGGATAGGGGTTGTTGAGGCAGGACATCAAGGCATAACGGCCTTTGATTGTAGAGAGCTGGAGTGCGTTGCCGTGGATGACCTTGCGAGACTGCCAGCTGTCAAGTGCCAGCCGAGAAAGAAAGTCGAATATGGGTGCATTAGCATTGCGTGCTGAGCTCCGGCTATGCGATGCGATGCGCAGCCAACAACAACAATAACAACTGCTGCCCACGACTCACGAGGAGGAAGAGTTCCGAGTGACTCAGCAAAGCGCCCGTCCTTCCAGTTTGGTGACGGCCCCCAGCGAATGATATTTGCGGCGGCGCGGAGGCTGGGGTTGAGGCCATTCTGAGGTCCAGGCTGATCCGAGACCTTCACGCTTCGGCTTCCCCCTTCTGCATTGAAGCGGAGCGGCATGGCATGGGGAGCAATCAGCGGCAAGCCAGACCAGTAGAATTGAGGCGTCCCGTATGAGGTCAAGGTGGTGTATGACGGTGACTGCAGTGGTTCCTGGTGAGTCGCAAATCTGCAGAGATGACTCTGAAGGGAGTCTTGGCTGTGGATTGTGCTTCATTGTTGGGGTAAGGTACTCTGCAGAGTGTCTTGGATGTCGAGGTCGAGATCGAGGGATGGGTGGGCCCTGACAAGTGGGAGTTGGATGCTCTGTGGTGAGAACTGGAGCAGGGAATCCACTGTGACGCCAACGGGTCGCCGACGGAGGTCACGGTGTTGCATGTTGCAGTCGACATTGCAGTCCTCCACGGTTATCTTTTCCTCGCGACTACTCCGTACGTCTTGCTGCCTCTATGCCTATCCCTGCTGCTATGAGCTCTGGTGCTGCTGTTGTTATCCGTTGTTACTGCCTGAGTATTCGACTGGAATAATAACCGTGGAGTACCTGGTGTATTCGTGAAGCGCGCCCTGGATCGATGGCGCTGCGGCTTGGTCCGGAAAGGGATGCTTGGTCGAGATAGACGTGAGGGCCAACCGGACCAACTGAACATGAGGAAATAAGCACTCAGAGTGAGGCGAGACGAGACGAGGTATGGCATGGCATGGCATGGCGAGGTAGTGCTGTCGTGACGAACGGCTCTTGGATGCCGGTACTTTGGGGACATGTTAGAGTCGGGTGTTGGTATGATGTAGCCTTTGCGCAGGGCAGGCAGCCGGTTCCTCTTGGGACGTACTCTCGAAGTGTATTAGGTAGGTATGATGAAGTGAGGTAAGGTATTTCATGAGGGCGCATCTCAGCAACAAGCAAGCAATAGATGCAGAAGGAAAGAGCGATCGCAGCTGGCAGCCAACCCCTGCTTCCTGCTGCCATTTCCCCAGAGAAAGGCGACAGACAGCCCTGGAGGACACAACCGGGACACCTCAGACAGAGAGAAAGAGGTACGTACCAAAGTACCGTCCCATCATCCCCAATCGTACGGAGTACTGCCAATCCATGCACCCGCACCGCACCGCATCGCAGCTGCACCTCCCTCTCCAAGAACTCCACCACCGCGTCGTCGCCCTTCACCTCAGCACTTGTATATTCGTACACTTGCAGGGCACGCTTCATTAAAGTATTCCCATACGATGGTCCGTGGTCTACCGTGGTCTACCGTGGTCTACCTTACCTCACGGATACGCTGCCGCTGCAGGCTGCTAACTGCTCCTGTTGCTCCCCCCCGTCTCGTCCTGAATGAACCTTGTCCAGCTCCAGGAACCCAGAGACATCCATGTCATCCGTCTTGCCTCTTGTTGCTCCCGTCACTCAACTTACTGCTCTTTCTCTCTTCTTCTCATTCTCGTTCCCCTTCCCATCATCCCTTTTCCATCTATTCCTTCTGTTCTGACTTGGGATATATGCAACTTACCGGTTGATGGGAATTCATCACCTCTGCTTCCCCCTCACTGCAACTCCTCCCCCAATTCTCACCGTCTTTGCATCATCAATTCTTGTCCTTGCGTCTTTCTAGTCCTGCGTCTGATTCGGCCCGCCTTGGACCGTTTCTCTGTCAACTCTACCTAACTTCGTACCTCTACCTGTCTACCTCGCCTTACCTTACTCACCTCTCGACCTCTCGACCTCTCTTCTTCCTCCTTTCCGGCCTAGCATATACCATCTGATCTTTGACTGTTTCTTGTTTGCCATCCTTTGCATTCCCGGCTCGCCACGAACCTCTAGAGCACACCGCCCTTGCTTCATCTTCGGTACTCGCTTGAACCCCCAGGCCCCCAGGTGACTCGATGACGGAAAGGTACCTCGACACGATCACGAGGCTCTCAATCCATTGAGCGGATGACACCGGCGCCGATAACCCCCGACTCGACAACTGCCATCATCGCCCATTGTCCTCTCATTTCTTTCTGCCGAGCCATCGTCGCTCATCTCTGAACAACGCTCTTGCAGTTGGTTGCTGTTGTTGTTTCTTGTCGGAGGAACTTCTTTGGAGGAGGGTCCCTGTTTCCTGCGAAGCGATCGAAGCACCCGACCAAGACCAAGCTTACCTCAGGCAACCGAAAGCCATAGTCGAAAGCCACGGCCGCCTAAGATAGCTCCATCTTCCGCCCTGCAGCTCTCTACTCTCTCCCGTCTACCTGGCGCCCCTTGGCCTGCTCGTGCGGCACTCGAACAACCCAACAGTCGACTCGTTTCTGCATTCCCGGTTGCCGCAAGTCCCCGACGTTGACGTTGCCGTTGCCCTGCCCGCCGTTGCCTACCTCGCCGCGCCGCCTTCTCCCAAACCAAAGGGTCCACGTCCCGCCAAAGACCATCCGCCGCATCGCATCCCACTTCCCCTCCACTCGTCCGTCTGCGCTTCTGGATTGAGCCTCCCAAGTGATTTCAACTCAACTCGACGACTCCTAGTTGCCATGAAGGATGGATAAGCAGGTTCGGTACCACTCCGACATCGACCCCGAGAATACCCTCCCGCACCCCGCATAGAACTGCCCTGCGCACTCGCATCGCACTTCCATCGTTACCTCGACGCCCAGCTTGCCTTCCGCCCGCTACACAGATCTACGTCCATTTCTCCCGCCCTTTGGGGCCGCAACCCCTGACAAAATGCATCAACAAGCCCGACCCGCCCCGCGGGTCTCATCCCCCGCTTCCTCCCCCCAAACAAACCCCTCCCGAACGAACAATCCGAGAGAAGGAATACTGGGTGCTCGTGCCAGAGCCTCGTCTGGAGCCTCCGCCCGTGATACTGCTGTCGCGGGCTCGCCAACACTCGAGAGTCCCTCGGGCGCTGGTCCTCCCGCTGATGCCGTTAAGAAATTGGACCAAATTATCCAGGTATGCTGGCGAGATGGCGCTGAGTGGCTTCCCTGGATGAAGGCTAACAGTAGCAGAACTTCCACACCAAAGCTGCGTCGGTGGTCCTTCAATCGCGTATCAATCTCAAACCTACATACACAACTCGTGGATCCGGAAGCAAAAAGCTGAACAAATGGGTAAGTCTCACGAGGGGCGCGTCCACCTGCACCCACGACGGAACGCTGACTTTTTGCGCTTCTCCAGTTCCAAATCGAGACCGAAGAATTCGACGATTTCAAGGACGAGCTCCGCCTCTGGAGGAATTGCGGCAGCTTCGAGAACAAGCCGCCGCCCCTGATCATTGAGACATACCTCGACACTTCACGCCTAACTCCCAGCCAGAGCTTGGTCATTGTCGATGAAAATGGAAAGAGATGGGATGCAATGGAGGCCTTGAACTCGTCCGATTCGAGCGACGACGGTCGTCCCATGCCTACAAAGAGGAATACAGAGGTGATTCTGGAAAGATGGCGCATCGAACTAAAGACGATTCCCACGAATGATCTCGATGACTTCGGCCCAACACTGCCCACCATTTACAAGAAGAGCATCGTATTTTTCCGATCCCTATATGCCGCGGCAAGAATCCTCCCCGTCTGGAAGTTCTCCCAGCATTCTCTGAACAAAGGCATCCACCCTTCACTAGAGCCACAATGTCGCATTCGGACCGCAGAGCCGGAGACGGACGGGTTGGACCGGCTAAGACATCCGTTGTACGATGGCCGGCCTGACGTGGTGACCGACTACGTGTTTGGCGACTTGGAGGTACCCGTCGGTAGGTTTTATGCCACCGTAACGTACAGGAACGAGTGCAACTTTCGAGTAGACGACGCTGAATCGCTCTTGAGCTCGCGTTTTATGGGCGTCGATGAGAACTTTTTCAAGCCATCCCTGCCACAAAGAACAGAAACCAGGAGGATCGATCCAGAGGTCGGCTCGCTCCCGTCCCACAGGCATAGCCGACATCTGTCGGAAATCCATCAAACGTATGGCAGCCTTTCAACGTTTCACGGCGACGGTCCTTTGGGCACTAGCCCCATATCAGCCTTGAAAGCCGTACGTCCTCCTGGCTCAGATACGAGCTCACCACCGGATGCTACCCCTACTCATACGGAACCAAACCCGCCCAACTCATTGCCCGTTCCTGGTCTGGCTGCAAGACCGTCAGTCAAGGGGTTCAGTAGCACGGGTCGGCGGCCTTCTGTCTCGTTCCAACCGTTCAAGGCCGGTTCCCTGTCTGGGTCTCCCGTTCCTCGGACTTTGGACTCAGACTCGCCAGCTTCCCCGGCGTCTAGAGCTGCGGCACTAAACGCACTCACTCAACCGCGAAACCGCCGGTCGCTGACTGTCGGTATGCCTGCTTCCTTACGAGGCGGTCCCCCACCCGGCGGCGACGCACCGGTTGTGGGCTCGCCTAGGCCTTCGTCGACGAGCCGCTACAGTAGCAGCTTCACTCACCGCAAGGGAAAGCTGTCTTATGGCGGGCCCAGCAGGACAGGTGATGACGAGCAAGGAAGCAGTGGACGTCAAAGCCTGTCGTCTTCCGTGGCACAGCCTGGATCTGGCCTTCTTGCCGAGGCAGGAGGAGGCGGAAGCTCCGGGTCTCTGCAAACAGACGATGACCAGATTTCCGAGTTTCTGAAGGCGCTGGATAGCAAGAAGACGCTGAAAAGCTTCGAGCCCAGTAAGAAGGGCGAGTTGGCAACGAACAGAACCGTTGCCCAGCTGTCCAGGTTCCACATGATGAAGGAGTCTAACAATGCTCTCACGGATTCCATGACCTCGTCAATACAGATGCATAGGTCATCAAGCTCGTCTAGCAGACAGCTGTCGAACGTTCCTAGCATGGCCGCCCCAGCCTCGGTCTCAGTGTCGTCCTCGCCTGGAAAGCCGCTCTCCCCTCATACTCCTCATACACCCGCAGTGCCTTCACGCCTGAGCGAGAACTCCATCATCAACTACAACACAAGCCAGCCACGAAGTGAGCGTGGCAACACCAGCGCAGAGAACACTCAAATCAACAGAGAAGACACCATCACTCAAGATGGCACAACAGCCATCGACATTCCGATCTCCCCGAGGATTGGCACACACCCGAGGCGGTCAAGTTCTGTTGCGCAGCAGAACCGAGCACTGGCAGACGATGACGATGGGGATCTCGCATTCGCGGCGAACCGTAGCATCAGTCTAGGTGCCGAAGACCGCGAACCTCCAACGCTTAGTATGCTGCTGGGTAGACAAACGGAAGCCGAGTCAGCGTCCAGACGAGAGGGAACGTCACTTCGGCCGGCTGTTGACATTCAGTCTTCTGGCTCTACAGACATGATTCAACAGGGATCGTCCGAAGGGTCTAAGCCCCCCGGAGGACTGATGGCTGTTGCACCATCGAGCTCACCCTTTGGCAGGCGCCGGTATGCTGGTATGGCGGCGACAGGTGGACGTGGTCAGACGCCTCCTCAATCTTCGAGGGGAAGCTTCACAGGGTCCATAGGCAGGTATGGACGCGGAGAGAATGATCTTGCGGACGATGAGCCTCTCCTTTTCGACATGTCCGAGATGGACGCGCAGTCGCGTCGAAGCTTGGAGGAGGGCAGGGGAGGCGGCCACGTTGGATCTGGTTCGGGAAGCCGCGGTGATTTCGAGCCACGCGGCATCAGCCGACGCGGATGGTAGACAGCACGTGGTTTGGTGGGTTGTGTGCGTCTTGCCAAGGGAGACACGGTAGCACGCGAAAGGAAGCATACGAAGACACAATGCCCGAGCTTTGGTCTATGGTTGAACAAGCCGGTGAGGCCCGACGATTGGGCGCTGCAGCCCTGGAGCAAGAAGTGAGGATTCTTGCTAAAGGCGTTTTCACCATTACATATATATCACGGCTGGGCGAATAAGGAATTCTGGCGTTTAGCGGACTGGTTGATCAAGGTTTTGGAAGTGCCGGTAGAGAACACCGGAGTTGGAATTACGGATTACGGACTACAGATATGATAGAGAATGTACAAAGACTGACATGTACACATACAGAGTGTATGAAACAGCATCGCCACTTTGAAGAGGACGGAACTCGACAAGAATTTGCATAGTTTAGGCATCAGCGAGCAAGACGCAATGTTCATCTTTCATTGGAGCATCTACCGGCATGGGAATGGTGTCTTGTTGCAATACGCTTCATCTAATGTTGGCGTACGTGTAGAAGCTAGCCTAGGCAGAGACTGTTTTCATACGGCAAGCTCCATGCCGTGCCATTGGAAGAGCACAGAACCCAACCTTGTTCTCAACGTGGAGTCGGCATGGTGCTCGTCGTCACGGCGTACGCATGGATGACGAGATAAGTAAGCTTGTTCTCGAGGAGTGTCACATTACCTACTTTACCTAGTGTGAGGTAAGGTAGAGACGGACACTGATGGACCAGGGGTGCCAAGCGGTTGGATGTGGCTTGACGTTTCCAGTTGTCAATCCCGTCGGCGTTGTCCCGTTCCCCGCACCTGCGAGCATGTGGCGCATGCATGGCTGACGTACCTGCCTGCCTACCTCGAGATTAGGCTATCCTGCTTGTTGAGATGCTGTGAAATGGGCAGCGCAATACATAGTATACAGAGTATTGAAGCTTGGGTTTGATGATGGAGTCAAGATATCTGTGCTATTTTTGGTGATGGGGCTGGATTATTCTGGGGCGGAACCGACTGCGGGGCAGGAACTCTAAGGGAATTAAGAACGAAAAAAAAGAGAGCAAAAAGCCACGGCGAAATAAACTCGATAGATTGATCTTCTTGCCCTTCAGTTATTAGTGTTGCAGTCGGTTCGCCCATGCCCACGAGTGCGTTTACGTATCCCAACTTTCATCAAATTGCCGGCTTCCAGATTGGTGGAGGCGGAGACGGAGACGGGAGCGAGAAAGCAGGCAGTCCACAGACGTGGCGGTGCGCAGTCGCAGTTACGGCTGTCCGCGTAATTCGTGGGCGAAACCACACTCAGCCCCTACCTTGCGGGTTGGTGATGATGACGACGGGTCCTTCTTTTAGTGGGCTTGCGTGGGCCCTGCACCTGTCCGCGGGACGTTGCAAGTCACTGTCTGCATGTTGCAGTATGAAAAGATACATTGGGGTCGATGTCGCCAGCTCCCGTATTCACCTCTCTGCTCCTCCACCTCAGAGGCACCCAACGAACAGTCTTTGGGTTACCTTGGTACCTCACCTCAGTTGGTTAGGTGGTAGGTGCCTGGCTGACCTCATACCTTACCGTACCTACCTAGCGTAGCAGGCCTGGCACCTGCTTTCTCTCCCGCCCAAGCCTAAGCCCATCCGTCTATCGACGTCCATGTCCGTCTGTCGGTCCGTCCGCCCCCCCATAGTTACATACCTGACCTTACCAGTGATCATGCCTGCCTTACCTTAACCTGCGCCTTACATACCTACTTGCCTCGTTGATGAACCCATCCATCGCATCGCCAGGCGACCTTACGTACACATTACTGAACAATCTGAGTGACCAATCTACCTGAACGTTCGCCTTCCTTGTCGTACCCTTCGAAATACGGATCCCAACCGGACTGTCCCCGCCGCCCTAGCAAGGCTGTTTCTGTTTCGCTCGACCAGGCTCCCGTCCAATACCTTAAGTTCTTTACCTGACAAACCTACCTGAACTGGCTAAACCTCTCCTCAACCCAACACCACCTTCCATACTTTTTGCTCTGCGTCACGACTCACCATCACCACCGTGAGATACTTCGAAGCTGTTGCCTCGCCGCCGAGAAGCTTGGCACGAAACGCCGAATACCCTACTGGCTATTTCGATACAACCGTTCATCCACCGATCACTGTAGAGCATCTCCAGCAGCTCACAGCTTCTTCCCACTATGTTTCGAGCTGCCGCTGCTGGTCCCTTTGACGAGGGCGTCGGTGCGTCACCTTCCTTGAATCTGCTTCTGCCTCCAACTTTTGGTCACTTCGCTAACTTGTGTCTGGTGTCATGTAGCCAAGGCGACCGATGAGAACCTGACCTCGGAGGACTGGGGAGCCATTATCGAAGTTTGCGACCGCGTGGGCAGCGATCAGAATGGCCCCAAGGAGGTCGTACAAGCCATGATCAAGCGCCTGGCGCACCGCAACGCCAATGTCCAGCTGTATACCCTCGAGGTGAGTCTCCCGCTGCCCTTGATCGCTACACTGTCCAGCACCGTAGCTGACCTCATCGCTCGCCGCCCAGCTCGCAAACGCTCTCAGCCAAAACTGCGGCAAGAACATGCACCGTGAGCTCTCCAGCAGAGCTTTTACCGACGCCCTCCTCAAACTCGCCAACGATCGCAACACTCATAACCAAGTCAAGGCCAAGATCCTCGAGCGCATGAAGGAATGGTCCGACATGTTTAGCAAGGATGCAGACCTCGGCATCATGTACGACGCTTACTTCAGACTCAAGCAAACCAACCCCGCCATACAGGCTCCCTCGGCTCCCCAGAAGACTGGCTTGACCGATTTGGATCGCCAGAAGGAAGAGGATGAGCTGCAGATGGCCTTGACTTTGTCTTTGCAGGACGAGGAGCGGAAGAAAAAGGCAGCGGAGCCGGCCGCCGCCTCATCATCGTCTGCCGCCGCCGCCGCCGCCCCCGGATCCTCTGCCCAAGCAGCCCAGCCCCAGACCCAATCCACACCCGTGCCAGCCGGCACTACAGCCGCTACCGTCTCGAGAGTGCGCGCCCTATACGACTTCGTCCCGTCCGAACCGGGTGAGTTGGAGTTCAAGAAGGGCGACGTTATCGCGGTGCTGGAGTCTGTTTACAAGGATTGGTGGCGTGGATCGCTCAAGGGCAAGACCGGTATCTTCCCCCTCAACTACGTTGAGAAGCTTACGGACCCGACCCCCGACGAGCTTGCGCGTGAGGCCCAGATGGAGGCCGAGGTTTTCGCTGAAATCAAGAACGTCGAGAAGCTGCTTACTCTCTTGAGCACGTCCAACACGGCGCCGAGAGAAGAGGATAATGAGGAGATTTCTGTAAGACACGAACGGAACGCCCTGTAGACGACAAAGACTGACGCAGCACACAGAAGCTTTACCACCAGACGTTGGCGATCCGGCCGAAGCTGATCAAGCTTATCGAGAAGTATTCGCAGAAAAAGGGTAAGTCGTCCACTTCATTCGCCAAATACACCTGGGCTAACACGTCACAGATGACTTTACTCAGTTGAACGAGAAATTCATCAAGGCCCGCCGGGACTACGAGGCGTTGCTCGAGTCTTCCATGTCACACCCTCCCCAACCCAGCTACCACCAATACGCCATGAGACCGGGCGCTGGCGGGTACCCGGGCGGACCAGTAGCGGGAGGATACCCTCCCCAGGGTCCTCCCCAAGGTCCTCCCCAAGGACCTCCCCAGCAGCAGGATCAGAGATACTATACTCCTGCACCACAAGGTGAACTACCTTGATTGCCATTCCCAGAGCATCGAGTTTGACTAGTCGTATATAGAACAACCACAATACCCCCAGTCCACGCCCTCGCCGAACTTCCAGCGTCCGGCACAAGCCACACCAGCTCCGTTCTACGTAGCTGGTGCTGAGGTGCCGTCAGCAGGTGGTCTGCCTCCCGCGCAAAACCAGCAGTATCCCCAGCGTGAACACCGTCCCCGTGTCCCTTCTACAGGAAAGGCCCCGGCACCGATCAACACTTCGCCTCCTCCTCCAGCCAACGCTTACACTGCTTACTCGCAGCCTCCTAACCAGCGACCCCAGAGCACGTACGGCGCTCAGGAGCTGGCTACCTCTGTATACGATTCGCCCATCGCGACCCATAACCCGAGCTCAGCAGCGACGTACACCTCGTCTGTCTATTCTCAGGATGATCCGTACAATAACAACACTTCGAGCCCAGTCGTAGGAAACTCCACCGTGACCGCGCCGCCTCCGTCGTCGTTCCAGCCGTCCGCACCGTCTGCGCCCTCCGCGCCCTCCACAAAACCGCCCCAGCCGTCCCAGCCGTCAGCGCCGCAGCAGCCTCAGTACCAAAGCTACCAACCGCCAGGAGCTCACGGGCAGGAGAACTACAATAACGCGCCGACGCAGGCGCCTCCACCCGTGCCGACCGGGGCAGCCCCGCCGGTTCCGGGCCCTGGCAGATCCGAAGTACTGTCTCCGCCGCCTCTGCAGCCCGGCGGTCCGGCCTACGACGCCAGACAAGGACTGCCGAGCCAGGGGACGCAGCCCCAGTACAGAGCATACGCCCCCCCGGGTGCTGCCGCTGATGGTCCCAGTGCTCCTCCCGCGGCCGACTATTACCGTCAGAGCGGTGTTTACTAGAACTTGGAGGGTGACCGACCAGTTGACAGTTTGTAGAGGGCAGGATCTCTGATTGTTAACGACTACATTCATTTTTTTCTTGATGCTAGCGAGGTTGACTGTTATCTTTCTTGGGGGTGGCATTTTTTTGGCATTCAAGGAGGGAGACGGATGTATCTCGCAAAGTCCCTAGAGGCCTCACTCATACCCGCTACGGCAGTTTGTTGACAGGACACGAGGAAGAAGGCAAACCAGAGGAAAAGGGGCCTGAGGAATACATAATATGCACACACAAATGTACCATAATCGTTCACAACTTGCCCATGAAATCTTCATCACAACTGCCATGTGAGGGAAACTCTTTCGCCGCCGTTTTGTTTTTCTCGTCAAGGCGTCCCAGTTGAACAATCATCGCCATAAGTCATGGCTCTCAGCAGAGGTTGAAATAACTTTGTCTTCACATCATATCTAATCGTCAATACCTGAAAACCAAACACCATCTACGCCAATACTAGGCAGGGGTCTTGCTCAGCCAACTACCCGTATACAATAACAAAACAGGCTTGTCTTTTCATGAGATACTCCATCCCCGTGATCAAGCATGAAACCTCCCATAATCTACTTTTCATCATACCGTCAAACCAATACGTCGTCATCTGACAATGAAAATGCAACTCGGCAAGCCAAGCAACCAAAGCCCCGGGCCAGAACGTTTACCACCGCCGGCCGAACGTCTCGTGCTCCGACCTCTTGGGCGCCTTGCGGGCGGCCTTGCCCTGCAACAAGCCCGCCTCGGGGGAGACCTGCCTGCTGCTGTGGGCCGAGGCCGCGCGCGACTGGTCGACGTAGTTGTCGTGGTGGTTGGCGGGGTTGGTGTGGTGGTCGTCGCGGCGGAAGAGGTCCATAATCTCCTTGAAGCCGAGCTTGAAGGCGTCCTTCTTCATGCCGCCCTCGATGGCCGTCTCGGCGAGCAGGCGCTTCTTCTCCTGCAGCTGCAGGATGCGCTCCTCGACCGTCTTCTCGACGGTGAGCTTGTAGACGACCACGTCGACCGTCTGCGTGAGGCGATGAACGCGGTCGATAGCCTGTTCCTCGACGAACTGGGGAGCGGAAGGGTTAGCGAAGGCTTTGGCGGAATGTGGTGAACGCTCAGACTTACGGGGTTCCAGAACGGTTCGAGGATGATGACGCGGGTGGCGGCCGTCAGGTTGAGACCCAAGCTACCGCACTTGAGACTGCAGAGCAGAATGCGTGTGTTCTTGTCGTTACGCAGGCGGTGCAAGCTGGCTTCGCGCTCGTCATTCTTCATGCTGCCGTCGTAGCGAGTGAACTTGAACCCTTCCTTGCGGAAGAAGGGCTCGATGAGGTCCATCATGGACGTGAACTGCGAAAAGACGATGAACTTGTGGTCGTCGGCCTCCTTGTGCAGCAGCTTCATCATCTGGCGGATCTTTGCGGAGGCCAGAATCTGGGACACCTGGCCTCGCGGCTTGTATCTGGTGTCGTTGTCAGAGTCGACTTCTGACTCGTCAACGCCGGTGTCTTCTTCTGATGAATCGGACTCGGACTCGTCTTGGGACGCTTGCGATGATCTGTACTTGGCGTCGACCTGCGATGCTATCGCTGCTATTGAAGGAAGGCTGTCGTCAGATGCAAAGCTGTCGTCCACGTCCTGCTCGTGCTTGACTCCGTCGTCCTTTACAACGAAGCTATCGAGCTGACTGCCGTCGTCTTCATTCTCGGAGTCGTGACGCGAGTCATCAGAGCCGATCCAATCACCGCCGCCCTCGGCATTTTCGTCCTCCTCGCCACCAGCCTTGCCCAGGCGAAGCTGGCCTTGCTGGTCTTCGGGAACAAGCCAGGTGGCATCGGCCTCTTCGTCGTCACTGTCAACGACGACGTTCCGGTTGCGGGGTCGACGAGACTTGGGCTTCTGTGGGCTCTCGTCTTCAGGATCTGCCATCAGACTCTGCTCGACGACCTTCTTCACCTTCATCTTCTTCTGCTTCGGCTTCTTCCTCTTTGGCGTCTCGTGCTCTTTGAAGTAGGCCAGGTCATCGTAGCACTCTTGGCATGTATCTCTATCGCTGTTGACCGAGTCCTTAGGCAAGTTACGCCCGCAGATACCGCAAGTCTTGGCGGCAATGCCCATGACACCGAACATATCGGCAAGCGAATCGATGTCTGGAGCATTCTTTGGCGCTGCGCCTGTGGAAAGCGCGTCCTTGTCCTTGTCAAGCTTTCCTTCAACTAGTTTCGGGTGGTTGCAAGCTTGTCGGAGGCGAAGGAGCAACACCAAAGCATTGGCGTAGTCAACCTTGCCCTTCAACATCTTCTCAATGCTCTCATCAGCGCGGGCTTCGAGTCTATCGTAAAAGCGGCGCTCTGCGGGAGAAAATGCCGTGGCTACAGTGACGACCTTGCGCTCTGTGACCTTGAAGCCGGTGGTGGACTTCTCGCCTTCCTTGGTTGGCTTGCCACCAGGGTTGAGCGCACCAGCCTCCTTAAGGATGTCTTTGGTACGACGCTTCATGAAACACCTCAGGATACTGTGAAGACGACGGATGGCAACATGACCTTTGCCGTTCTTCAAGGGCTTCTCAATCTGCTCCTTCCACTCCTTGAGGTCATCATAGGGCTTGATTCTCAAAAACTTGATGAGTGATTGCAGCTCCTCCAAGTTGTTCTGCATTGGCGTTCCCGAGAGACACCAGCGATACTCTGATCGTAGAGCATAGCATGCCTTTGTCGACTTGGCATTTCTGTTCTTGATGGTGTGCGCCTCGTCGAGAACAACGCGCCACCAGTGAAGACCGAAGCATCCTGCCTTGACGCCTTTCTCGTCTTCTGACGAGTGACCCCATTCGGAGACCAAGACTTGGTAGGTGGTCACGACGACATCGTAAAGCGCGAGATCCTTATACCGCTTGGTGCGTTGAGGTCCGTGGTGAACGCAAACCTTGAGTCCGTGAGTCTTCGCGACCTTCTCCTTGATCTCAGACTCCCACTGCCTGATCAAAGCGAGGGGGGCAACAACAAGCGTCGTCTTTTCGATGCCGTCGAAGTGCTTCTTGTACGCCTTCTCGCCCTTCTCAGGCTTCTGGTTGCTCAAGATGAGGGCGATGGTTTGGAGAGTCTTGCCGAGACCCATGTCATCTGCCAGAATGCCGCCCTTGGGGACCTTGCCTCTCTTGACGGGGCCCAGTTCGCGGCCCCTCATCCATTCGACACCTTCGACTTGGTGAGGAAGGAGTTTCACCTTAAGACCCTCCATGCTGCCATCTTTGCCATCTTCCTCTGTGTCTTGCTTTTCCTGCTCTTCCTCTTCGTCTTCCATGCCACCCTCCAGAAGAGCCTTCAAGTCGGCCGAAGCCTTTGCAGGATCCGTGTAGAACTCGGAATCACCAAAATTTCCAACTGGTCTGAAGGTGGCAGGGTTCGCGTCGGGGCCAATGGAGCTGTAGAGGGCAGGAGGCGCCGGCTTCTGGTCTTGATAGAAGGGTACGGCGGGTACAGAAACATGTTGAGGTCTGTGGTGCTCTGGCCTTGACCTCCGATCGTTAAAGATGCCTGCCGCCTTCTGCTTAAGAGAGGACATCATCTTGGTCGGATGACCAAATACTGGCTGTGGAGAGGACGAGGGATGGAAAGGGTCGTGGCGCTTGACATCTGAGAAGAACGACTCCAGCGCATCAGAGTGCAGCAACGAGTGATCCAGCTGGCTGGTTTCGTTATCCTTGGACCTGGGCCTTGGTGGTTGTCTGAAATCAGCGCCAGAGATCTCGACGAGCTCGGGACTAGAGACCTCTGCCACCAAAGGGGGGCTTTCTGAGCGCTGTTGAAGCGGCATGCGTCGCGCAGACATGTTAGTAACAGCTTGCGGTGGCTTGCTCTTGGGTGTGGTGGACACGCGCATGGCGTCGAATCTCGAGGTAAGTGAGTCGGGGTCGAAGGAAGAAGCATCGCGGCTGTCGGGTCGCGAAGAGCCCCTCGGAGCACCGCGAGCTTCCTTCACAGGCGTTGCCATCTTGGGGAGGTCGCGACTGCTGGAGGGTTGCGCATCCTCGTTGGGATTGATTGGGCGCAAAGGACCCTTGACCGGGTTGCGTTGGTTGACCATGACTGTACACACAAGCCGCGGCGTTTCTTTGTAGATGTTTGTTGACTGCGTCGGTTCCTTGCGCGGCGATTTGGAGAATTCGGGTTTCCCTTCCGCAGTAATGTTGTTTCGAGGGCGAAAGGAGAAGTCGGCGCCAGGCTTTCTGTTATGGCGGGAAGAGGGGTTAGCGACGTCGGGCTTCGTGGAGATTTGCCAGAAAAAAACAAGCGAATGTGGGCTGTACGAACTTCATAAGAGACTCATGAAGAGCGATACTCGGCGAGACGAATATGTTGTTTCGAGGGGGTCTGCAGTAGTTGTATTTATGTCAAAATGATTTGTCGCGTCCAAAAATGGGAGACGTGTAAATGGGATGTGTGCGCGATGCCAAGTTGTGCTTTGATGTGCATGGGAGTGAAGACAGTAGGTACCGTTTACCACGTTTACCAATGACATAACTCTCCCCAGCAACGGGTGGGCAACGGGAGTCAACGCCACTGTCCATCATCAGGGGTCTCATGTGGCGGTGCGCATTTCCCTCCAAGTGCTGTTTTAGCAGCTGGAGATGCAGGCATGTACCTTATCTAATCTGGACAGTGCGGCGCTAATGACGGTTTACATACTGCCATTCCTGTTCACCGAGTCTCACCGAGTCTCATCAAAGAACTACAGTCTGAAGATTTGTTTGGTCATGATTTCATGTACTTTGTAGTTATATCGAGTCTATCATCTAGATGGGGTATCAGTGTATGGATCAAAGCCAACACGCCTCTTGGCCTCTGTTCTAGCCCTCAATTGTTCTTCTCCTTTTAGTCCAGTGGTGGACGTTTCCTCCAGAAAGAATGTAAGAATGTGGTCATGAATCGTCAAGTGTGAGGCTTGCTGAAACTCTTGCAAGCTCGTCAATCTAATGAGCATCTCCAAGAGTGACAACGATGTGGTGACCGCGCCAAAAGGCGATCTTTGCACAAACGAATCGGTGTTATCCATTGAGCGATGCGTCAAGTCCCGGGCGTAAGGTCGCGGAGGTGTGCGGAGGTCCCTCGCAGAGGGCGACGACTGCAGAGACATATCTTGAATTTGGGCCACAAGCCTCGGGTCCAATGACGATCTTGCACGTCGAGAGTTGGGACTCGGTGACGCTGCGGCAGACGTGGATGATGGTTCTACCAGTAGCTTACCGCCCTCTTCCGCAAGCTCCTCGTCCTCCGTGTCGCTATCGTCAATGTCGTCCTCTTCAAAGACCTCCATAGCGATCCATTCGGGGTCCAGATGACTTGGGAATTGTCTGCGAGATGGGGCGGTCGGTGATTTAGGCAGCTCCTCCAGAACTTCGAGGGCGGCACTTTCTTCTCGAAGCTGGCGGTCGATATCGTCCTGCTCATCTTCCTCGCCAAATACACTCCCAGCTTCAGAAACCGTCTTGGAAGCATCGCCGTCTTCGTATGCCATCATCTCTTCTTGCATCTGCATTGGCGGCTTCGCAAGGGCATCTCGTTTCAACAAAAGAACCGGGTTGTTGTCGCCACCGTCACTGCCGATATTCAGGATCCTGCCGGTATCGGCATAGAAGATTTTGGCGATTTGATGAATCGGAATGGACTCGCGTATGCCTGCATTGTTGATGTCGTCATATGGCGCCGCGTGTGCGTCCAAGTCGTCGTGAACTCGACCATCGTCTAGATCCTCGATGATCTCCAAGTGATACGCGTATTCAATATGCTGTCCCATGGGACCAGACGACCCGAAGAGATGAGATTCCCTGAAGTTTTGTCTTTTGGTCTGTTCAGGCCGATAACCTTTGTTTGCGTCGAAGACATGATCCGCTGGTGTTCGGCAAAGTCGGACCCTGGCCTTGTGAATGACTTCCTGCCACACTGGCTTCCTTTCGCCCTCTTCGAATCCGTAGGGGTCTGCTGGAGTTCCTGAAAGACTGCGTGTCGGCTTCTGAGGAGTGGCAGGAGGATGGTGCGGGTTTGAGGATTGCTCTTTGGGGTTTGTTGCGGCGTGGCCCACAAACAACATATATATTGAGAGCGTAAATGCCGGCCCTATCTGGACCGGTCTGGACGGATCGGCGGCATACTGGGTGTCTCCAAATGTGAGGAACATGCCGGCTTGAAGAAGCCTGGACGGCGAGGTATTGGGGCCCATCTTTGAGCTGAGACTTTCTCCGGAGGCGGTGATAGCCATGTGCAGGAGTGGAATATCCCTGTCGATTCGAGCCATGAGGTCCTTCATATCGCCAATGATGGCCTTGAGTTCGGCAAGTTGCTGTTCGCCATCGATGCTGCTTCGCAAAGGGCCTTTGGGTGCCTCCGCTGCTTCAGCGGCCTGTTCTACTCGATGACCAAGAGCGACGATATCCTGGTGAAGTCCCTTTGCTAGAGGAAGGGCTGACTCTAAGAAGGCATTTCCTCGTCCGGATCTAGATGATGATCAGCTGGAGAAAGTGAGAGTGAAATGGGGTGAGAGAACTGACTTGAACTCAACGAGATCTATGGCAGGAGAGACGACCTGGAAACGGTGTTAGTGGAGTTGAGATATTACTGACATGGGTACATAGCACACACCTTGATCTTGCTGTCTAGTATTTTCTGAAGCTTCTTCAACTCTGAGCGAACAGCCTTGTCATCCACAGTCTTCATGAGACGTGAACATTGGGAAAAGGCATAGGTCGAGGTGAGAGCTATGCCTGACCGTATGGCCATGTTCATCGCCTGGGCGCCCAGTTTAGCAAGTAGGGCATCCATGGCTGCTCAGCATTTCCATTCTGTTGGAAGAATGGATGACTGGTCATGTACAAAATCGATAAACCTAGTAGAAGAATGACGTCTGTGAAGGAACCCAAGGTGAAGAAGGATATTAGGCTTCAAAGAAGAGAAAAGAATCACTCGCAGCGGTGGCTTTGACCGGGGAACCTGAGGCAGGTTGCCATAGGTGAGCAAGCAGGGGCTGGGGCCGGGACCAGTGACGATGCACGCAAGCGCAGGTGCCCGATTTGGGTGGAGGGGCAGACAGTGCGGTTTACAGTGGAAAACGGAGAGTCTCACGTGCTCTGAGCGAGGGGCACTCTGGATTTGGTGGGCACAATTACCCCTCGTTTGAATGGCATATCATGCCACAGGCTGAACAAATTACAGAAATTCTTCTAATCAAATAGATAATGCCACTTACCTTGTTCATATAAAGGCTTGTAAAATAATGACAGAATAACTCTACAGAAGTCATGGTAATCACAATACTGGCAGCAATAGCGTTGCAAACAGTTGGGTCTTAAAAAAATGTACAGTGCCATGTCACTGGTAAGGCAGCACCCCGCCTTCTGGTGGGTCAGGCCTCGACTCTGCAAAATGTGAACCTGAGCAAACACTTTACACTTTCCAGTACCTTTACGTCAAAATTTCGGGATAATTACCAGAGAAGAGAAAGGATCAAGAAGCTCAGTAGACCAGCTATTGAAGAGTCAGACGTTGCTTTGTGGCAGGCATCAACCCAAAAGTGAGTCATTTGCGCCCGAGTTCAGTCACTCAATTGAGTACCGTGTTGGTTCTTTTGCCTCCGGCTTGGAGTTGGAGGGGGAAAAAATAACCCTCCAGCCCCTCTTTAAATCTTTCTTTGGCGGCGCATCTTGTCCTAACGTCCCATCCCACTCGTAGCCTCTGACCGCATCATCCTCACCTCCCACCTCCGAATTCGACATCGAACCGAACGCCCCGCCGAAGGTCACTATCATCAAAATGTCGAACCTCAACTCTTGGGAAGACGATCCTGCTGCCCAGGACGACAACCTGTCGCGACAGGCTCAGCAGCTCAACCTCAACCAACAACAAAACCCCCAAGCTGGCTCCTTCCGCCCAGGAGCTTCCTTCACCCCAGGCGCCTCGTCATTTACCCCTGGCGCTCAGTCATTCCAGCCTGGCCAGCAATACGGCGGCTACCCGCCTCAGCAATACCAGCAGTACTACGGTCAGGGCTATGGCGGTCCCCCTGGTGGCTACCCTCAGTATGGCGGCCAGCAAGGCTACAACCAGTACGGTCAGCAAGGCTACACTGGCTACCAGCAGCAGCAACAGCAGCAGGGCTACCAGCAGCAATACGGTATGCGCGATATATGATATCCGAATCTACAGACCTCACCACTTGTTCACCAATATTAACGACTGGCAGGCCAGGGATACCCTCAATACGGCCAGCAACAGCAACAGCCCCAGGCACAAAAGCCTGCCCCTACTATCGCTAAGCGCCCGGCCGACGCCCCGGCTTCCGCTACCACTTCCGCATCCGCTTCGCCCGCTCCCCAGCCGACAGTAAAGAAGGAGGGCGGCGCCAAGGTTCTGAGCATCGGCGGTGACGCCCCTAAGCCCAAGGCCAAGGTGCTCTCCATCGGCGGTACCGCTCCGGCCAAGGAGGAGAAGAAGGAGGCCGCCAAGGAGGAGCCTAAGAAGGAGGCCACCCCGGCCGAGGCCGGAGCCAAGGCCACTGCGGCAAAGGCCATTGAGAAGACGGGAGCTTCCACCACTAAGTCTGGCAAGACTTCTCCGTCTCCCTCGTCTGGCCGTTCCAGCCCTTCTGGTGGCGGCAACAAGGGTGTCGTCCGCGAAGCCGATGCTGTCCAACAAGAACAGACCGCCGACGTCGACGACGAGACTCTTAAGGAAATCTACGGCAAGGAGCACGTCAACATCATCTTCATTGGTCACGTCGACGCTGGAAAATCAACTCTCGGTGGTTCCATCCTCGTCAGCACCGGCATGGTCGACAAGCGAACGCTCGACAAGTACAAGATCGAGGCCCAGGAAAGCGGTAACCCCTCGTGGTACCTCTCGTGGGTGATGGATCTGACCAAGGAGGAGCGATCTAAGGGAAAGACTGTTGAGGTCGGCAGAGGTTTCTTCGAGACGGAAAAGAGACGATACAGTATTCTCGACGCTCCGGGCCACAAGACGTATGTGCCCAACATGATTGGTGGTGCTTCCCAAGCAGACGTCGGTATTCTTGTCATTTCTGCCCGCAAGGGTGAGTACGAGACCGGTTTCGAGCGTGGTGGCCAGACCAGAGAGCACGCCATGCTTGCCAAGACCCAGGGTGTCAACAAGCTGATTGTCGCCATCAACAAGATGGACGACCCTACCGTCGAGTGGTCCGAGGAGCGATACAAGGAGTGCACGACCAAGCTGTCTCAGTTCCTGAAGGGCACCGGCTACAACTTGAAGACCGACGTTTTCTTCCTGCCCGTCGCCGCTCAGCAGACCATGAACATCAAGGAGAGAATTCCCAAGGGAATCGCTCCTTGGTGGGACGGACCTTCTCTGCTCGAGTACCTCGATAACATGAAGGCCCTTGAGCGCAAGGTCAACGCTCCATTCATGATGGCCGTTGCTGGCAAGTACCGCGACCTTGGTACCATGATCGAGGGCAAGATCGAGGCAGGTGTCATCAAGAAGGGCATGTCGCTCATCATGATGCCCAACAAGCAAAGCGTAGACGTCGCCGCCGTGTACAGCGAGACCGAAGAGGAAACCCAGGTCGCGCAGTGCGGTGACCAGGTGCGCATTCGTCTCAGGGGCATCGAGGAAGAAGATGTTATGCCTGGCTTCGTCCTGTGCTCGCCCAAGCGCTTGGTACACAACGTTACGACTTTCGAGGCTCAAATCCGCATTCTGGAGCTCAAGAGCATTCTGACGGCAGGCTTCAACTGCGTGTTGCACGTACACGCCGCCATTGAAGAAGTCACCTTCGCGGCCCTCCTCCACAGACTGCAAAAGGGAACCAACCGAAAGAGTAAGATGCCGCCATCACACGCCAAGAAGGGAGACAGCATCATTGCCCGTATGCAGGTCATTGGTGGCGCCGGAACAGTGTGCGTTGAAAGATTCGAGGACTACCCGCAGATGGGTCGCTTCACTCTGAGAGACCAGGGACAAACCATTGCCATTGGCAAGATCACTAAGCTGATCACCGAGGAATCGGCTTAAGTTCACAGCGGATGAATCCAAACCACGAGTCGACTTCGGGCGAGAGGAGGGTTAACTTTTTAGTAATAGAACACTTCAGAAGTCGATATCCTCCTCCCCCGACATGGCAGGCTCGTCAGACATTGTGCAAAAGAGAATACAGAAAAACTCTGGGCCGTGGCCAATATGCATAGATCGGTCTGAGACGGTATAAGAGAGAGGACAGAGCGTCGCCATGGGTCGCGGCATCGCCGTGAGCATGACGCGGACGGTCCGCAACCGGCTCGGCATGACGGAGACGTAAGGTAGCATTGGGAAGGGACGGAGATAGGGAGGTAGAACTGAATATCGATATCAAACCCCACGAGACAAGTGCATGACGATGGCTTCACGTTTTGACCTGGTAGGTGAGAAAACAGGATTGTAGGATTCCGAGGTGACTGCCGGGAACTCTTGGTCCTCCGAGTGTTCCCGATGATAAGGGTTTTTTACGGGACCGATGATGAAAAGCGTGGGAGTGATAAGGGTGCACCCAGCGGTGTCGGAGAACCCGAGTTATTCTCGTCTCCAATGACAGGGGTGTGGCACTCGGGCAGGAAATCTGTGGAGCCGAGATACAACGGGCCACGGCAATCGGCGGTGGGGCGGCGGAGCCGAGGGGACCCCGGCCTAACGGAGCCAGCCCAGGACTGGGACTGGGAATCTGGGTGTTGCTTTTTTTTTCCTTTCTCACAAAGGCAAAGCCGCGACACAACGAACAGTCGGGGAACATCGAACTTCGTGGGGTGTTTTGGGCCGCCAGCCCATTTGCCCGCGCGCGCCGTTCCATGTTTTGTGACCGTATTGTGCACATCCTTTTCATATTGCATTGTATTTCTTCTGGGTTGCGGGCGTGCTTGGTGCATGCTTCGGGCTGGCATTTGGACGGTTTGAAAACCAACATGTGGCGCTAACTGGTTTTCGTTACGCTCCGGGTACGTCACTCTCCAGAGTTCGGGCGGCCTCCGCGACATGTTCTCCAGGCTGCGAATGACAGGCCGAACATGTACCTGGGGCCTTGTATCGTCCATGTACCTTTCTTGGTGAAGGCATTAAGACGGACGGCCCGTGGTAGTAGTGGTGATCTATTATCCCACCGCCCGGATAATTATTCAAATCCCTTTTTTCGGGCCAACTCGACGGCGGCAACTGTCGAATATGCATCAGACAACGGACAGGACTTTCTTGTTTCTCTGGAAATATCCCGCGTGACCGAGTCAGAGTCGGCCTCAAACAGTCTGGCGTCGCTCTCTGGCTCAGGTAAAAAAGCATCATGCTGAAAGGCTGAACCACGAAGCTCAAAGTATCCGTCCCGTACCCGTACCCGTACTTTGCCGTACCTTGCCGTAAGAGCGCCACAAGCCGCCGCGAGGAGCCAGCCCTTGGGACCTGAGTAGCGTAGCGCATGCGAGGGCCATGTTCCTGGGTAAGGGGAAGACGACGACCACGTAGTGTAGGCGTACGCATGTGCTGTGACCTGTCCGATGTGCTCCATCAGGTAGCCGTCGTAGGTATCCGTACCTTGCCGCGAGGCCCCTCCCTCCGTGTGTCTTTTTCCCCCAGCCATGGCATCTCACATCTCTCCCCGCCCCCAGCGAAGCCAAGACTTCGCGACAGGCCGGTGACATGGCTCAGGTGGAGGACCAAAAAAGAAGGAATTTGGTCTGATCTGGCCCTGCTGTTCGCGGCAACCATGTCACCCTGCCATTTCTGACTGGGCCTTGCTTGCTGCTGCTGCTGCTGCGGTCGGCTGCGCTCTGGCTGGTTCGAAAATGTTGCCGCATCTCCAACCCGCGCTGCGCTTACACGGAAAGTCTAATCAGCATTTCTGCAACATCAGGTACTCTCCCCTCCCGTCCGTCTTTCCTCGTGCCTGTTTCTTTGAACCCTTTGTTCCAGCGTTCTTTCGTCTCGTCCCGGCCGCTTTCTGTGACCGGCACATGGCTGCCGTTCCTCTGGTCTCTTTCGTAAGGTACCTTGATTCTGTCTCTTCTCAGGTTCTCGACATGCGTCAAGCAGAAAAAGCTGAAACGAAGTCCACGAAAAGATTTAGGAACAGCTCGTGACCGAGTCCACAAGGCGGCGGCAATGCAATGCGAGAAACAAAATTCCATGTTCGTTACGAATGGCCGTTTTTCCAACCGCACGCCCCCCCCGAACCCGTAATTGCTTTCGACAGTTCTCGTCCCTATCGGGGCTTCACGGGAGCGAATAGTCATGAAAAAATAGAGAAGGAAAAATCGTTGCTGAAGTCAGCCCCGAATGTTGCAAAAAGATGACGTTCGGGTGCTGTATCAGAGCCGCTTAGCCCCGCCTCAATCCCACCTCCCACCTCCCACGCCCAAAGTAGCCGAGCATTTAGTGCAAGTTACCCCGCGCCCCATGCCCTCCTGGCCAATCATTGGTTGTCTTCATGCGAAGAGGCTTACCTTTACCTGCTCGTTCCGACTTTCTCCGGGCAGAATGGAACAGGCACACAATTCCAACTTCCATCGCCCATTTTCCCTAACGCCTAACGTCTGTCTCAGAGATAGGGGAATTGCGAACGTGACAATCAGTTATATCATCCATCCGTGGGGCCGGCCATGCAGGGGAGGGGGCCAGCCACTTGGCTGAATGTTGATCCATCGCCGTCGTTGCCCTGGGGCTGTTCTCGCTTTGACGAATGTTGTCATTACGTACATGCCTGCTTTTTTACGAGCCCATGTGACTGACAAAATAATAGAAAATGTTAATGAGCATGCCTGGCGTACACCGCTGAATCTCGCGAACAGAGTCACTTGACATGGCACGTTCCTGGGGTAAGAGAAGAGACGAGATTGCTCCCGACGCCGCAACGAGGACGACGCGGGGCATGGGCAAAAAGTGAAGCTCCAAAAGCTCCAAATCTCCAAATCGGCCATGTTGGACTGGACTGGACGTTAGCCAGGATTCGGGAATCCCAAGCCGACGCAACGGGGACGTACGGAGGGCGACCGCAGATTGTGGGGAGATAAGCCCCACTCTTCTCCGCCGTGACACACCCGCATCTGCATCTCCCCCCTCCATCTCCATCCTGAACAGATCAATCACCAATCCTTGGTCTGCCAGCCTGCCTATTGGATATCAGTTATTCTTCCCTTGCAAATACGGTGTACCTCACGCTTTCGCCGGAATTGCAGACTGCTGAGGTAGCCAACGAGACTACACGCAATTATGTCCAGTCCCACTGCGAGGTAACCAACCCTGTACATACGGGACGGAACCTTGGACTTTGAATGCCAACATGGGAAGCATCCAAGTCTATCCAGACCAACTTGCCAACGAATGGAACCTGCTAGCGCCGACTCAGCTACGATTTGCTCCGGTCCCCCGCGACAACATGGCCCGAAAAAAACACGAATGACAGGGTCGGGCCTCGTTATCTTGGGACGATGAGGCAATCCAAGATACTCTGCACCTCACTCAAGTCACTTACTACGGCAGATGTACCACTTCCACTTTGGGGTCTGCACCGCCCACGTCCACATGTCCCGTTCTCCAAACTCGAACTTACACCTATTCGTACACCCTCTCTCGTCACCCCTACCCCCCTCCATTATTCACACATCCCCTTACCCTACCCCGTTCTCTCCCTATTCCTCCTCTATCCCGAACCCGGACAAGGGTCTTTAGACAGTTCTCCCCTTCAACTCACCCGAGATAATATCGTGAAGCGCGCAGCGACGGCAAACCAACCAGTGGCATCACCGCCCTCGCCCCCGCGACTCCACAAGCCGCGCCCGTTCATATAAGTGGGCGACCCCGTTCTGGCCCTTCTATCCTCGGTTCCGGTCAGAGCAAGCCACGAAGCAGCCTTGTCTACTGACTACCTACCCCAAGTGGATCTGATTCCTTCTCGATCCCTGAAAGCGGACGAGAACACAAGCCTCCAAGCCTTTTCCAAGCCTTCAACACCCGATCTCTTTCACTCCTCAGAATCTTTTATAACCATGAAGGATCCCGTCCAGAGAAGCTCCTCTCCCTACATTGATCCATCAGTAAAGGGCCCCAAGTCACAGATTCTCGCAGAAGGATACCAGGCAGATTTACGCAAAAGTTCGTCCTCACTTTCCCCGTCTCCGCCTCGTCGCGGCACATCGTCACATCTCCCACCCTCCCCCCAAGGAATCAACCCGATTTCTTCCACTTAGACGCAAACTCTGTTTTGCGTCTTGACCCTCTATCCATTGATATAACACGCGACCACCGCCCAGTCGTTGCTCGTTATTCTCAGACCTTCAGCCGCTAACATGTCGAACGTCACAGTGATTGTCAGCAACGTCAACAAGACCCCTCTCCACCCCAGTGGTGTTGCGTATGTATTCCCAAGGCTCAAAATGGTAGCAGGCAACTGCCAAGAAAAGATTCCAGCTAACATGATGGGAATCCAGTCCTCACCACGAGCACACTGAGCTCGGTATGAACAGCCTCCCCTCACGAGCCGATCCTCTGCAACGGTATATCATCACGCAAAGTGAACATGTCTGACATATTGGAACAGAGGAGGAGCTCCACGAGACCGCCCACATTGACTACGACCGCGTCGCCATTGTAAGACGATTAACACCGAATTCGTTGAAGAAGCCACTGACCCGGCAACTCAGATTCCTAACCCCTCCGTTCCCGCTCTGTACGAAGATGCTCTGGTAAGCACATGTCATAGACATTCCAATGCCCGGGCGGCTTGACTAACAAAGAATCACAGGTGTACGAGACTGGTTCCGCCATCACGTCAAGTGGTGCGCTCACAGCCTACTCCGGAAAGAAGACTGGTCGCTCGCCTCTCGACAAGCGAATTGTCGAGGAGGACAGCTCCAAGGACAACATCTGGTAAGTGTGTCGTGTGCAATGACGAGTCGGTGCGCAGCAGCATTACAGCTGGCGCTGACCATTGAATGCGTAACTATTTGCTAACAATGCATTTCCAGGTGGGGTCCCGTCAATAAGCCCATGTCACCCGAGGTAAGAGAAACTCCAAATCGAGTCATGGTGCAGCCGCAAGCTCCCAAGCTGCGAATGCGCTTCCCGTCGGCATTCTTTGTTCTGCCCTCAGCCCAGCCAAGCCCAGTCCGACCAGCCTAGCCCATTTCGCACAGCACCGCATTCCAAAAGACACAGACAACACGCATGCGCCTTTCGCCTTTCGCCGAAGCAGATGGGGCATTGGAACACACATACACGCGAGCATGTCACACGACCATCCGTCGTTCGCAATAAGGCATGACGGGTTGACTTTGTCTTTCAGTCTGCAACTTGGTCCAATTCCGAGTCAGACTGGAGCGGGTTGCCGAAGTATTTGTGGACGACGGATACGTCATGTTTCAGATCGACGCTGCACCTGGCAGCCGTGTTTCCACTTCCCTTGGTCCATCTGCGGAAAGCAAAGGTGAAGCGAACGCGCATTGGCACGTGTGGTGGAGGGGTATCATCGAGATTGCTTTACCTCCGTCCGATGTGGCCCTGGTTTGTTCGAAGTGCTGGATCTGGTCGAGTCGGGCGTGCGGTTTGCGACTCCGTGTCGTCATAGGCTGGGCTGCCCCTCATCGTTCCCCTTTTTCCCAAGAAAAAAAAACGAGCCTGCCGGCCCCGCATCTGTCGATGCAAGCCGAGCTGCGCTAAACTCTACCGACCCCCCCTGTCCACCTTCCCCCGCAATGCCGCATCCGCATCCGCGTTCCACCTTCCTGCTTTTCCCGGTGCTGGACCCACATCCGCACCCGGTTCACCATTCACAGAATGACCGCTGACATGTGAGATTCTAGGTCTGGAAGATCAACCGCGAGCGTGCCATCGACTACCTGAACACGAGGAATCGCATCTACGTCGTCGACGGTTACGCCGGCTGGGACGAGAAGTACCGCATCCGCGTCCGTGTCATCTGCGCCCGCGCCTACCATGCCCTGTTCATGAGGAACATGCTTATCCGCCCTCCTCGTGAGGAGCTGGAGCACTTCCACCCCGACTACACCATCTACAATGCCGGTTCTTTCCCCGCCAACAGATACACCGAGGGTATGACCTCCGGCACCTCGGTTGCCATCAACTTCGCCGAGAAGGAGATGGTCATCCTCGGTACCGAGTACGCCGGTGAGATGAAGAAGGGTGTCTTCACCGTTCTCTTCTACGAGATGCCTATCAAGCACAACGTCCTCACCCTCCACTCCTCCGCCAACGAGGGTAAGAACGGCGATGTCACCCTCTTCTTCGGTCTGTCTGGTACCGGCAAGACCACCCTGTCTGCCGACCCTCAGCGTGCCCTGATCGGTGACGACGAGCACTGCTGGAGTGACCGCGGTGTCTTCAACATCGAGGGCGGTTGCTACGCCAAGACCATCGGTCTGTCCGCCGAGAAGGAGCCCGATATTTTCGGCGCCATCCGCTTCGGCTCCGTCCTCGAGAACGTCGTCTTCGACCCCGAGACCCGTGTTGTCGACTACGATGACTGCACCCTCACCGAGAACACTCGCTGCGCCTACCCCATTGAGTTCATCAACAACGCCAAGATCCCCTGCAAGTCCGACTCGCACCCCTCCAACATCGTCCTCCTCACCTGCGATGCCCGCGGTGTCCTGCCGCCCATCTCCAAGTTGGACAGCGCCCAGACCATGTTCCACTTCATCTCCGGTTACACCTCCAAGATGGCCGGTACTGAGGACGGCGTCACCGAGCCCCAGGCCACCTTCTCTTCTTGCTTCGCTCAGCCCTTCCTGGCTCTGCACCCCATGAAGTACGCCAAGATGCTCGCGGACAAGATCGAGCACCACAAGGCCAACGCCTGGCTCCTCAACACCGGTTGGGTCGGTGCTGGTGCCGCCCAGGGCGGCAAGCGCTGCCCCCTCAAGTACACCCGCGCCATCCTCGACGCCATCCACTCCGGCGAGCTCGCCAACGTCGAGTACGAGGTCTACGACACCTTCAACCTCAACGTCCCCAAGACCTGCCCCGGCGTCCCCTCCGAGCTCCTCAACCCCAAGGCCGCCTGGACCGCCGGCGAGGACAGCTTCAAGACCGAGGTCAAGAAGCTCGGTGTCCTCTTCAACGAGAACTTCAAGAAGTACGCCAGCGAAGCGACCGAGGACGTCGTCAAGGCCGGCCCCGTCGTTTAAAGCGCAAGCATGCAAGAGGTACAGCGTTGCTTTTTATCAAAGGGTGTTTTTTTGACATGAGATGGGCCACGAGCACTGTTTTCTTTTAATCATCATGGGTTCCGGGAAATTGGGATGTCGATGACGAGCTCTCGACACATTCACGACGCCGCTAATGGGAATTGCGGCTATGGGGTTTTTTGCTGTAAAAAACAGGAGTCATTATCTGTTCTGGGCTTCATTGGATAGATCTGAGAATGAAAGCAATCTTGAAGCAACCTCTACGTTTTGTGAACAGTGATGTTATTTGTGTGTCTGCGAGTTACAAGCATACTTCGGTATGACATTGCTTAATGAGTTGCGGACGGAAGAGAGCCTATGTTTCGAGGTCCACTTCTCAAAATTTCAGAAGGCGTTCTCAACGTATATGTAATTTCCCTGGTGTCTGTTCCATTAATAGTAAGATGTTGCCTTTCTTAGTGTATTAAATTTATCAAGGTGTTCCAAATATCGCTAGCAAGCTCTTTATAACGGGTTGAAACGCAACTGCGGTACGCTTAGCTTGAGCCTATGAATGATTACAACTTGATTCCTCGTTGCAGCATGAGAATTCCGAGCCCCTACCATGGGTAGTTTGCAGTGCTATGCCATGCCAGGTGGGAACGAACCAGAGCATGGGTGAGACGCAATATAGGGGAAAGGAAAGATGGATATTTGGAAAGAAGAAAAGCTGCGGTCCCTTCTTTCTTCAAACAACTTAACTTACCCATTATTCATAGGCAAGGGCGCCGATGGCTCTTATCTCTTGTGTTTACCTTGAACATGATGTCTTGGGTTACTGGATATGATCATTCTGGACCTGGAAAGAACGATTTGATCTTCAATTTAAGCTCACTTTTTGAATGCCCCATGGCTACCAGGCCGACGATGAGTCGCTGGCCACGACCAGCAAGGTACTTCGAGAAGCTTAATGGCCTGTTTCTGTCGGCGAAAGGTGGTTGTATAAAAGCACGCAAATTCATCCCCAGCCAAGACACAAATGACATGTTCGTCTTGTACTGCGCAATATACCACAACGAAATATACCACACCAATCTCATGTACTATAATCGAGAGATTCCCATCATGTCGACTATACCGCGCCTACTCGGCCTCCCGCAAGAGGTTCGAGATCATATATGGGATATACTGGGCCACAATGACGATTACACCGCCCTCATACATACCTGTTCCCAGATTCGATCAGAGGTTCTGGACCGCCTGCCGCATCGTCGCCTTCTTTGCCACTGCCACCGGCAAGAACAGCGGATCCCCCATTGGAAGCCCGACTGCCAACGTCTCGTCAACGTCGACAAACTGAGCATCATCGTCGGGCCGGGAGACATCAACAAATCCTACCTGAGAATCGAAGCCGTCTGGAAAGCGCAAGAAGCACCTAATACATTCCGTCTCAGGAAGTCGGTCTGGTCCGTAAGAAACCGGTGGTCTATCTTCGCCAAGGTCCTCAAGTATTACGAGGCTAAGGAAACAGTCGTCGTGTTCGAGGCCCCCCGCAGCAGTTTCCGCTCCGTCGGCCTGCTCATCGCCCTAGCCAAGATGTGCGAAACGATGCCCGTCATCGACCTCCTCGACGGAGAGCTGGGCGACCTCAGTATACATTTCAGCGAAGACGGCCCAGGGACTACGGCCTTCTGGGAGCGTCGTGTGGAGACCGACTACCGTTCAAGTGCGACAAGCAGAGACACTCAACCGCTGTTCTACGAGTGCATGATTATCCCTTTCCTATACGACAATAACAGGGGTCCGTACGACACAAGAATCACTTTTGAACGCCCGCCGGCGAACAAGAGCCTATTGTTGAAGCAGTCTCCGAGACAACCCGGTCTCGAAGAGCTGAATTGGCTTGCTGTAGAGAGCTGGATGGGTCATGAAGAATGGGGCCAGGGACTTGCACGCGCAATTTCGGAAGATTACGTTCTTCAAGGTGGCATCGCCCTGAGATGGAGGCGACGCATGGGATTCGTGTTCTGGAGCGTCAGGGGCTTCCCCGAGCTCATCGATAACGTGTTCGAATTCTATGAGAGGTTGAGATCGATTATCGGGGGCCTCGTCCGCAGCGCCCTTCAATATGACTCTCCGTTTCAAGAGAATCCCACCCGTGAGTTGAAAGACTTACGACGTCGTTTTCGGAAGTCGCCCCGCGGCGAGGAGGCCAAACCGGAGGGTCCAGAAGAACCAGAATATTTTTCTAGGTTCACCCACGTCCTGGAGGAGCACTTTGTCCAGTGGGCTTCGACAACCTCCAAATTCGAATTGTGCGGGTATTGCTGCTATGGAAAGAGGCAAAGCTGGGGGGCCAGGTGCAGGTCTCCCACTCGCTCCGATTCCGGTCATTCCGTGTAGTAGCCAGGGCTTCACTCTCGCGGACGATGAGAGTGATAATGTCCAGTGAAGTAAACCCTTGGTTCGGCCATGTGTCCCTACCTGGGATAGCTAAATACCAGTCGAGCATTTGACGGACGCAGAACACGAGGTCCCTGGAAGAAAGGAAAAGACTCTACCGGTGAGCACGTTAATTTATGAACAGCCATTCAGAGCATTGCCTACTTGCCTTTTTGGAACTCTCCAAGTCACTAGTGCAATGATAGAGTGACTATTCATTGGTTCTTCTCCATGTCTCATTCATAAAGTACATTGCCGCGAATGGCTGTAGTTCAAATCACATGCACCACCATTCCTTCGTGTAGATCTCCCGAATCCCACATGCGTACTTCCCTGTCGTCTTGTAATCATATTTCTGTCCCTGCCCCCCTTCTTTCTTCACCAGTCTCTGGAGGAAATTTTCTCTGCCACAATCCAACTCATGTACCCGAGGCCAGGCATGTGCGCGTCCTTACCGCTCTTGATCTCCCAGCCATCCGTCCGCGCACCACACGACTTCATCAATGCCTCGACCTCGTCAGGCGTCCTCGTCCTCAGCGCCGAGATGTACCCGTCGAAGACGAGGACAAAGGGCAGGATGGGAATCAGGTAGGTGAAGATGAGGACCGAAAACGACCCCAGCCTCCAGGCGTGATAAGGGGCCAGCAGGAACACCCCGAGACCGAGAATGGCGGGCAAGACGATGGAGTTCCAGTCGCGTCCCTGCAGCTCGAAGATGGCGAAGCCGTCGGACGTCTCGAGGGTGTTCTTCAAGATGGCCTTGGCCAGGGGGTCGTCAAAGTGGTGGAAGGCGAGGTTGAAGAGCCGGAAGATCTTCTTGTCCTTGCCGCGGTAGCCCGCCAGCAGGTCGAGGGGCGCGTTGGCGGCGTCGACGCTCTTGGGCTCGTAGCCGATGTGCTCGCTCTTGGCGGCGGCGCGGGCCCAGCTCTCCGTGTTGGGCCACAGGTCGGTGAGGACGAAGTCGACGTTGGGCTGCTTCTTGGCGGTCAGGTGGCGGTTCACGGCGCGCTCGATGGCCGGGGTGGGACCGCCGGAGCCGGCGCAGAAGTCGATGAAGGTGTACGAGGGCAGGCGGGGGCCGAGGATGCGTTGCAGGACTTGGGCGGCCAGGTTTGCGGGAGAGGCGGTTTGGAGGATGGGGAACTTGTTCACCCATGTTGCGTGAAGGGCTTCTTGAACCTGCCCGCGGATCAACGAGGGAAACCTGGAGAGCTTGTCAGAAATTGTGCAATTGGTGAGGTTTGGAGGTCTTTGGAGGATGGAGTGTATACCATGGCTGGTCGTCAATCTCGAAGAGGTGGAATCGCGGGACGAGAGGCGCCATCGTGATGACGTCGCTGTGTGATTCTTTGGTGTTGAGCTGCCTCGTCGATGAGGATGCTAGTGTGTAGAATGGCAGATACGTGTGGCAGATACGTGAGACTATAACTTCAGGTTCGCGATGGGAGAGTTTCGGCAAAAAGTGTATGTATCGTGACATGTGATGCTTCGGTATGTGGTGTCAACTCCCGTGGTTATAGATTGGACGACTTGTTTCTTGGTTCTTGGTTCTTGTTGAGGAGGAAGCAAAAGCAAGTGTTGGGTCCCTTGCATCGTACTGTCGGTGTCGCGCCGAAGCTCCAGCGGGAACGGGTAGCTATCGAGCCCAGACAGGGACAGCTCCAGGACAGGGATTGGGGCCCCCTGAAGTGGCTCTCGTTTGCTGGAACGACAGACCTGTGACACACACAGTTCGCCAAAAGATGGGAGCTGTGAGGTGGCCGGGCCGGTAGCCCCCTGCTGGTATCCAATGCCTCATACCTGTGCGGGTGGTGTGGCCACTGAGGAGAGTTGGGGAAGAAGCTCCCCACTAACAGACGTTGTGAGGTGTGTCCCGGAGCTGCAAGATACTGGACCCCGCCAGCAGTAAACATCAATTGCCCCGATCTGACTGGACGGTGCCGGTCGGCGAGATTCTGACCTCCGGAACCTTGAAATTGGATCATGACATGCCAATCTAGGCATTGTGCTAAGAATCCACCCTCAATAATCTATCCGTTGACCCTGGCTCAGTTTGATTCCCTCACAGCACCAAGCGAATGCGAAAGATACGCCACCTCCGTACGACCGACTTCCTCTGATGCTTCACTCAGTCCACGCAATCATTCAACATCTTGTGGAGAATCCATCTCAGTGACGAGCCCAACATCACCAAGCGGGCGGAGAGAGGCCATTCCTCCTCATAACCTCAGCTACAAGGTGGAAGACGGACTGCAGCATGGGTCTTGTCAACATCCCAACAATTATCGTGGCCGGCGTCGCCAGCGTTTTATTATATGCCATCTTCGGCCAGCCGAAGCTGAGAAGGAACGGCATCCCGTTGAGGCAAGTCATGAACCAAACCCTAAGACCCAAGGTTTCCCGCGGATGGGACGGAGGATCATTGGCATCCGACTGCCTGCTGACGTCCGTGATCGTCAAGGCGTCCGCCGAATACCCTGCCGTTAGCCGGCAATGGGATCATCTTCCTCAGAGACCGCCAGAAGCTCTTTGAGTGGTTCACCAAGTGTGAACAACTCTATGGCTACGAGACGCTGCAGATATCAGTCCCGAGTCTGCCTCCTGGTGTAATCATCAGTGACCCCAAGAATCTTGAATACGTATTCAAGCACGAGGGCATCTTTGCCAAGGGCGAGTTTTTCAAAGGACGGTCCAGGGACTTATTTGGTTTGCAATTTGTCTCCATCCACCTCGTGTCTGATCTTTACTTACTTCGACACAGGCAATGGCATCATCAACGTCGATGGTGAGCTTTGGAAGGTCCAGAGGAAGGCTGGGTTAAACTTCCTCAACACTTCAAATCTGCGGGTTCTCACCGACGTTGCTTTGCCTCAGTATTTATCCCAAAGCGTGACCTTTTTGAACAGCACGGCTGCTAGTGGTGAGGCGATTGATTTGCAAGGCGTTTTCCACGAGATCACCACTCAGCTCATGGGCAAGATGGCTTACAATGTGCGTGTGTTTGGCAAGGCGCGACCTAAGCCCGAACACGTTACTGACTTGGATCTAGATGGAAATGCACGCCGCAGATGAGTTTGGTATGGCATTTGACTTCGCATCTGGCGCAACCGCAGAGAGGTTCCAAAACCCACTTTGGTTCATCACCGAACTTGTCACCGGTACGCGGCTGCGGAAGTCCATCTCCCTGGTCAAGTCCTTCGGCCAGAGAATCGTCTCAAGCGCAACCAAGGACAGAAAGACGCGAACCGGGAAGCCAGCGAGCAGTACAACACCGAAAGACGAGGCTAGTGAAAGGCTCGATGATATCTCGGGGAGTCTGGTGCAATCATTGCTGGATGCGATCGGAGATGAACAGCTCGTCGCGGACGCGGCGCTCAACTACCTCTCGGCGGGCAGAGATACCACTGCTCAAGCCCTCACCTGGACCTTCTACCTCTTGATGCAGCACCCTGATGTGGTTATCCAGATCCGAGATGAGGTGGACCGAGTCACGGCGGATAGTGACGAGACCCTCGAGAAGACCATTTCCGAGCAGTGCAACCCGACGACGACGCCGTATACCTTCGCCGTCTTCTGCGAGGCCCTGCGCATCTTCCCGCCGATACCGTTCGAGATCAAGCAAGCCGTCCAGGCGACCACGCTGCCGGACGGCACTTTTCTCCCCCAGGACTCCGTCGTCGTATGGTGTAACTGGGCGATGAATCGATCTCGGATCACCTGGGGCCAGGATGCCGACCAGTTCCGTCCCGACAGGTGGATCGTCGATGGCAAGGTGGTCAACAAGAGCACGTCGGAATTCCCTGTGTTCAATGGAGGGCCGAGAACGTGTCTGGGCAAGAAGATGGCCGAGGTCATTGCCGTCCAGGTCATCGCCACCGTCACGGCCCTATTCGACTGTGTGAGGGTCGATGACGCCGAACGAGTCAGCAAGAGTAGCCTCACCCTACCGATGAAGGACGGGATGCCGTGTATGGTTCGCGCCAGGCAGGGGGCGACGAGATAATCCACGCTGTTCATCGACAACGATTCCTCCGACCTGTGACTGCGTTAGTGACTCCTCGGTGCAGCTGATATCCTGCGCCGCATGGCTCATAGTCCGGCAAAGCGTGTCACCCGTTGAGCCATTGTTCAACAGGTTGAAAAGTCTTCCGGGTCACGCGCCGGCAGAATCAGAACTCGCCAGGAACAAAAAATCATGAACGATGCGAAAAGCAAAAAGAATTGATAGCACAACCTGGTTTCGATCCAGGGACCTCTGGGTTATGAGCCCAGCGCTCTACCCCTGAGCTATTGTGCTTACTTAGTGGGTCTGTTTGATGGATGTTACCGCACGAAAATGACGTAGAAGAAGCCTTGAAATTGTGGGACGGATTGCTTCGCCTTAGAGGGCTAAGGTACCTACCACTTCACTAGAAATGTCAGCTGCAGAGTATAGAATAATTACGCCATGCCAAACAACCTTTTCCAGTGCCTACCTTGTTTTCTAGTAGTCTAAAATATTTTAATCATTGCTCTTATAGTCGCCAATCTTGGGTTGCGAGGGTATTCGACTTCCAGGACTACCGAAAGAAACCGCCGAAATCATTGGCAGAACATTGTGGTTTTTGTTTACAGATTTACAGATATCCCGATGTGCCACGAATCAAAACGTAACCCGCCTCATCGGAACCACCAGTTCACAGAAGCATTGAGTCGGCCGTCGTGATGTCCACTCTTCACGCTGTGCCACCATCCATTTGGGATGAAAAGAGTATCACCGGGGTCTAGTCTTGCTTCTACTATGTCTTCGGGGCCTTCCATGCCCCAAACAGCAGTATTGAGAACAACCCTCTCACGGCCCTCCATCATATCAGACGTCCTGATGCGGCTGTTCCCTGATTGATGAATCTGCATCTGGACTCGTCGATACAAGCGATCCCCCGATGATGGCGGAAGCAGTCTGACGATTTTGTGGCCGACAAGCTGGCAGAAAAGGTTGGGATTGGGGTCGCGATGTAAAGGGGTGTAAGTTGGTTCGAGCCCGAGCCATATGCTTGAGTTGTACACATCGCCCTTGCCCACCTCTCTCACGATACGAGGCACAGGAAGATCTTCCTGGAGTTCTTGAGGGAGATCTGGTAGTTGAGCCTGAGCTATGTAGAGTTGCTTCAGCTTCTTGTCGTGCAGCTTATTGAACTCTGCTGCCTTCAGAAGTAGCAGAAGCGGCGCGCTGAAGGATGAAAACCTGGGCTCGGAGGCGTCTGGGTGAGATGCCGCGTGCACGATGCCCGCCAAGACTGCGCCGAGGGGATCGGAACTTGAGGCGAGCCAGGTGAGAAATTGGCTGGTGGTGTCTACAACTAAGCCCGTGTCCTCGGATAGTTGAGGACTCATCAACTCAAAGGAAAACATGTGGTGGGAAAATTGGTCCATGTAAGGTGTGAAGGAAATGGAGGACTGCTGCTGCGAGGACGGCGACTGAATCGCTTCATCTTGATTGAACCATTTGGTAGACGCCGGGAGTGGTCTGTGGTTGCGCGATTCCGGAGGCTGCTTGAATACTTGAGGATGACCGACTTTGAAGGCCGAGTGTCTGAAATTCTCGATATCCACAGAGTCGAAGTGAGATTCAACGGCGTTGACCTGCTTGATGGCTGAAAAGTATCTAGGTTGAGGTGGACTTGCTGGTCTGAGCTTGGGTCGCAAACCCAACAGGCGCAATCGCTGTCGCATTGATGGTGTGTTGCCGAATCTTGTGAACGGGAGAGTTCGAAGTAAGTAAGATGTGAGAAAGTCGCATTTCGTTGTCAATTCCAGAAATCAGTAATTGGCATCACGTGGTTTTTTTGAAGATGATGCTCCTCGGTGAGCTCACCTACCACCCCTGCCTTACGTCGGTGAGGTCCGCGGAACAAACGTTGAACCGCCCACCGAGCGCCTGTCACGCACGGACCATGTCAATGATTGGACGCAATCTCCTTCTCTAAGCGGGCTGGGCGGCGTCGTGAGGCACCACCGTCCACAGCCCACCCACCAAGTTCAGCAAAAGCTGAGAGGCTTCCCCCAAAATACAACCTCGTTCGCCCTGACCGAAATCCAGGCCGAAAAGTATATCCCAACACAACCTTGCTACGCGCGGAACGTCTGATCTCTCGCGAAAATCAACATCCGTCCACGATACATCTCCATCGACCTTGCTCTGCTTTGCGCTCGATATGCGCCGCGTCTGACCTTTGACGCCAACCTACCCCGCCATCTTCGCGCCGCAACTGCCAGGATACCAAGATATCCAACCCGTACGGACAGTAGCGACCTCGATCCCTTCCGACGGATATCGCGCGAGCTAGGCCCGCGCAACACCTCCCTTGCTCTACCCGACACCCCGTCAATACCACCACCTTGGATTACCTCGACGAAATGTCCACCTCTTCGGGGGCCCCGGAGTCTTGGATATCTTCCTTCTGCTCTTTACTCGGCCACGAGTACTTTGCTGAAGTCTCGGAGGAGTTCATCGAAGATGACTTCAACCTGACGGGCCTGCAAAACCAAGTTGCCATGTACAAGGAGGCGCTTGAGGTACGAATCCGAGTCCCCCCTATCGTCTTTTTTGCTTTTCCCAATTGCGTCACTTCTCTCCCCAATGCCCCAGCCTCGTGACGTGTCAATGCTAAATGTTCCTGGCGCAGATGATCCTCGACGTAGAACCCGAGGAGGACGAAGACGAGGAGGAGGAGGAAGAGGAAGACGAGGAAGAAAATGATTCGGGAGATCAAGATCGGCTTGGGCCTAGGCACGACCGAAGGCAACACAGCCGGATGGCGAGCGACCTTAGCGTGATTGAGTCTTCATCCGAGATGCTCTACGGCTTAATTCACCAGCGCTTCATCTGCTCCAGGGCCGGAATTCAGCAAATGAGCGAGAAGTACGAATTGGGACACTTCGGCTGCTGCCCCCGCACGAACTGCGACCAAGCGAGGACACTTCCCGTTGGCTTGTCCGACATACCTGGCGAGGATACTGTCAAGCTCTTCTGTCCTGCTTGCCTTGACGTCTACGTCCCCCCCAACAGCCGGTTCCAGACCGTCGACGGTGCTTTCTTCGGCCGTACTTTTGGCTCCCTCTTCCTCCTTACGTTTCCGGAGTACGACTTGACCAAGCGTGGTGCCGATGTCCTGAGCAGCGGTGGCGCACGCATCAACGACGACCTGCTCGAACAGATCAACGGCATGTACTCCAAGAACATTGGGCCGGGACTGGGTGCGGGCCGGATATACGAACCCAGGATTTACGGCTTCCGCGTCTCGGAAATCGCCAAGTCGGGCCCTCGTATGCAGTGGCTCAGGGACAGACCGGATGACATGACGGAGCTGGATGAGGCGCGGATTTACGCAGAGGAGCACCCTGATTCTGAAGAGGAGGATGAGAGCATGGGTCGCAATGGTAGGCCAGCTCCTCGACGCCGCGCACCTCGTGGCAACGCACGCCTTCGCCAGCAGCGGCAAGCCCAGAACGGAAGCCCAATGAACGTTGAGACGAACGGTGCCGAGTCTGAGCTCTGAAGAAACACATCGTCTGGAGATGTTCTCTTCGAGTAAGCCGTATGGCTTGTGTGGACTACCAGCACGGCAGCGATAAAGATCACGTCGCGCCAGCTGCAAGGTCCAGGAGAAGTAGGAAGACAGTGGAGTTCGAGGTGCAACGTTCAAGATGGATGCCCTGCATAAGGTAGAAGGCGTTTGGAGGCAGTTCCCAGCTTCACCTCTTCAAGAAAGGGGCATGGCGTTTGCTGAGGGAGGTGCATAACGGAAGCAAAGATTTTTCACGCCGTCAACGAACTCGAAATTCGATTCTCTTTGCAGGCAACAGCGTCTGTTGTATAGGCTTAATGCGACGGCCGCTGCATTTCTGAGCCACGGGAGACAGAATATAGACTGCATGTAATTCGTCGGTCGATTCAAAGACTACCTTCTTGGTTTTGACTTCTTTTGATGAGTGAATGTTGCGTCAGGGGTTGTGGGCCATCTTGTCAGCTTGTCGACTGGTCAAATCTTGCTGATCATATCTTACTCCGATGACAATCTCAACCTCCAGTCGAAGAGCAGGGCCCAGTTGATCTACACGCTGGAAGAATTGCGACCTCGCGGTCCAACGCAGTTGAGTCCCGTTGGCTATTGTAATGCCACGTGAGTACGTTGAGATCGGATCGTCTCCGCGAACAAGCAGGTCACCCAACTCCACCTGTCTCTCCTTCATGCTTACTTGCTTCCAACGTCACACTGAACCAAAGCTGGCAGCCAAGCACACCCCGCACTCGACCGGGATGATCTTCGGTGTCCACTTCCCCGGGGTAGCGGGGGACTGATCTTCTAAAGTAAATCAACCTGAAAGTCCGCGTATCCAAGTGCTCTATTTGATTCTCCGGCATCGGGCACTATGCGGCAGCAAATCAAGGGAACTCAGCCCTGAATCAATCCCGCTTTAAAGAGCTAGGCATTCTAGTACACTATGACAAACCAGGCACCAATACTTCACTAGAGCATACCTTTGAGGTTTGGTTCATCGTTCCAGCCTGAAGAAAGCCAACGACGAGCTTTCAAGATACGAGGCACCGTCACGCAACAAGACGATTGAGTTCGAATTAGAGGCAGCAACTAAACAAGATCTTCGTCCAACCTCATCATGTGTCCCGCAGCAGCTATTTACCCGGTGATGTCACCCCGTACGAGATATGCGGGGTGCTGCATCTGTACAGGGTAAAAGCACTTAGCGTGCCATCTCTCCTCAAGCACCTTGTCTTCAGGGAGAGTTCGGCCCGCGTTTGTATAAGTGCTCAGGATGATCTCGATGATGACCGGGGCAGCAAGAGGAACCCTCGTTTCTTAGTCCTCATAGTAATCGGCAACATGTTGACACACATCACTTATGCCGTGTTGCTACTGGGGTCGCTATCCCCTCTGCTTGTCCTCGCCGAGACATCCAACTCGACCTTTTACAACCCCATCTTACCAGGCTTCCATCCTGATCCGAGTTGCATATTCGCGCCCGAATGGGATGTCACGTTCTTCTGTGCCTCGTCCAGCTTCAACGCTTTCCCGGGCATCCCACTGCATGCAAGCAAAGACTTGCAAAACTGGAAACTAATCGGTTGGTCCTCTATGAACTTAATACGTGAAACCTGGCTTAGACGATGCAGGACATGTTCTCAATCGAAAGGAACAACTTCCCCGGCTTGCTGAGACTAACCGGTCCACAAGGTCTGTGATCTACCATGACGATTCTTGTGCAAGCCAGGCCTGACAGCCGCAGCGGGATCTGGGCGCCAACGCTTCGCTACCATGATAAGACTTTCTGGCTGGTGACGACTCTTGTAGATGACGAAAAGGAAGCGGACGATGCAACCAGATGGGACAATGTAGGTGGTTTTAACACTGACGTCGTGAAATAAGCTCCGCAGGACTGATTTTCACAAAGATCATCTTCAAAAGCAGCAACCCGTACGAAGATAGCTCGTGGTCAAATGCTGTCCATTTCGAGTTCGAAGGCTACGACACGGAACCCTTCTGGGACGATGATGGCAAGGCTTACATCAATGGCGGCCATGCTTGGAAAATTGGGTACCTACTGCGGCTTTCAGTCCAAGAATATTAGTACTGACTTTGGAAAGACCTTGGCTACAACAAGCCGAAGCGAATCTGGAGACTGGAGAAGTCGGAGAATGGAGGACTATTTGGAATGGAACAGGTGGCATGGTAAGTCCCTGACGTGATGATGAGAACCTGTTCGCAATTAAAGTACACCCAGGCGCCGGAAGGGCCTCACCTCTACCGCAAAGATGGGTATTACTACCTGTTGGCTGCTGAAGGTATCTCACCCGGTATTGTTTTGCTTGGGCTAGATACTGACTTGGCAAGGCGGCACTGGGCTTGGGCACATGGTCACGATAGCTCGGTCAAAGAACATCGACGGCCCGTACGACTCGAACCCAGCAAACCCCATTCTGACTAATGCGAATACTACCAACTACTGTAAGCTGATTCTCCTTTATTTCCTCTTTAGTTTCCTGATGCTATGCCACGTCTTCGAGATCAAAGAGCCTCTGCTTGAAACGATACTTACAGTTCCCAGTTCAAACTGTCGGCCACGCAGACCTCTTTCAAGATGGGTCTGGAAATTGGTAGGTGAAACGATAATGCTAGGTATCCATACTCATGAGAAACTAGGTGGAGTGTTGCCCTATCGACACGATCCGGTCCGGAATGGGTCTACTTCCCGATGGTCCGCGAAACAGTCTTGACGGCTGTAACTTGGGAAGAGGGAGAGTGGCCGTACATGACACCCATCCAAGGCAAGATGAGTGGTTGGGAAATGCCAAAGACTAATTTGGATATTGAAGGCCCTGGGTACGCGCATCTTTCCTTACGCCCCTATTCCTCAATACTTACTGATAAAGGCAGACCTTGGACATCGCTGGGTGAAGTTGAGGCAGACAACATCAACTTCGAGCCAAACTCATCGCTACCTGCCCATTTTACTCACTGGCGTTTTCCAATCGAGGGCTCCTACACCATCTCGCCTTCTGAACGGCCCAACAGCTTACGCTTGACGCCGTCAAAGCTCAACTTGACGGCGCTGAACGGCAACTACGCCGGACCTTCCGGACAGACGTTCGTCGGGAGGAGACAGCAGGATACACTCTTCACTTACAGTGTCACAGTTGACTTTTCTCCAACAGCAGAAGAGGAGGAGGCCGGGGTCTCTGTCTTCCTCACTCAAAACCACCATTTTGATCTCGGCGTGGTTTTGCTACCCGCGAACTCGAGTACACAGGCGTTTCCTGGACAGAACCTGACCGAGGTTGGGGACCCTGACAAGCCGACATTGCACTTCAGGTTTCGAGGCGCATCATACATACCCGTACCTGCTGACATCGTGGCTCCGGTGCCGGAAGAATGGGTGGGCGAGCCGTTAAGTCTGGAGGTCAAGGCTGTTAACATGACGCACTATTCGTTCTCGGCTGGTCCTGCTGGTGCGGCGTCGAAGATGAGGACGCTCTTATACGCGTCGAATGACGCTCTTAGTTGGGGGTTTACAGGTGAGTCGAGTGTCGTCAGAAGAAAACGTTTGATAGAGTTGACATCGATCCAGGGGTGTTCCTCGGAGTGTACTGCACGAGCAATGGGGGATCTGGATCGACTCCGGCTTACATCTCGGATTGGAGATATATTCCACAGGGACAGTTTAGAGATTAAACGCCAGAATCTAGTTGGTCATGTTTTGGTATCTCTCAGGTCACGGTCTGGCGATGTTGTTTATCCTCCTCGAAGCAATGCTACTCCTCTGGCTTTCGATGACCCCAAAAACCCTTCCCGTAGCTGACCAAAATCTCCTCCCCCTTGGCAACGCCGCCTTTTCCCCGACCATCCTTCCTCTCCGGCAGCACAAAGACAGCCATGCATCGTTGCCGGAACTTACAGCTCCAAACCTCACGAAACTCAGCGTTGGGCCGCTCCCCTATGCCCCTGTAGTCGTTGATGAATCTCGCCTCGTTGCCGCCCTTGTCCGCATCCACGGCGATCTCGGCGTCCCGGTCGAGCCAGAGATCGTAGTCGGACTTGGAGGGAGAGTCCGGATGTACCGTTCCAAGATACGGTAGGACGAAGGTCCCAGGCTTGAGATGCTTCGCGGCGAAGAGTCCGCACTGGCCCTTTGCCGGATGTTTGTCATCCGTGATGGGTGTGATCTTGACCAGAGGACTCGGTAGTATCGTGTCTTGAGCGGGAATCTCCCGCAGCTCTGGCGTCTTCTGGGCGATTGCGAGCTTTTGTGATGGGCTTAGTAACCGTGAGTGTGACGGCGCCGCGAGGTAAACGAGCCCTGCTGGCCAATTTTTCGGCTGCGCCATGATTGACTTGCGAGTACCTGGACTGCTAGGTGCTTTCAATGTGCTTGGAAGTAGTTCTATGGGACGAGCAGCCAGCCAATGTCAACGACTGGCTCACGGCACTTGCTGGGCGATGCCATCGTGTTCGGACTGCTCGACTTACAGAGGACACTGAGGCTCATTGACCTTCCTGACAAAGATCACAATAAATCGATACCGATATCATGGGAAGTTATGTGATATTCACCCGAAAAGAACCTGGACCTGGCTTATTCCATTCCAAACACCCGTAAAAGAGTTCTCGGCAAGAGCTGGAGTGGATTTGAAGCGAAACATGCAAAGGTGAAAGCACGCATCCCAGAATGGCCCCAGCTTTCGCACCAGCCACATTCCAAACGTTGAGGTCAGGCCGATAAACTCTGCTGACATAATTGGCTGAGAGCACCACCTCGTCCAATTATCGACACCCAAAAAAATTCTTCCGATCAGTCGTGTACCGAACAACCTGGAAGCCCTGACGCCGGTGGCGCCCCACATTGAATCGCCCCGAGACCGTCCAGCGAGGACCAAAGGTCAAAACTCCAGCGTGTCCCCGGATCAATCAACGCCTTTCAAACCTCCATCGGCAGCCTGGTTCTTCCTCCTCCGTCCACCAGATCGCCTGCTAAGCAGATCCATCACGAAGCCCGCGTCGGATTATTTTTTTTGAAGAGAGTCAAGGTCAGTCAGCCAGAATCGTCTACCAACCCCAACGCTCAATTGTACCAAATTGTTGTGAACACGGCACCGCGCCATGGCAATGGGCCTCATCGCTGGTGTCGCAATGTTTCGACAATTTCGACGAGAACCACGCGGACAGATGACCAGCTCTGGAGCTTGAGCTTTGAGCTGCGAGCTGCGAGCTGTTCCGGGCCAGACCGAGCACCGAGGAAGGAGCTTCCATCGAAGCTGATTTTACGCGTTTATGAGCAATGAGCGAAGAAGTCTGTACTAAGATCATGTAGTCCTCCAACAGAAAATTTTCATCAGATTGGCGTCGCCTCAACCTCGAAGAGGACTCGTCATTTTCATCGTGCGACCAACTGCGACGCGTGTGTGTGCATGCGCGAATCCCAGTCGCTCCTCGACGCGACTTTCGACATCACCAGCGGCCTGTCCGAACTCTTTTGATTCCCGTTCGCTCCCAATCGCGAATTGACATCACGCCGCCCTTGCCTTCCTCCCGCCGCGTGCGAAACTTGATCGATTGGATTGCACGACCCAACACTTTGCAGTCTTACATTGTCAGGCGGACGACAGAAAGTCGCGCTGTCGAGGCTGCCTTGTTCTCGCTAGGTGATCGCGCTCCTAGTATCACTTTCGACAATTACCATTGCCGCGCACATCAGCATGGCCGAGATGAAACCGTCGCCTGAAGGCGAGATCGAGGAGCAGAAATTGGAGACGCAGGGCATCCAAGAGGAAACAATGCCAGAGGAAGAGAGGGTGCCAGAGGGTCAAGTGCCGGAGGCACACGAGAACCAAATCCAGGATGGTCAGTTGCAGGATGATCAACTGCAGGATGATCATTTGCAGGATGGCCAGATGCAAGACGGCCAGATTCAAGACGGCCAGATGCAAGACGACCAGATGCAAAATGGCCAGATGCACGATGGCCAGATGCACGAAGCTCAAATGCAAGATGCTCAAATGCAAGATGGCCAGATGCAGGATGATCGGATGCACGATGGCCAGATGCCGGAAGACCAGATACCAGAAGAGTCCATGCCCGACGGAATTCCCAGTTACCCATCTCCTACAGCCGAAGACCAAGATGTTGGCCCATACTACCATTCAGCCCCTCGGGATGACCCTCAACAGGAACACCAACCTCCGCCGACCCCTCAACAGCAACCATCTCACTCTGCTAGCGTCGAGGAGCTGCAACTTGCTGCTCAACTGGGCCAAGACTTGGCGGGAGAGCCGATGATGCATGTCACGGATCCCAACATGAGCGTCGAGGACCCTAGCCTTAGGAGCATCATGCCTCATCCGGAGCAGCCTCCGCCTCCGCCTCCGCCTCAGCACCCCCACCAGCAACAGCAACAACAGCAGCAACCGCAGCAACAGCAGCAACAGCAGCAACAGCAACAGCACCCGCACCAGCATCAGCTCCCGCACCAGCTCCCACACCAGCACCAGCAACCGCAGCAACACCAACATCAACATCAGCCCCCTCCCCGTCCGTATGTCCCCGAGGAGGCTTTACCTGAGTCGGCTCTTCAGCACGTCCCGGTTCCTGTTCCCATGGACCATCACCACCTCTCACAGGCCTATGCTCTTGGAGACAGCACGCCTCCCAGAAAGCGGTCCAAGGTATCCCGCGCCTGCGACGAGTGTCGAAGGAAGAAGGTCAAGTGTGACGCCCAGTCGGACTCTGGAGACAACCCATGCTCCAACTGCAAGCGATCCGGTATTCGCTGCATGTTCAGCCGAGTTCCTCAGAAGCGAGGTCCCAGCAAGGGGTAAGCTCCAAGGCCACGGCTCATTGAAGACTCCACAGCTGACTTGATGAACCCTAGATATATCAAAGAATTGGCCGACAGGATCAACAGTATCGAGGGCAAGCTCGAGATCCAGGGTAAGTTCACACATGATGCGGGCTTGAGGCAGTTGCGGCTTCTCTTACGGGACGTCTCTGACAGACACAGGTCCTGGCGAAGATGCCACGCGAAAGCGACCTTTTTCAAGTATTTCCAGCGCGGACTTGTCCACGCCGGCACCGACCAGGCAAGCCGCCTGGGGTAATGAGCACCGTCCCCTTCAACCCATGGCGACTCCGTCCGACAGATACCAATCATCACCATTCTCCGCCAACGGCTTGGCGCCTCAGCCCATGCCCATTAAGAATGACATGCAGCCGCGGCCCCCGGTGGCCCCGATGGATGGCGCCGTCGCAGATATGCCGGATATTGATCAACCACGCGACGTTGACGATGCCGTGTTCGATGGGTGAGTTCGCGTCGCCATCTGCCAGCGCCGACAGCCAAGTATTAGTAACCTGAACTGACCAATTTTCCAGATACACCAACATCATCCATCCTTACCTTCCCTTCCTGCCAAACAGCAGGGCTTTGATTCAGGACTACCTCGCGGAGTGCCCCGGCCTTCTTCGCGAAGCGTTTGTTGAGGCCCTGTCGGGTACCATGCATTCATTCCCGACCTTCCAGTCAGGAAACCCTGGCGATGTCCGCCTAGCTCACACACTGCTCGTGGAATGGGAGGCCGGTGACTCTGCATCCCGAAGTCCCGCAGCCAACATCGTCTTCCTTCAGACGCTGCTTCTCATGATTATCGAGGCTGACAACCGGGCAACCGGTTCCATTGGTGCCCCTAAAGAATCCATTCTGGGCAGAGCTGTAGCAGGTGCCAATGCCTTGAAGCTGTATCAGTCCAAGTTGGACCCGTCTGAGGGCGATATTAGTTCTGATTCAGAGAGCCAACTTCGCGCTCGAATCTGGTGGTCGCTGGTCATGCTCGATCGGTGGAACGCAGTGGGCTCTGGAGTACCGTCGTTGATCAGGGACGAGAGTGTTGTCATCATGCCTGGATTGCAGGTGGTGGTAGGCGAGGTTCCAATCCTCCTGATAAGTATGTCCACATGAGAACCCAATCCTACATGAATGGAAGACTAACTCTTTTTTCTAGAAGCGTCGAAATTCCTGAGCCGCGCCTCAGTCATGATCACAAACTTCCAAGAACCCTTGCACCCGACCTTTGGAGACCGGATGGTCGGTTCTTTCATGGACGCATGGGTTGAAGATTTCCGCGAGGGCCTACCCTCCCACATCGAGCCAGGCACATACCCCATGGTTCATCTTGTGTACTGGCATTGTCGGCTGCTGGCATATCTTCTCAACCCGTCCTCCAGAGCTACTGATGCCCTGTGGCCCTGCCGTGAGACGATGAGTCTCTTGACAAGCCACTCACAGCTCATTACGCCTCTGCACCACCACTTCATTGTACTCACAGTCCAGACCCTTATTGAACTGGCAAAGGTCGACAAGACAAAGGAGGAGGCAACAAACCTGCTCAGCACCTTCCGAGACTCAACATTGCCAGCTTCGGTGTTTGATGGACTTATCAGGGACAAGGTCGCTGACCACCTGCGTCCGTCGACGAGTGCCGCCGCACCTTTGACGACATCGGCAATGGAGGCTGCGGCCAGCCAGGGCCTCCAGCATCTGGCTGACCTGGCCACTCTCTCATCGGCAGCTGTGGAGAAGGCGGAGGCTATGCCGGCATATCGCACAGCTCCCAACTACGAAGACTTGGGCTTCGATCCCCGGCCTATGCTTCTCACTGGTTACTTCAACGTCGCCCGCGCAACTCAACAGGCAGCGTAGGAAGAGGCTTGTAGGAACGTGGTGACGGAATGGAATCATCGTGCAGAATTCATGTCTGCTTGGAATGATGTGTTGGCCTGGAATCAGTGATAGAAGCGCAATCGCTGGTGTTTGAGGTCAATGCTGGATGGAGAGATGGAGTCCAGGAAAGAGCAAGCAAGCAAGAGTCAGCACCGTGGCCAGAGAGAGACAGCATGTGTCCACCAATGTGATCCTATCCAGGGCTTCAATTCGCCCGTGTTTGGCGCGTTGCGGTACCGCCTGGGCGGATCGATATTTGTATTAATATGAAAAGTAATGTACAATGGTTTCCCTGCAAGCGTGAACCTTGGTGCCGTCTTGGTCTTCGTCTCCCTCTGACAGCTGCGACCCTCACCCATGACACCCACATCGTCGTCGGAGCCTTATCCCTTCACCGCAACTGTTCGGTTTGGGTGGAATAGCGCGCGGAGCAGCCTCGTGCCTGTGCTTTTCTACACTGCCCTGCCCTTGAGCTCGGCATCACGATCTTGGTGGGTGGGCTAATTAAGTGGGTGCCATGGAGGATTTGACGCGCCAGATGGATGGCAGCACAGCGCAACATGGAGACTCTGCTATGGGGGGGGGGGTGGGGGGGGGACGGGCCCCTCGTGGCCGCTGGGACTGGAAGGCGGTGTAATATTCAGCTAGGAGGAGATCACGACCCTTTTTTGGGCCCCCGTCGTTGGATTTGGACCGAGCTTGACACGCACATGGGAATTCTCCGCTAGGTGGTGACTCTACCAAACGCTACTGACTGGCGGCGCACTTGCAAGGGCACACGAGCCATGTGGTGGTGATGGTGCTGATTTCGGACGCAAGAACTCAGATGGCGAGAGAGGCGAGCACGCGAGGAACAAGACGAAGGCGAAGGAGAGCGCAGAAGCAGGCTGACTGGCAGCGGTGATGTCAACATAATTGGAATCCCGCCTATTTCCTGTTTCCGTCTTATCCGTCCCAGCTGTTCAGATGTCGGTATTCCCCCATGTGATTGAAATGGAGGGATGGGGGGAGAAACCGAGCGACTCTTGATCTGTTGCCGTATCCGAAAGGCAAGTCGATCGGCCGAAGACTTGTCAGTGGTTCACTGGTGGTGGTCGGTCGGTCGTGCTTCACTGGAGTGCATGACTGACAATGCAGATGATTGATTTTCAGTAGCCGCGATTCAGACGCCCTGTTTGCCGTTGGAGAGGAAAAAAGGCGACCTTGTCAAACGCGTCCCGAGCAACGGAGATCAGTCTTCTCTGGCGGAGATTTGTACAGCCCCCCTTCCTCCTCCTCCATTGCCATCTCCATCCTGGCCACACCCTCGACTCCCTTCCCCCCATCCACATGGGTGGGAAAAGGCGCCGAGAGCCGCGCCGGGCGCTGACAAGAGGTGATGACACACTCACGGGGGGACGGGGACCATCACATCATCATCCCTACTATCGGTTCTGAGTCGAGTCGTCAACGACGAACCGTCGACGACACTGAAGTGAGCGAACGCCAGCGTCCGCACGACGCGAATACTTGCACCAGCCACACCGGCAGTAAGTCTGGATTCTGGTATGTTCATCGGCTTTCGTTGAGACGTTTCGGGCGAATAATAGAGCGCTCCAGGACATTGCCGTCCGTCGACATCTCCGGATCTCGGAGCCAGCACTGACCGGGGTGCACGGGCTCATCGGAGGCAGGTGGGTGAAGTGGGAAGTGGATGGTGGACGTGAACGTGGACGAAGAGGACGGACGCCGATGTGGATGTGGGTGGGAGCTTTCCGCTGTCGGTGGGGGTGTGCACCAGCTACGAGCTGCAGCTCCAACTGCAACTGGGGGAAACGAAGTGCCACTGGTTGAGAACTGTCCTGGCCCTGGGGCTTGTGATGCCCTGTGTGCCTGTATGGCGGGTGTATCGCGCTTCCATCGCACCTTTGGCAGTCCAAGGTAGGTAGGCTACGGGTTACCCTAAGCGGCATGTACTCCTCGCTGTAGATAACTTCACCAAAGGCATCCATGGACATATCCGTACCTTACTTGTAGATACCTATTGACCCAAGGTAATCGACATGTGTTCCAGACTCACAGGGCAAGCAGCTCGCGCTCGACACATGGCATTAGACGCACCATCCACCACCCAAGTCGGATCGGACTCATATCCGACTCAGAGACCCTGCCCGGCTCCCGTCACCTTCTTCAACAACCGTCACGACGGAGACCACCAGAAGCCGATGGGCGATGGACGGCGAGGCGACACAAGCCGATGATATGCAGGAACGTGCAGCTACAGCCTACCAGTACCACCACCACCACCACCACCCAGCCAAAAAAACACTTGCCCCACGAGGGCCCTGGGTTCGTGAAGCCCTAGTCAGTCACTTCCATGTCCCTGCCCCCCTCTCTCTGTCTGCTGCCCTGCCCTGCCCTGTTCGTTAACCCCCCCGAAGGTTACATCACCGTTCACTGCTCGACTTCACGTTGCTGTTGTATTCTAGGAACGGGTACCCTGTAGGTTATTGGTGTTGCTTGCCGCCGTACGGCACAGCACGGCACACTCACCAGCACGTCACGTATCCGTAGGTACCTTGCCTCGCCTTGCCTTGTCAAGTCCTGCTGCTGCTGCTGCTGCTGCTGCTCAAGCTCACTGCATGCGCAAGGTAGTCAGTCAGTACTACCCATGGTAACTCAGACACCATCGTGGGACGGACTCAGTGACCACGCAGGAATCCCGTCAACCGCCCCAAATCACTGGGCGACGGCAAGCCAGCCCTCGCTCGTCTAAGAGAACAAAACACCCCCTGAACGACGAATAGAATCCCGCATAACTCAATCGCCGTTGCAGGCCCTTTTATCTGATCAAGTGGGGCCCTTCATCGAAACTACGTAGCTTGGTTCATTAAGTTGTTTTGCCTTGGGCCCCTCTCTCATCTCGTTGCAGTCGTCATCCTGTGTCCTGTCCTCCTCCCATCGACTGCAGCCATGAAATTCAAATTGAAACGGAAATGAACCCCTCGACTTTGCTCCTCACCGTTCATGGATGTGTCTCCTAATCGCAACAGTCTCATTCAACGTCGCCCTTGTTTATGTGTGCGCGTCTAAGCGTGTGCATATGGATTCCATTTGCTCCAGTCCTCTCTATATACCCTCAAGCCTTCGAGGATTCTATGTCGCTTGAGCCTCTATGTACCGCTTCATCATGTGCATCAGAAAAATAAAACACGTAAATGTCATGAAATAGGACGGTCCCTGTCATACCTTGCCCAGTGGGCAGGTTTGTAGGTCCTCCGTACGTAATTCGTTGTCTGTATCCAGTCGACCACGCCTCCAACCTCACCAAGATGCTCCCCACGTGCCAGACGCCTGTTGTAAATAATCATGATAATGTCGAGATGCAAGACACCCTCTTTTATGAGCCGCCCCCCTTCTTTTTTGTTTTTCAATACCGAACCAAACGTGACATAAGAAACCACCCCAGAAATGCTGTCAAGTAGTAAATGGTGAAAAAGATTTCCGCGCCGACTCCAGAAGAACGATCGTGGATGGCCGGCTACACATGCGTGCCGTCCACCTCTTGTGAGATCATATCCCTCTTATGCTTGAATCCCTTGCGCCTGTGCTTGCCGTCTAAAATCGTTGAGCCGGATATCATTGGCGTAGAAGCATCGAAACTTGCTCGCAACAAAAAGCCTTATTGTATCGTCCAAGAATCAGGGTTGAATTGAGGCAAGCCGTCGGGTGATTCCGTGTATGTAGCGACGCCGTCGTTAAACTGCTGGCCCCAGAAGGCCGGATCGTCGTCGAATGTCAGGGACCCACCGGCGATCGGGCCGCCGTCGTCGAAAGAAGAGGGTGCCGTCATGAACTTGTTGGCTGACGACTTGGCGAAGTTGTCGTAGTCAATCGATGTCAAGTCCGTAGACGGCAGGTAGCTTGCCGGATGTATAAAGCTGCTGCTCCCGGTCCCGAAACCGTCGCTGTCACCTGCAATAAAGTTGTCTTCCACTTCAGATACTTCACCAGACGTCGACGTTGTCGCCGCCAGCGTAGGGGCGGGTTCAGATCCTGTGGGGAAGTCGAATATGCCATTGAAGCTATGAGCGCCTGCCTGGCTGTAACTGGAGGGAGCGAATTTGTCCGTATCGATGTGGCTCCAGTCAACAGATGCTGTGCTCAGACCAGCACTGAAAATGGGTGCGTCGCCATTGTTGTATAAGTCGTAACTGCGGCTGGGGTCGTATGTGGGATAAGAGATGGTGGACAGGTCCAGGGGTGGAAGCTGATCGTTGAGGTGCTGGAAGCCGGATGAGCCTCTCATGAGCGGGGATGCAGCCTCAGACTTGACGAGTCGCTGCTGGCGAACAGGACCTGCGCGACCAGAGATAGGGTCCTTGAGGGGGTTGTCGCCGACTCGCTCGGGCGAGTGGCTTCCCAGGCTGCTGGTGCTGTGCAATGAGTTTACACGACTCAGTTGGTAAGGCCCGCACTTCTGAGAGGCCTTGTTGTGCTTGTGCGCGGGCTTGTGATGACCGTTCTCATCGAAAGTCAACATTCCGTCTGAGTGAACAGTGTTGGCTCGGCGCCTGCGGATTGGCGGCTTAGGTCGAGGAGCAATGGCTTCCTTGTCGGAGTCGGACTCGGGGACGGTGTCGAGGCCAGGTTCCCTCTTGTGACTGCAAGTGCAGCGACCGCCATGATTGCAGCAGCAAGTCTCTGAATGCGGAGGAAGAAATCCTGTTAGAGGAATGTGTTCTCGAAGTTATAAAAGCTCATCGCTTAAGAGCAACTCACCTCGATGACCTTCGACGGTAGGCTGCAAGTGAGTACACTTGCTGGTCTTCTCGCCGCAGTCGCACTTGACGTGAGCAGCGCGAGACTTGCGCATTGAGCGACAGTGCTGGCATTGGGTAATGGGGCGTCCCTTCTTGTTGATGTGTTGAAGAGGACGATCTGCAGCCAGCCGGTTGGTTAGTCGCAAATGTCTGTGTTTGGGGTAGTTGCCAGAGACTCAATCGCAAGTGATCAACCGTCATAAAACAACAACACCAAAAACCGAGCTTGGAGATTGACTTACCAGAGTGTTGGCAGTTGCTAACACGGTGACCCCGAACGCAAGCCTCGCAGGCCCATTTCTCCCCGTCAATGATCATGACGGGCAACTGCAGCGCAAGTGTAAGGAAGGGTTGGGAGGAAAGAGGGAAAAGAAAACAAATTCAAGTTCCCCGCCACAGGAAAGTGAAGAGGATGGATCGAGACGATCGGCCGGGCGGTCGGTGTCCAAAAGAAAATGGTCGAGGTACAAGGACGTGACGGCTGGCAGGGCAGGCTAGCAGAGGTGGTAGACAGGGCAGGGCAGGCTTGCTGGCTGCTACTCCTGTCTGTATGCTTCTGGCTGGCTGGATCTGCCTGGAAAGTGGGATATTTTTTTTTTCTCTGCCCTGGCGTGGAGCGGGAGCTCTTCGGTCTCGTTACAGAATGTTTGGCGTGGGCTGGGGGGCCGTGTAAGTCCCTGGCTGAGGTGCAACGGGCTAAATCAGGGCCGGCCGGTAGCGGAACGTCCTATGGCAACCGTCTCGGGGGAGATGGAGGGTGGCGGGTGCGGGTGCTGGTGCTGGTGTTGCCGTTGGCGGTGCTTCTGCCGGTAGAAGTATTGCTGTTGCTTACTGCTTGTTGATGTTACTTCTGTTTCTCCAGAGAAATAACCGGCGAGACAAGACGGAGACCGTAAGATTGTGAAAAGGCGGGAGGTAAAGCCGGACAAGACGCGGGCTATGAAGAGTAGGACATATACATAGTCGTGGGGTATATCTGGTAAGAGATTTTCATAAAAAGGATGGTGAACGAAGATGACGCCGAACAAGTCCGTCCTCGTGAGGAAGACCAAGGCCGACACCAAAGGTACAGTGAAGACCGATGTACACGGCTCCAACTGAGCAAAGTCGATGCCGGAGATTCCAACAAGTGGGTAACTTTAGTTGAGTGGATGTGTTGAGTGGAGATTTCGATCGCTTGTCGTGTCTTGCTCTGACCAAGAGGGAAAGACGTCCAAAAACATAGAATAAAAATAAAGTCAAAAAAAGCCCGGTGTCCGTACAAGACACCCACTCCAGAAGCAGGACGGTATGCAGGCAAATTCAGCTGGCTGGACGGGAATCAGAGCCGACTGAGGACCCGGTTGAGGCGCCGGGCCAGAATTCCGTCGTTCGGGTTGGATGCGCAGATAGATGAATGACACTTGACGACTGCGCGTGCGAATTCACGGCCTGTGCTGTGCTGGCTGGTGCTGCTGCTGCTGCTGTAAACAGGTGCCAACCGATCGGTGACTGGAGGAGCGATAGGCGGGTTTGGCGCTTCTCAGCTCGTCGCCTGTGACTTTGGCCCTGGAGATTCGATGTGGAGGGGTTGCTAACGAGGCCAAGCAGGGGAGGGTTCTGAACGGCCCTGGTGCTTGTGCTGGTACTGGTGTTGAAGCTGGTCCAGTACCTCTTCGAGGTAAAACCTTGCTGTCCTGTGGAGGAGGGCGAAAGTGGGTGGATGAGACTGCCCAGATGGTGGGAGGATCGGAGGGGTTGGAAGCGGTGCGACACGGGGGATGATTCTGTTTCTGGCGCCGGTATGCAGAGGAGCGGCGTCGGGTCGAGGGTAGCTGGAGCTGCTAGCTGGAACTGATGGAGCTTGAGCTGTGTCCTGTTCAGTACTCTGTCACGTATCCGTAGGTAATACGGACGGGACGATGAGGGGTTGCCAAGGTAGGTACGAAGGGCGAGAGCGATGGCCGCTGGTCGTGCTGCAGGAGAACGGAGACCCTGTTACGTCGTGGTAACCGATAAACCGACGACGGATGGATGAATGGAGGGGACCTTGAAGGCGACGGCGGTTGGTCGGTCGTTCTGGCCTGTCGGTCGTTAAGCCAGAAGCAGAAGAGCTTTTGAGGTCGGCCAAGAGCGGCTTCAGGGTTCGGGGGCCAGTTGAGGTACTCAGTACGGTCACCGACACCGACCTGGGGTGGCTGAGGTCAAGGACAATTTGGATCGAGCAATGGTCGTGATTGGTTGGGATGGAGTTGTCGCGGGTGCGTGGGTGATGACTCGGGGGCAGATGTCGCAGTGTGAATTGAGGAGCGACGAGGAAACGTCCGTCAGGTTTGGGGGGCCGTTGGCAGTTGTTGGTGGTGACTGCCAGGTGTGCAACTGGTGACAGCTGTCAATGTTGTTCGTCTCCGGAGCTGGCTCCAGCAGTCCAACAACAGTCGTTCTTCGCTGCGTTCTGCTTTCTGCAATCTGCGAAGCGCAAGCTATGTCCTGCCTTGCCTTGACGGTCAAGGTGAAAGGAGGAGAGCAATGCGTCTGTCGCCTGACAGAGCAGGGGGCAAAGTTGCAAAGATGACGAGAGGCAAAAGACTAGAAGAGAGAGAAAGATGGCGAGACGAAGCTGGCGGGCGGACGAGGAGGCTAGTTTAATGCTTCATGTCGGAACGAAAGTGGGAGAGGAGGCAAGGCAAGGCCATGGCCGTGGCCGTGGCCATGTCCAGATGACGGCGCCGCTTGTTCTGGTGTTCCCTACGGATACTCCAAGTGGTGCTGGTGTTCCTGCTGCTGCTGATACTGCTGTGCTGATACACCCGTCGCTTTTGCTTTCCCGACCTCTGCCGTTACCGTGGCTAGGGAGGGCATGTTACTCGTGGAGGGCAATGCTAATGCTAAGAGAATGCCCATGTCTTCAACAACCGTCTACCCGCTCTGGTCGAGTCGACAGCACCGGGACTTGGCGGTGCTGGTCTGGAGGAGCTGGCCGGGTCCAGGGAGAAAATGACACGGGACAGCATGGTGGCATGGGCCGGCCATGCGAGAAGCGATGAAGATGGGATGGGAATGGAAGCGATGGGATGGATGGCTTGCCTGCTGCCGCTGCTTCTGCTGCGTCGACTCTGCATCTGCGTCCGCTTCGGCGTCGGCGCCTCGAGGAGAGATGGATGGGATGGGATGGAATTGGAGCTGCCCATGGGGGTGTGGGGTGGCGTGGAAAGGTTTGGGGTCTTCCTGTGTCCAAAAGTGAACTGTGAAGTTCCTGGTCAGGTACCGGCCGCTGTGCACAGCACTTTGGCTGTAGGCAGTCAGACGACGTGGTTGACTGAACAAGAGACATCCGCCATGACCGCCAGGGACAAGCTCAGAGACATGATGCCTTGCCGTCAAGTCAAGGATAGAGGAAAATAGCGCCCCGAAACATGCCGAACATGATGCGCCTCGGGCGAGCGCTGCACATCACTCACGGCTGGGGAAAGTCCTGGCCTGTCTGCCTAGAGTCTTCTCGTTTCTTTCTGTCTTGTCTTGGATTCAACTTGGTCAAGACTCAGATATGACCTACTCCCCTTTCCCTCCCATCCAGCCATCCAGTCAGCACCAAGAAGCCACCTGTGACCTGAAAAGACGGATCCAACTGGGTCGGTAAGAGTGAGACTGGCGGTCGACAGCCTCATGGTCAACTCTGCAACAAGACCGCTACGTCCGCTACTTCGTTTACTCATCTTAGCTAATATCACTAGGTAATATCGTCTTGGTTCTGTACTGAATACCTTCGGTCTCATCAGCTTACCACGAGGTTTGGTCATCGCGAGTACAACACCATGACCATGTAAGTGAAAGGCTCTGACAGATCCAGGGTCGGTCCAGGACGTGTGCCAAGACTGAAGTGCGACTTCACTGCCCCGTGCCCGCTTTATGGGATTTTGGAGCAGCCGCCAGTTGCTCTGTTTTCCCATGCGTTATGAGAATTCACTGCCGGAAGGGGTTTCGATGTTCGTGGTGGTCTTGTTTTACTGTCGACCCTGGAGAAATACACTGCCCCCGTCACGAAGGAAACACAAGCAATGCATCATCATCATCATCATCATCATCGCGAAAGCATGTAACCTCAGCTGATTCCTAACTTCTCATGATAGTCAAGACGACTGCTCAAAGCCAGGTGCCCAGCAACGGGTTTGTTTGTTTGTTCTATGCCAGGAGCGAAAACACCAACGCCGAGTATATATACGACGGTTGATGCCGATCTACGCGAACGTAGTTGCTGGCAACATGTACATGGCACTGCTCATTCAATCGGATTTCTCAAAATCTTTCATGCCCCGATAATCGATCGGTATGCCTCTCCAAAGTGTTGGTCTACCTACGGCTTCGTAGGTCAGAAGTGGTGGGCGCGCTGGCTGCGACTGCATCTTCTCGATGTAGGATCCAGTGATCAAACCGGTTGTGAAAGACGTGGGGGAAATGGCTGCGAACGCGGGAGAGCGCGGGGGTAAATGATGGCTTGAGGTTGAGGTCCCTCGAAATCGCCCTGAGCCTCACTGATCGCCGGGATTCAGCGGCCAGTCGTGCGCATGGTCTGCGACAAATTGGCATTGGACGCGGCGATTGCACGTCTAGGCAGGTTCAGCCAGCCAAAGAATTGGGCCTTTTTTCGAGTTTCTCGAGAAGCCAAGCGACGACGAAAGTCCTGTACCAGTACTGGCTCGGATATCATGCGGGTGGCAAGTCAAAAAGCCATGGATCATTGATGGAGGGTTGAAAACTTTTTGGAGGGCGTAAAATTGAGGAAAGATAGAAAGTGATTGAAAGTATTGGAAGAAGAAAGGAAGAAAAATTTTCATGGTGATGAGGAGAAAAAGGCGGAGGGCACCGAGACGAGCCCTCTGTCCTTGGCCTCAGGACGCAGTCAATGGTACGTATCTCTTTCCACCTGAGGCACCGGCGCAGAGAATGCCTTGAGGTGTGGTTGAGTTCAGCCGATAAGATAACCTGGGAAAAAAGACACCATCCATCAGATTGGACCCCCACCTCTGCTTGTGCCTGTTGACCAAAATCCAGCGTCGCGGTGTAACCCCAAAATGTCAAGACGCCCCAGCACCGTGATGGAATTCTCCTCATCTGCAGATCAATCAAGCATGCATGCGTGATTGGCCGGGCCGGTTGACGGGTCAGCTTCTAGAAGGATGCGTGGAAGACACCTCGATCGGGCTACCCGGCGGGAGGGTGTGCTCGAAAACCCAATGGCTCGTTTCGTTTTCGTTGGCTGCCGCTCGTCCGTCAAATTATCGGACAGGCAGGTCTTGGCTGGCTCTTCCCACCAAGAAGGTTGCAATGCGAAGGATGATGTGCGGGTAAGCAGAACGCGCTTCTTTCCCATCGCCTTCCGGTCTGCATCGTGCAGATATGTTGGGCCGGAAAACCTGCAAGCTAACCAACCATCCATCCGCAATCCCCTCCCTCCTCTTCGACCTGCCGACGCGCACGCGAAGACGAGGGTGTAAGGGTTTCCATGTCTGTCACTCGACAGCCTTGTGTGTCACTCTCTGCCTTCTCTGGCGCTCGGTGAGGCACGGCATATGAACGCCTACCGGTAGGCAGCTTGTTTGTCTCGGTGACCCTTTCAGGCTGGTCTCTCTCTCCTCGACAACGCGCGAACCAAAAACGCATCCGTGGATGTCATCATCAGAGGTGTCTTCAGACGCAGCCGCTGGCAAGACGAGGCGAGAGGAACGACCACGGTGGTGCCACCACCACCATTTCACCTCGCTCTGGTCCTCTGACTGAACTACGGATACATGGTCTCATTCGCCCCAATATGCAGGCCGACCAAATAGGACTCAACATTGCATGCAGAACTTAGACCTTGCTGCACTGAACGACTGTCCTGTGTCCCAGCCAGCCAGCCAAGGTCCAGCTTTCACACTCATACTTGGACGACTCGCAAGGCCAGTGTGAAACAATATTGAACGATATTGACCAAACCCCACGCCGGCATGTCCAATCGACCGTGGACTATTGGGAATAGTACCGATGAGAATCGAAGGGGTCAATTAGACGCTGCAGTCCCAAGTCATGGGCTTCCTCAACACCTCCGCAGAAGGGCAAGAAGCACTTAGGCACTGCGGCACGTCGACGAAACAAGGCATGCGTTGCTCCAAAGTCGCAGTCGTCTTGTGCCAGCCATCAGGGAAGGCTGCAAGCTACCCAAGCAGGAAGTAAAAGGTGGTGTCATGGCCATCCGCAAGGTCCCGGCTGCTGAAGCTGCCAAATGTTATCCTCCAGCCATCTGACTGGCTCAGACGCATGCGAGGATGCGCCTCGGACGAACCCAAAATCGAAGACTGGCGGGAAGGGAGCTGGTAGCGAAGCTGTCGCGGCACGGACGTTGCTACGTAGCGCCGGCGCCAGCAAAGGGTCTCGCGCCTAAAGAGAAAACAGGGGTGCTGGAATACAGGGGCGGCAGCCTCGAGACCCTGATTGAGAAGCTGACTTCATGTTGTCGTTCTTGAAGCGTACCCTGGACGAAGCCGACACCGTCCGTTGCTTGGGTTCGACAGGTTTGGCTCAAGTTCTTTTCTTCTCGGCGTACGTACATGAGAAGGCGACCTGACACACGACGTCTCCTTACCTTATGTATTGCCAACCTCGAGAATACGTAAGTCGATGATGCGGAATGAAAACGAGTCCCCGCCGTGCCGCCCAAGTCCGCTCAGTCCTCCCCCGCCACCTTTGGTCGGTGGTTTTTCATTCCTCCGCACTTTTAGCCCTGTGAGCCGGGGCCGTATCCATCCTCTCTCGGACGGTGTGGCCAGGAAAGGTATTCTCACGCGCCGACCCCGGTCGACTCCGGCACATCCTAAACAGGCAATACCGCGAGGACTTCACCAGCCACGAACATCAACATCAAGCGTTCAACTTCAGTGAATGACAGCCAGTAGGAGACTCGTGTTTATTTCTGTATTTAGAGATCTGATCCTCGATGTATACTATTAAAACTACATATATCGGGAAGTGCGGACATGGAGGCAAAAGAAGGTGGCATACGCGGGAGGGCCGAACACGGCACCTGGCTTGCGTCCATCAAAACCTATGAAGCATGCTCCGATCAATTGACAGAGGCATACCGGCCACTAGAAGATTTCGAGATGCTCATTAGCCTCATCGTGGTGTTTTAGAAGCGTCTGCGTGGTCTTTGAGCTGTGTTGGCCTTCTTGGACGGACTATTTCGCCTTGATCAATACCCGAACATACCATGCAGAAGACTCCCTCATTCACCACAATGATGTTTCTTTCGGGGCAGATTTGATTAGACTACCTGGACACGGTTTCCGACCCGTCGGCTGGTTCGATGCCACATTGAACACCTCGCATCGGCACCCATCTCCTCAAACACTACGAGGCTACGTTGGGTCCTCTCAACTCAACTTGGAATGTGATGTTTCTGTCTCCGGGTGAGGCTCTTTTCGTTGAGCAATTCACTCCTGGAGGCACACCGGTTCTTTCTTGGACATACGAGACAATGGGATGTGATGGGATGTGACACAGTTTCATCGTTGCTGCTATCGTTCTCCTCTTGAACTGGGCTCTTATGGCTGGCTTCCCTCTATCTCGTCTCTGTCCCTCTCCACGTCTCTCTCCAGATCCAGTTGCATAGAAACCAGACCACTAAATGTAAGGCAACTCGACACGTGCTGTCATGGTTGAAACAGTACGGATGACTTTCATGGTCGAACCCTATCTCATCGCCATCGCAAACCATGCCATCCCACAGAGTACCACATACACCTCTGGCAGGAAGAAATACCTCTCTGTAAAGACTTGTCGTCAAGGGATAGGCGAGCTATGCTGGTTTGAGAAGATACTTCTGAATTCTCGATTACGTCTGTGAACTGAGACGTGAGTGAGACTGAGGTAGGTCTAGAGCTCTGTAACTTACATCGTCATGGACCCTCATATCACCGAACCAGATGTTGATGCCATATCTCATCACGCCTATTTTGGTACCATTAACCGACTGTTCAATATGTAATGAACGAATTAGTGACGAGAAGTGACACTATGTATACAAATTAGGTTCCGGTCAATAGTTGTGAAATGAAGTGCTCTTTCTTTCTTCGAGAGGGTCGAGGGGAAGATGTGCGCAGTAGTTGTTCTATCGAGGAACACGAACTGATCCCGTGACCCGTGTCTTCCGATCTGACCCGACACAAATGTTTGAAGTAACTTGAGGTGTTTCTGAACAATTTAGAAGCTCTTATTTACATTATCTCATTATTTTACAAATGGAAGTCACTCCTTGCTATGAGGCAGTCCTCGTTTCCCCTCCTCGCAGTGAAGAGAGCCTGTGGTTTGAAAAGCCACCATGAGGTTTGTGTCGAAGTTTCGGTGGCAATCTCAACTTCAGACTCATCTCGGTTGACTACGTGTGCCATGTCTCGCCTTTCCAAACCACGTCCACTATACTAGCAAGACGTTTACAAGCCGCAGAGCCATATTTGAGGGAGGGGAGAGCGCAATGTGTCCTGTCATACGACATGCCACATTCGTGGGGTTGTCGGACAAAACAAGAAGACGATAACGCATATGTCAACAATCATATGAATGTGGCAGCTCTTAGATGCCGTGCCTGATCGAAGCTGTGGACGAACTGGCAACTAGGAGGTATGAAACGGAATATTGCTGTCCAGCTGAGAACCCATCTCCTAGCTCTCCTCGAAGTCACAAATGCTCACTCCACAACCTTCAAAGTCTTGTCTTTCGGGCTTCGCTTATAGCCAAGAAACTATACTCAGGGCTCGATCAAGCACGATCACGTGGCAAATGTCCCAGGATGAGAATAGCCACATCTTACGGTGGAAACAAAAAACACTTGAGACGCTTACAATCTTGGTGGTTGGGAACGGCAACGAACTGCGTCATGACAGACTCATCTCAAACTTTGTAACACTGCTATGACTTTGTACTAGATTGCAGCTGAGGTGGTATCGGAGTGCATCTCACATCTCTTCAAACACATTTGAACTTGCATACTAGAGCTGGAAAGCTGTTGTAGACACGTCCAGCACCAGCTTTCAGTCTCAGATCATCCATCTATGGGGGTGGTTGACGTGCGGACACTCTACCGTCACTACCTTTTTCTACTGCTTGTTAGCTTGGGTTTGAGGCGCCATCAATATCTTGTTTTACTGCTTCTTACTACGGGCTAGATATAAGAGCCGCAGGCTACGCAATAAACCAAGCGGAAGACACGTCCGGATCTATCGGTGGCCTAAATTATTCACAGTCACGAGCGGCCAAGAGCCCAATCCTTCATAAGTAAACTTATCAGGCATATTGATTTCATCTAGATTCTTTCATACAATGCCTTTGAAACTCGTATGTGTCCAGCTGAAGATGCTCATAGAGGAACAGCACGATCATTCACGTTCAGACGTACCGAAGGCTTTGCTATGGAAGACACTGACTTGGGACACAAAACTCTACCATAGCTTCAGAAATGCCAACGTAATATGAATAATGTAGCTAGACTATCTCACCGCCTTCTAATTCAGCTAAGGGTAGTCGAGATGTTGACAGGTGTGTTAGACTTGGATCTTAAAAGCCGCAAGAAGTTTCATGATGAATGACTTGTGCGAGCCTCAAAAAACCACAAAATCCATCTAAGGCTTCCAGAATATTAAGATAAGCCAGCCTGTTCTTCAGAGCGGATGAGATCAACTGGATGAGTCTTCCTCATATACCATGCCTTCCAACAGCGAGCCCAGCTTGCTGGCAGCTGTGACCAGCTGTAAAAATCCGGGATTCAATAGGCAATGGCGACATGTAACATTAGTGGGGCAGGACAACGTATTACCTCGGAACTCATTCAACATCACCTCAGTCAAGTCAAGGTGGAATCCAAGTTCTATACTCTCAAATATCCGCTGAACCCAATTCTGTTGAATTCGCAATATCAACTCAAAGAATCGAGTTTTTTTTCTATTGGCTTTTACCAAGCACAGATCCAATGAGTTCAGGCATGGGTAATTCCAGCGATAGGTATGTGTACACTTCAGCTTCTCAGGGGTTCAGCATTCTCATTTTACGATCGTGGCTGATGATTTAAACTCAGCGCTGTAAACATCATCTTCATCGGAGCTGGCGCCGTGGGCTGTTTCTACGCTTCTAGGTTACACCACGTGAGTATTCACAACCCGAAGGCCAGTGTACGGTTGTGCTTACAGAGGCGACAGCCCGACCGCAACGTTCGTGTCTCGCTGGTTGCGAGATCAAACTACAAAGCCATCAACGAGTCCGGCGTGAAGCTACAGACTCACTCTTTCGGCGACTACCTGTTCAAGCCACAGGCGGCCTTCCCGTCGGTCGACGCCGCGGCGAAAAACCAATGGGACTATGTTTTTGTCACGACGAAGGCACTTCCGGACCGGTCTGACGACTCTGCCATGATCGCACCGCTCGTCGGCCCCACGACCTGTATCGTACTCATCCAGAATGGCGTCGGCGTCGAGGAGCCGTTCCGGAAGCGGTTCCCCCGTAACCCCATCGTGAGCGCCGTGACGGTCATCAGCGCCGAGCAGACGTCCCCCGGCGTCATTCGGCAGAACCGGTGGACGAGAGTAAGCGTCGGCCCGCACACGAACGGCCTCGGTACGGGCGATGCCGAGCTCGAGAGGCTGGGCACGCGGGCGGTCGAGCAGCTCGGCAAGTGGTGGGGTCCCGGCTGGGGTGGAATCCGCGACGTCGAGCCTCACGACGAGATCGGTCTGCAGACGGTGCGATGGCACAAGCTCTGCATCAACGCGGCCTTCAACCCGAGTGCGGTGCTGAGCGGCGGCAGAGGCAATGCCGACATGGTGATGGACCCGGAGCTGCGGGAGCACGTGGTCGGCATCATGAACGAGATCAGAGCGGCGGTGCCCAAGATCCTGGGCCGAGAGTTCCCGGACGAGATGGCGAAGCCGGACCGGATCGTGAAGAGCACGGAGAGAAACACGGGGGCTCGGCCGAGCATGCTGTTGGATTGGGAGGCCGGTCGGCCGTTGGAGCTCGAGGTGATTCTCGGCAACCCGGTGAGGATAGCGCGGGCCCACGGAGTAGAGATGCCGCGGCTTCAGAGCCTGTATGCGCTGCTCAAGAGCGCGCAGAAGACGCGAGAGGAGAGAGCCGTCAAGGGCAAGCTGTAGAGCTTGCGAAGAAGGGCTGTAGGCTGTAGCGTCGTGACCTTTACCAGGCTGGTCTGTATGGTAATACCCGACTTTTTTTCTTGTTCTTTGAATCACAACTTGGACATCACTGGATCTCACCGGGCATTTAACTCGGGGTACTCGGGAGCCGGCATCGACGCACCCCCCGAGACGGAATTACCCGTCACCAGGTTGGAATCGCCCAGCTCAGCCCAGTCCGTGTGATGGCTAGAGGTATGCAGAGTTGCCGTGTCTGCCGTTGACTCCACCACAAGAGTTCCAGGTCTCAGCCCCGTCCCTGGCTGGGCTGAGGGTTGAGACCGAGTAGCTTCCGCTGAGTGTGACCTAGCACGACGTAAGTACTGTGCAACTATGGTAGTCCTTCAACTGTTCATCCGGTACGGAGCGAGTACACTACGTGTGGACAAGAGGTCAGCCAGGCTAAGGTTAGGGAGAGCATGCTGCAGGGACCGGAACGCCACAGTCATGTGGTATGGGCCTGACGTTTGATGATATGTAGGTGAATGACATTGTGGCGGTGGCGTTGATGATGCGTTTCCACGGGGCAGCTCCTGACTAGAAAACAAGCAACCTAGGCCAATGACCGGTTTGAGGTGGGCAGCAGGAACCTAGTGCCTAGGTACCTAGTTAGTAGGTCTAGGGCTCTTAAGCAGCAGACCCCCCTATCTGCTTTTTTTATTACATTAAGTTAAATTTATACTTTTTTTAAGCCTAAATAAATAAACTTTACTTATAACTATATTCTCTATATTAACTTAAATTAATTAGCTTATTAATAAACTTTAAGTTAATATTAAGGGTCTTTAAGACCCCCCCTCTAAGATATATTATTTTAAATTTATTAACTCCTCCTCTATAAGAGATTTCTATATATATATTAATAAGAGTTATAAATAGGGCTCTTATTATTAATATAATTGTTTAAAAACTTTATTATTTATATAAATAAATATTAAATAATTAGCTATATTAAGTTATAATAAACTATAAGTAGTATTATATATAAAATTTAATATTAAAAAGTTTCTCTTTAATAATATATTATTATAGGCTAGGCTATACCTAGCTATATAGTCTAATAGCTATACTATATAGATACTACTATAGTAGAATAACCTATTAGGGCTAAAGTAGAAATTATATTAAACTTACCTAGAAGCTATAGTATAGCTATATAGAGAACTTCTCTTCTCTTTAGCTTAGATTCTTATAATAGAGGTACCTCTATATTAAATAAACTTAAGCTTAGCCCCTTATATATCTAAGCTCCTTATAGGATTTATAGTTACTAATTATATTATATAATAGATAATATAACTCTTAGAGTTATTACTAATAAAGCTATAATAACTAAGTAGATCCCTAAAAACCTAAATAAACCTATTTAAATAATTAGTAATATAATATAAACTCTACTTTTAGACTTTATATAAATAGTAAAGTAATTAAATAGTAGATTTATAGTAGTTAAAGTAGTATTAATAGCTTTTATCTTAATATTAACCTCTATTATAACTAAAGCTAAAACCCCTATATAAAAGAGTATATTTTATTAGAAACCCTTATTAAACCCCCTAAAGTTCTCTAGTAAAAGGGATAAATACTTATCTTAAGCTATTTAGATATATAAGAAACTTATAATAGATTAATAGTTCTTTAAGACTAACTATAAATAATTCTATTTAATATATTTTTATTTAGATATTACCCTATAGAAAGTTATATAAACCTTTTATAATATAGATAGCTATAATAATCTTTATTAATTTATAAGCTTTATAATAAATTTAGACTTAATATATTTAAATATAAACCTTACTTAATAAGTAATAAGCTAGTTATTTAAATTAAAAATAAAAAAAAGTAAAGGTTTCTCTATTTTCTTTTATATTTTAAATATTTTCTTATTTAAATAAATAGTATTTAGTTTATAGCTATTATATAGATTAACTTTCTATAGTAAGTATTAACTTATAAACTTATAAACTATTTAATTACTTAAAGAGCCCTTATAGACTATATAAACTATATTATAATAGTTTAAGATATAATATAAAAGTAAGAGGACCTTAACTATATATAGACTATTACCTATAGGGCTCCCCTAGCTATTTATTACTTAATTTCTTAAACTAATAGTAATAGAAATACTTAAATAATAAGCTTTATTAAAGTAGTTCAAAATCTATTTATATATAAAGAAAAGTAAAAATACTATAGCTATTAAGAGGTAAGATATATTTAAAGAAACTATTTAAAAAAGAAAAGAAGCTTAAAAAGGGTTTATATTATAACTATAGAGAGTAATAAAAATATTATAATAGAAAATATAAATAAATTAAATAAAAACTTAAAAAAAAAACTTATTATAAAAATAAGTAATAAGTATAATAGAAGAGTAAATAGGCTAAAAGGCTTTTAGATAAATATATAATATAAATAGACTTTTTATAATAATAGTAATATAAATAAATAAAGGCTAATATATTAATATATTAATAAATAGTAGTTATAATATCTACTTCCTTATTAATTATTAGTTTACTTATTAGTATTAATTACTATATATAGATACTATAAAGTAGAGGCTATATAGCTTTATAGATAACTTATAGAGAGTCTATATAGATAGAGTTATAACTCTAGATATAGAGATAAATAGCTATAACTAAATACTCTATACCTATATTATATAAAGCCTAAATATAAACTTATTTTTAAATAAACCTTAAATAAAGTAATAGAGAGTAATCTATAATATAGTAAATAAGTAGATTTAATATAAAAAGAGGGGAGTAATAATTCTATTAACTATGTAAGAAGAGTAGAGATCTATAAGGGATATCTAAACTATATAGTAACTTAACGCTATATTATTTAGAGTAATCTATTAGTATATAGCTTAATAAAATTAAGTAATAACCCTATAGGCTATTACTATATTAGTAATAATAGCTATTAGCTTAATAAATATTAAGAAAGCCCTTAAAAAGACTAACTTAAACCTAATTAATAATACTATAACTATTATATAGGTATTAATATATATTTAATAAGAATATATTAACCTCTTTAAACCTTTAAAAGCTTACTCTTAACCTCTATATTAGCTAAGCCTTAACTATTATATTAAGCTTAAATAGAATAAAAGTAATAAAGAGGTAGCTTTACTCTAAAGCTTACTCTATAGTATATTAAAAGAGGAGCTATTTATATTAAAGAAGACCCTTAATAAGCTACTTAATAAGGGGTTTATTAAGGCTAATAGCTTACTAGCTAGTACCTTAATCCTCTTTATTAAGAAACTAAATAGAGGTATTTAGTTCTATATAAATTATTATACTCTTAATATAATTATAAAATAGAATTACTATATATTACCCCTAATTATAGAAATAATTTAATAAATAGATATAATAAAGTAGTTTATAAAACTAAATATAATAATAGCTTTTTATAAAATATAGATTATAGAGAGAAATAAAAAAAAGATAGTATTTTAAATATAATATAAGCTATTTAAATAACTAATTTATTTATTTAGACTAACTAAAGTATTTATAACTTTTTAATAATATATTAATTAGTCTCTATATAACTTTTTAAATAATTTTATAATAATATATATAAATAATATATTTACTTACTCTAAAGGCTTATAAGAGGACTATAAAGCTAAAGTCCTATAGGTCCTATAATAGTTATAAGAGATAAACTTAAACTTAAATTTAATAAAATATAAGTTTTCTATAAAGATAGTTAAATATATTAAATTTATTCTCTAAATAAGCTATAATATTACTTATAACTTAGAGAAGGTTTATATTATTACTAAATAGCTTACTCTAATTATAATAAAAGGTATATAGAGTTTCTTTAGGTTTATTAACTTTTATTATACATTTATTAAGGAATATATTAAAATAGTTCTTCCCCTTATAAAGCTTACTAAAAAAGCTATAACCTTCTTATAGAGAGACTAAAAGTAATCTACCTTTAATAAGTTAAAATAAAAGTTTATAATTATATTTATCTTATAGTTTTTTAATTTAAACCTAAAGATATATATAGAGACTAACTATTTAGGATTTATACTAAAGGGAACCTTAATATAAGAGAGTAAAAATAAGCTTTATTAGCTTATTATATTTTACTTATAGAAGTTAATATTAATATAATATAACTACTCTATTTATAATAAAGAACTTTTAGTAGTTATATTTTATTTAAATATTTAAAATATAAAGCTATAAAGCTATTATAAGTTTATAGTCTTAATAGACTATAAGAGCTTTAAGTATTTTACTTAAAAAGTTAAATTAATAAAGTATTAAAGCTATTAAATAGAGGAACTCTTAAAGTAGAACTTCTATTTTAAATACTATTTAAGCTAGCTAATAGCTATACTAAATATATTATCCTATTAAAAATAAAATAAGCTATAGAGATAAAATAATAAATAAGAGTAAAAGAGAGTAATATAAACTATTTTAAATTTTACCTTATTAATTTAATATTTATAAGAGGACTATTTTACCTCTATTATAACTATATTTAAAAATATTAGCCTTTAAAGCCTTTAGGACTTAATATAGTAAATAGATAATTAATATTAATAAGTATATATTATTATAGCTAGAGGAGTAAAGACTTTTCTATTAAAATTTAGCCTTAAGACCTAAATTACTAAGTATAAAATTAATATAAAAGGGAGATTTATATTCTATAATAAGATCTAAATATTAAGAGGCTAAGAGGAGGAGAATAAATTAAATTTACTCTATATATAAATAATTTAGCTATTATATAACTCTATAATAATAAGATACTTAAGCTAAAATAATACTCTTAATATTCTCTATTATTAATACTTTTAGCTAAAATAATTAATAGTAATAAAGTAGTTTATTTAAAACTATAATAAGTATAGAAGAGAAATAATATAGAGGTAAGTAAAATATAACTTATTTTAATTACTA